TCTATTAATCAATGTTACAATCCTATTATAAGATGTTTCTTGTTATGAACTGATCAAATAGAGAAGAAAGGAAAGTATTCCATGATTACAGTCTGGTTCTTAACGTTACCTGGAAAATTGTAACAAGTGTTTTGTGTTATTAACGTACTTAAACGTGTCTGTTAATCAAACAGAAAAAAAAAACACAGCAAAGAGGAGAGTGCGTAAAAAGGGCATTTTTACAAGGTATGCTTACTTCCTTATATTGGTATAATGATACAAACTAATCTGGTGGTAATATGGTCAACGATATTGATTATATTCATTAATGTAAAGACATTTATTGACGTTCATAAATTCAAGGTACAAAGGGCATCTGAGGTCTTCCTCCACCAGTAAAGCTGGAACGGACCTATACTGTGTCGGTGTGACGTAAAACCCAAACAAACAAACAAAACCTTAACAAACAGGTCGTTCATATGATGGATTGAAACCCACGGCGAATGTAATCACTTAGCAAATCAAAGCACTGAATGTACTGATGAGGAGGCTATGACAGAATGTTTCAGACGTATAGTTTTTTTCATTTTGCTTAAAATGTGCTGTTATTTCAATTATTACCAAAATAAGAAGATATGCACATTGCGCTATTTATCTTTACTGTTGTGTTCAACCATTCATATATATGTTTAATATGGTTGACTATTCATTTTGTTAATAATATTCCAGAACATTTCATTGAGGTCTACATTCGGACTGTTAATCATGCAAATTTTTGAAAAAACATAATCTGTCAATAATAAATGACATACCAGCAAGTATGACGACTGTTCATTATAAGATAACAATCACATTTTACAACTGACGGCCCTTATCAAAATATTCTAGGACTGTTTTAATATCATTGAATGATGATAACAACTGCAAGTTATGCAACATTTTTATTGAACATAAAAATTATACATATTTACATGTACCATAATTGAGATCAATAAGATACTGTATTGTGATGAGTATTAATATTCATGCTCTACGGACAGAAAGTTGTCTTCTCCCGAAGCAAATCTCGAATAAAATCACGTTTCAGAAAAGAATATTCATTTCATTACTCGTCGCTGACTTTGACGGCTTCGGATAATATTAAAGCTAAATATTTCTTGAAAAAATACATATCTGCAAAGCTTATTCAAAATTGAATCAACCTAAGTGAAAATTGATCAGGAAGTTATATCTTCTTTTTTTACCGCCAGCACTCAAAGTTAATAATTAGATTCTACTTGTATTTTTAAACCTCACTAGCTTGAAATATATACTGCGGAAAATCTGTTGTTAACAGGGTGTGCGGTTATTACATGTACGTAGGGTTTTCCCTGTCGACCATTTCCCGCAAATAGATGAGAACATCGAAGCGTCAGTGCTATGAATGGTGTTATAAATAGCGTGTTTTGGAAGTTTTTGTTGAAACTTCTCCAAATCCCTCCAGAGGCGTGCACGTCGCGGAGAAGGCACACGGCAGGTCAAGGTCAAGTCATCTCAAGTACCAGAGGTGATTGGTTGACCTGTCGTGACTTATACTGGAGGTTTGGCGCTAATGAATGCCGTTTTTGTTGTCGTCAGTCAGGAAGTTGATGCCTTGACAGTATTGTCGTCTCCTTTACCACCAACGAACGAAGAATGGGCTACCAGGAAGATTCTGCTTGAAAAAGACGTCCCCGATGCTATAATCTTGGACATATGGTTATTCCGGCGCCGAGTATAAATAAACTTAAAACACACACACTTTTGTTGAAAACAAAACAACAACACACTTTCTGTAGTAATTTTTCAAGTGTTGTAAAATGAAAACGAAATTCCTCTTATGCCGCCGATTATTTATAGAACACAAACATATAAGTTCTTTTTATTTGATTTATTCAAATAAACATTAATCACTTCAGGGCGCGCAAATATCGTTTTCAAATTAAAGTTTCGTAAGATATGTTGATGAATTCCCGATGCTCGACTGTAAGTCATTCGTATATATATGCGTTTTATTGTTGTTTTTTTTTAAAGCTTCTTATTCTTTAATATTTTTATGTATCTCATAATCTGTATTGAAAATTTGAATTTTATTAAACATGGACATTCAAATTATGATGCGTTGCCCTAGAATTGAATAAACTTTCTAATTACACAATACGGGGTCATTCATTTGATTGAAGACTGATCTTTGCGTCTTTCTCTGAAATAATTATTTCCTTGTTAAAACATATTTGACCACATATTTCTGTCATTTAACTGTTCACTTTACTTCCGATTATTGTTGTACCGAAACACATGTTTCTATTTGTGTTTTCTAATCAATTCGAATCTATAATCAGTTTAATGGGACCACCACCGGGTAAACGACTACTAGGTACTTTGGTTATGTTTTTTACCCCAAATATTTGAATGTTTTTATTGGGATTAAAATGAGCGTAGTTAACTAAACAACTGGTTGTATAAATCCCTGACCTGACTAATTCTAATTATGAGATAAGTGGATATATTAAGACTTTCACTACAAAATATTCTTAAACAAAAGAGCACATGTTTAAATTTATTCCTATACAAATAAAAGATCAGAGTAGGGATCTGTCAATTGCCAGACATATTTTTAAAAGATACTTTTATGTTAAAAGTTTGATTAATGAATTATGTTAGATGAAAATATAAGTATTGCTTTTTTATTTTGCTAATGTAAAATGTAATCTTGTGCTGAAATTTTGTTGGAGGGTCCTTACGGGTTTTGTAGTTCAATAGTTTTTTTTCCGGCGGTAATGGTTCAAGAATATAATGTTTTCAAACTATATGTTCATCACCATCAGTGAATTTTTAGTTAAATGTATCCAAAATATTTACCAACAGCTGTATGATATAGCGGTTTATGAGCGTTTTCCGCGTACAGCCTCCTAGGGTGTACTAATAAGTTAGTTTTCCTTAGTTATCACGCAAGCATGATCCATGTCTCTGATGTAAGCGATAGTTTACCCTTTTTTGTCTTTAAAAAAATATTAAGGACTATTAATGGTTTATAACAACAAAAGAACATGCATGATATTGAGACTACGGTGTTGCAACGTTTTAGTTAATGACCCGTCATAAACAGTTGGTCGCTGCGTAGTAATTGGAAAATTGTTATCAAAAATAATAAAAATCAAGGTACTATTTTTTGACCTGATTACCGCGGCAGTAAGATTTGATTATTAACATTGGGGAGGCATAGCCTCCCCAAAAAGGTCCCATAATCGCAATGCGTAATCTCACACAGTGTATTTGAGTTAAATCCGGGATGATTTAAGAAATGATTTTCTGTTAATACCTCGTGTCCATGTTTTTATTTTAAGGCCTCAACTTTTCATAGAATTTGCTCTTTCTATATCGTACGAAAAAACGTTTAATCTCGAACAAAGATCAAAAATGTACATACTGTAGTAATTTTCATACACAATCGCACTACTAATAATACGATCGCACTACTTAGGATTTTAATTGCCGTTGATTACATGTCAACTCTTAGAAGAGTAGTTAAACTATCACGCAACTTCCATTTATTTCAGGATACACGGTTTGTCTGTATGCAGACATGATGAGAGCTTCAGTGGCTTTGTTCTTGTTCCTGCTGACACGGACCGTCGCTCTACCGGCCAAAGATGGAGTAAATAAGGTAACGCAAACGAGACCATGGAATGCCACCATTATCAAACCAGCATCACAATCTGTTCTAACGACGGTAAAGAATGACTTACCTCCATTAGCACGTGTAATTACAGATACCAGCACCTCAACGTCAAAGTCCCGCATCGCAGCAATATCGCCAACTAACTGGACTATAGTATCACCGCTTATTGCATTCACTGACTCAGTAGACAGACAGCAACCGTTTGAAATTCCATACACCGCTGCTTCTTTATTGAAAAATTGCGAGATTTTACCCGAGGACCCTGAAGTTACATCAAATATTAAAGAAACTCTAAATAGTGGATCCAAAATGATCAAATTTCATTTGCTTATCAAACACAAAGAAAGGCTTTTCCGTGGTTACAACGAAAGCAGTATGTACAAACCCTTCTACTGGGTTCGATCCACAGGACGCCATGGTATTGGCCTATTACTTTTAAGACCAGAATACGATGTTCTGTCTTTAACCACTTTAGAGCTTGGTGTAGAAACACTGCACGTGAACATTACTGAAAATCCTAGTAACTGCCTCAGCCAGCTTGCATACACGGACATAGAGGTGCTGTTTAGGGAGCTAGTTATGAACGACTTTCAAAATACAAGTTCCGGTGAAATTGTAAAACTGAAACCTACGGACCATGTCTGTAACATGCACGTGACGGATAATGAAGGTGTTGCGGATTTCAGATTTCTATGTTGTCAAAGAAGCGGAACTAATCATATAAGTTGCAGTTACCTACAATCTGACACATGGCTCAATGTTCTATTCTTCGTTATTGTACTGTTGAAAGCTATCGTGGTTTTGTTTAGTCCAAGATTAATACCCGATTCATTCTATCGTCTGAAACATATAGCCGCTCCTTATGTACACAGATTGGAAAAACCTTTCACCATAACTACTGTTGTAACAACAGATCCTAACAGATACACAAACGTAAAGAACCAGTTTAAATTGTCAAAATTCAGGGAAATGAAGAACTTTAAGACAACATTGCAAAATCTCACACTCGATATACCTTATGAACTTGAAATGAATCGAGTTCATCTTCGAGTTAAAAGTGGGCGTTTGCTGCCAGAGGATTCTGCACCAGCTGGACTGTTTCGGACAATGCATGAATCTTTTTTCAAGTGTAAAATTCGCGGAAGAGCTGCTCTTGCAGATTGTTGTAATTCCAACTTTTTCTCGTTTTCTAATTGTCACAACAAAACCACATCTTGGTATACGGTTTTAAAACGTTTCATGGCAGCGGTTCTGCTTATTTTTCTGGCTACACCTTGGATTATCCGAATGTATGTTTACTTTCGATATGAAGACGCAGAAATGCATATGCGGAAACAATTTGCAGCCGAAAAATCACTACGATTCTATTTCCCGGGAAATTTCACTCTATTACTTACACCCTTACATGTTATTTTTATTGTTATCTACATTCTCTTGTGCTTTGAGTCCTGTGCATTTGGTATTATGAGTCATAAGATGAAGGAACAATTCAAATTCGTTCTCCGGAAGTGTTTCAAGGACATGCGTGAAATGAAACAAATGGATGTAATTGGTTGGCTAGTTAGGATTGCCGTTAAACCGTGCGCAAAGTTTGGTGGTATAGGGATTTGTGTTGGACTAATTACATGGACTCTTACACTGCCAGTCTTGTTTCTTATCCTTTCGTTTTACATATTTCCAACTGTAAATATAACTCTGCGGCTTCTAGCTCACTTTGTGGTGTATATTTTGCCCAAGAACGCGTGTAATGAGATGAAATTATTTGCTAGACTTTCAAAATACATTGACAGTTTAGAGCAAAGGTTAGATATGGATCAGATTGCTAAAGCTGAATCGTTAGAGAAGAACGAATCTGTATTGAGGTCCGGGTGGAAGAGATTCCAACAGTTGATCATTATATCATTGTGTCTACTGTCAATGTATTCAATAATATTTCTTGTGACAGAGTTCGTGTCCTTCATTGTGGAAATATTCGTATATACTTTAATGGGCCTCATTCTAAATGCATCAATGACATTAACCTATTTCTCACTAGCGTTCCTAATCTGGGTTTACGGAAACGACTGCTTTGGTGCTGTCAGTAAAAGATTTCTTGCATTTAACAAGACGATGAATGCTGCAATTCTAGAACTTGGTAAGAAAAAGGTTGAAAATGAAATTTATTCAGATGATGAAAAACAGGAGAACATTGCATTTAGAGTGAAGACTGAGAGGGTGGAAAAGGTCGAAAATCCGGTACAACTTGTAACAAACGCGGACTGTGTACCAAGATGGGAAATTTCAAGACTTGTTTTGTTCCTCAGTAAGAATAACCGACCTATGATTCCAAAGACCTTTTATTTCAAGTCCTGTATGATGCCATTCTACAGTGTTCCGGGAGAACTTGTGGTGAATTACTTAAGAGCAGCAAGTGAGTTTGGGATGATTTTATTATTCCTTATGTTTGTTCTTGTTGTCGTTCTCGCATTTGGGGACACTTACGAGATTTCAGCTACCAATAAAATGTTGGCTACAATCGCTGGGGGATTTTTGCCATTTATGTTAAGAAACATTGTGTTTAAATCACATGCTGTACCGACTGTGGATAAAGACAATATGCATTTTCAAATATGTCTACACCGTTTGTTAGATGACCACAAGCAGACGTGGCCAATTTACGACATTGATGTCGTAAACAGACAGATTTTGGTTGATAGTAAGTCTGAAAACGGAAATGGAAGCGCTGTAGAAACAACTGATATTAAAACACCAGTTTTCGAAGAAACAAACCCATTTATTGACAATGGCAGCCATAGAAACGGTAAGACAAATAATGAAAGTATTGATTTATTGATAAATATTGCAAGTGAAATAGACATTGACGATTTTCCTGGAATGAATGATGTCAAACACGGACGGGCTTATAATGGATCTACTTCTTTACTGGATGATTTGGAACCGGAAGAAAAAGAGATGCGTGAAATTCTGAAAAATGTGTAAAATGTTTTTCGGGTCATATACATTCCTCAGTCTGACCAACCAGTCCGTAAACTTGCATATTGCCCTCAAGGCCATGTTTGATTTGTTAAATAAATGATAATGTATAGATGATTATTTCGTTCTTCAGCTTAAAGTATCATTATTAATTTATTATCGTAACATGACATCATGTACTACAGAACGACAGAAGTTATTTTGTGTACTTTTACAATAACTTCTTTTGAATAAATTAGTTGGCACTTGTTTATATTTGTTTTTTGATAATTCTGGATACAGGAAGTGCCTATAATTAAACCTAATTATGTTTATATGACATTTGAACCTTATGATGATGCAATTCAATATGTCTTTAGCAGTTCAAGATATATATGCGCTTCGTATTTTATTTGTAAGCAAAAGCGTACAATTGTCAATATCCTAATTTTAGTAGCGAAAAAAAAAACAGCATATTTATAAAAGATGAAGCTCCACGGTCAGTTATCGGACAAAAGCGAATATGTTTAACATTTTAGATCAATTGAAATCTTATGATGTCATTGAATTATTTGTAAGTAAAAAGTTATAACCCAGTGACAAACATGTATTGTTTAAATAGAAACAATAAGGAAAGTAGTTTTTTGTAATCGTTTGATCTCTTTCATGTATTGTTTTTATGTCCTGCAATTTTACTTGTAATGTATGCAAAAAAATTTTAAAACCCATTTTTTTAAAATGGGCCCTTTGGAAATTTTAAATATGTTTTTCTTCCCATACGTTTTTTACCCCAAAATAAACAAATATGAAAGGGTTGAATAAGGTTGAAGTTATTGAAAATGAAACTAAATGTTAGCGTCATACATTCTAATGCCCTGCTTTGTTTATATAATAAGGTGTTGTTTCGTCTTTGAATTCTTTTAATTTTTAGAATTCTTTTAATTGAGATATTCGTACATATGTAACAGTGATGTTTCTGTGTATAATCAGTCTTTTCATAAAAAATGATGTTGATAACCTGCTTGCGCTAAACATTTTATATGTTTACCTTGTGGAAAGTCTTAAAGTTTCTTTAGACAATTGTATTTATTTAAAACATTTTATTATTTTAACAGACAACTGACAAATTTGTAAATTTATAATGTATATATTAAAAATTAGTCATTTTCGGTGAATTTACGAAGATATAGAGGATATTTGTTAAGTTCAGTGTAAGATCGGAATATATTTCACCGAGTGAGCACCAAAAGGTATATTTCACGAGTGGCGCAGCCACGAGTGAAATATGAACTTTTGGTGTTCACAAGGTGAAATATATTTCGATCTTACACTAAACTAAACAAATTTTCTTTTTATTACATGCAAAGAAACTTTTTAAAAACACATTTAACCTAATACTGAATGAAAAGCGCGCCAAATAATAATACAACGTGACGTCATTTACGACGTCACGTCATTAAGTTGGTACCCAGTACTGTGCACGCTGGTATTTCACTGAAACAACGTAAGGGGCTTAAATTCAAAACAGTGAAATTATCAAAGTGGTAATTTCACTGTTTCAAACAGTGAAATTACCAGTTTTATATCACTGATATATTTCTATAAACCACCGAAAAGCATGTAATAAAATAATAGCTGCTTAAAAGAATGGAAGCAAAAACGCAAGTTAATTATATACCACACACATCAAAGACATGTATATCAGGTATTCAGATAGCTTATCACGTCAACTTTACATTTGAGCCGTGTCACGACAAAACCAACAGAGTGCGTTTGCGACCAGCATGGATCCAGACCAGCCTGCGCATCCGCGCAGTCTGATCAGGATCCATTATGTTCGCTATCAGTTTCTCTACTTGTAATAGAGTTGGTAAGCGAACAGCATGGATCCTGATCAGACTGCGCGAATGCGCAGACTGGTCTGGATCCATGCTGGTCGCAAACGCATTATGTTGGTTTTGTCATGACGCGGCTCATTTGTCTACATATTAGCTAGTTCCGATTTCATCATTCTATATACATGTATTTATAGTAGTTTTTTTTCTTAATTATTAGTTAATTTTAGTTTTTAACAAAAGTTGTTTTAATAAAATGTCAAACATTATATTGTAATAAAAATGTAAAAACATGTATTGTTATTTTCGAGTCTTTTATAAGCTTGGCTATTCAACGAATAGAGGGCTGTTGTACCCACCCTGGCGTTGGCGTAGCTGTCAGCTTGCTTATTTTTTGAAGAGACTGGGCTGAAACTCCACATTCTTGTTATCTGAGATAATCTTATATGATGGGCTAAGGGCCCATAACTGAATTACCTTATTACAGCCATGACCCCTTTCCTATTGTCAAATACTGATAACAGTCGGTGAGTTGTTTGACGGACAGCTTTTGTTTATTTTCATACTCTATAAACATCATTTACAGAAATTGTCATGTCACTTTAGCGTTAATTTCCTTTAAGAAAAGCCTATATAAGAATGGTTTTTGACAAAATTATGCACTGTTTCGACATACAGCTTCTGTTAAGTTGTGTTTTTGTACCATCTCACTTACTTCCTATCCTTACATAATTATATTCCTTTGAAACTTAAGTACATGTAAGTAACATCATTCCACTTCAAGGCAAGTACTTATAAAAGTCGGGCATATAGTCTTACGGACATCTCTTGCTTCTGTTCTCTTGCTACCGGACGAATTTATGTCAGCGTTAATGTGGTTATTGAACAAGGTTCATAACTCTCGTGTAAATAATAATTGATTGAAATTACTGAAACATTTTACCATATCGTGTTAAAATCTGTTGATCTGGTATTTAATATGATTTTACAAATGTACAAGGAAAACAACTCGCCCTACAAACACATACTTATTGTTTTCCTATTTGCTCCCCTTTGTCATATTAGTAAATTCTTGTTCGATTGATACAGAAACTGATAGTTTGGACTGAGAGTGAAATATAGGTCCAATGTTTGCTCACGAACAGGAACTTAAAACAAAAATTTACATGTACGTAAGCGCATTGATTTTAGTGCAGCATTTCCTAGTAAATTACGGACATCATCAAAGTAGTGATATCCAAAATCTTTAACCCTTACCACAATAACTTTCTTACATGACCTCGTAAATTATTCATTCTGGACAAAACCATTCATCATTGCATTGCAAAATAAGAACTGACCGGCGGATAGTGCAGATGTCACAAAATGGTAGATACAGTTGTCGCCAGTAAAATTTCAGGACATGGAAACAAACAGTCTAATGTGTTTGTCGTAAATAGTTATCCCCAAAAGCATCTAAATCTTGTCCCCTCCTGATGATTAATTTGTTTATAGACTTGTACAAAACATCATTTCCTTTCAGTAAAACTCCCTATTAACATAGTTTTATTATCGGCTTTATTTTGGAGCAAATTAAAGGGGAACTTTGGGTTACTTCCCTTTTCTCCAATTTTATGATCACGATGATCATCGCTTGCTAGCTTTGTTACCTCTTCTTGAGTTACTGGTACACTGAACTTCATTTTTTCCAAGTTTCTAAATTTTTCTTTTATTGCTGATAATCTCTTAAATAACTCCCATGATTTTTTTTTACATTACAAGAAACAGACGAGATATACTTCAGTGTATATTTCATAATTCTCCATCATTTTCTTGATGAAAAAGTAAAATAAGGGATTTTAAATATAAACAAAGTAAATAGTATCATTGTTATTTATATAAATATATAATAAAACATGTCAATAAAATACATATACAGTAACAATATCAACAATTCATTAAAGTCTATATCAAAACTGGCAGTCATCAAGACATCATGAGCTGCTTTAATAGATTTTCTAAATATTTATAAGAGGAAAACATAATTAAGTCTTTGAACAAGAGCACTGCATGAGGTGTTTACCTCGTCTATAAAGGGCATAGACTATCTGTTATCAATTTTGATAAAACATTTGTGTTTAAAAAAAGTGCATATCTCCAAAAATATATAAATTAGCTTTTTGAATTATGCCAATTGTCTAACAAATGCACGTTGTCATGATAAGCAAGTATTCCAAGTTTCAGGTTAATAACTTTAAAGATAATGTAAAGGGCTAAACATAAATGTTTTTGCACGACGACGACGTTGTGGGCATAACAGCTCGACTTTTTCTCCGGAACAGACGAGCTAAAAATAAACCAGCTGGACAGTCTGTTTATAAAACATAAACTTTGTAAGCATTGCTCCTTTTGGCAAACAAATTAAATCAGTTTGTATAAACGGTGTTGTGAATCATATTTAATGAAATAACATTATGGATAACTATGTACATGTACAATTTGAAAACTATGATAGTACTGAAACATTGCGTATACTTTTTTGCTTAAATTTTGGACACATCTATTATATCACATTTATTATTAATCATGTTTAAAAAAGTTAAATAAAATGAGATTCATGTATAAGAGAAGAAAATATGGATTCTACACCCGAGAAATTTTCTCCATGGACCCTTCCAGATTTACCATACTTGGCGATGCTATTTTTGAATCGGGAATGACCATATTTGTTGGAGTTCCATTGTATTTTGAGCTATCTACGATATTAGAATCTCTGTACCGCGAATGTTCTGGACTATGTTTGAATGAAGGTGGTGAAACGGTTCTACGCGGACTACTTCGAACTTTTCGCACTTTTTCTTTTGGAACAGACGGCGACATATGATCAAACTTGTCTGTAAATCCGTTTGGTCTTTGAGCATGCGTACGTTGCTGTTCCGGATCACGCGGCGGAAGTTCCGGTCTACATGGAGGAACAGCTAGCTGAGTTCGTGGTTGTTTCTTTATTTGACCATTGTGATTATAATCCACTGGTTTTTTAAAGCTACTATGAGAACTGAGGCCATAACTTGTTGAAGGTGGTTTATAAATAGGTGAATCAGCAAAAGAATTAATTTGGTCGGAATTAGTCACGTGACCACGTGGACTTCCGGAATAATTACCAGAAGATGAGCTTTGTTGTATTTCATCGTCTTCATGAGTCGCGTGGAGATACATGTCACCGACAAAGCCTTGATTCACAATGCCGCCGTTTGATTGAGAATATTTGCATTTTCCCCATTTTAAAAAAAATTTTTGCTTTTTTCCATTTTGTACATAGAATCCCACTTACTTTTCATTGACGAATTCATCTCGGATAATTATTTAGCCGTTTTCATGAAAAAATGTCTGTTTTGTAAAGCAAAAATTTCCGTACCTTTTTTTCAACTTTTTTTCTTTCAGCTACTTTCTATTTTTGAAAAAAATGTAAAAATTATCTAAAAGACCCCAAACACGGAAATTCTCCATTTACTGTTTCTCTTTATTTGCCACATCAAAAAAACAAAGGGAAAACAAATTTTTTAAACATTGTTTTCCCTTTTAACTCAAAATATGACCTAAAAGCTAATGAACTTTTTTGTTATAAATTTTTGATTTTACATGTTCAAAGGGATAATTTAGCAGATAGCACCAATCAGACTAACTAGAACCCACTGTCATGGGGTAATACCCCCGCATACCACTTTGTCAGAATCAACAGTAGTAATTTAGAGCTCAAAGACAATCTCCCAGCCAAATCTGAGGGAAGTAAGCCAGTGCATAAATGCTAAGTTATGTATTCTACATGTTTTAAGTGACAAAGTGACCTTTACCTTTGATCTACTGACCTCAAAACTGAAACTGCCACTGAATGACTTCAATACATGCAGCTTTGCCTGGAGGTGTTTTATGATGAATATATGAGAACACAATTATGTGCTTTAAATGTTATAATGTAAAACTCAATACACTGTGGTCAGGCAGTCTTAAGCATTTGAGCAGACAAGCTTGTTATAATAAAAGATCCTGTGACCTTGACCTTTGACCCAGTGACCTCAAAATCAATAGGCGTCATCTAATAATCATTACTAGCCTCCATGCCAAATATGAAGACTATAATAGGGTTGACAAGCTATAACTAGTCAAGGCCCCTGTGACCTTGACCTTTCACTTGGTAACCTTAAAATAAATAAGGGTCATCTACTTATCATGACTAACCTCCATGACAAATATGAAGACTGTGGGTCAATGGATTCATAAGTTATTGGGCGGAAAATTTTTCTTCAGTCAAGGCTCCTGTGACCCTGACCTTTGACATGGTGACCTCAAAATAAATAGGGTTATCTACAAATCATGACTAACCTCCATGCCAAATATGAAGACCGTGGGTTAAAGGATTCTTAAGTTATTGGGCGGACATAATTTTTTCAGTCAAGGTCCCTGCGACCTTGACCTTTGACCTGGTGACCTCAAAATCAATAGGGGTCATCTACTAATCATGACTAACCTTCTTACCAAATAAGAAGACTATGGGTCAAAGGAATCTTAAGTTATTGGGCGGACAATATTTTTTCAGTCAAAGTCCCTGTGACCTTGACCTTTGACCTTGTGATGGTCATCTACTAATCATGACTAACCTTCTTGCTAAATGTAAAGACTGTGGGTCAAAGGAATCTTTAGTTATTGGGCGGACAAGCTTTTTGAAGTCAAGTCCCCTGTGACCTTGACCTTTGACCTGGTGACCTCAAAATCAATAGGGTTATCTACAAATCATGACTAACCTCGATGCCAAATATGAAGACTGTGGGTCAAACGAATCTAAAGTTATTGGGCGGACAAGCTTTTTAAAGTCAATGCCCATGTGACCATTGACCTGGTGACCTCAAAATCAACAGGAGTCATGTTCTTATCATGACTAGTCTTCATGCCAAATATGAAGACTGTTGGTCAAAGGAAACTTAAGTTATTGGGCGGATAAGAAAAAACCGACGGTCGCCCGACGGCCGGACAGCCGGGCGCCGGACAGCCGGACGGACAATCTGATTCCAGCATAACCCCCTTACAACTTTGTTGTGCGGGGGTATAATAACGACTGTAGCTTCTGTAACAATTAATGCAGTCACCTTAGAAGGATAACTGCAAGAAAAAATAAAGTAGGAATAATTTTAGTACTGCACTGATTGAGCAAATTAATAAAAGTTTAGCAAGGGGCCTATGTCTAGATTCGAAGCTATATAAACATGTGTCATTCACATTAAAGATCTATTTAGCCACAAACACGCTAATATTTATTTCTCAAAATCTTTTAGTTTCAGTTCTCTGTTACAGTTTTGAAAATCTCATTGGCCACATCTCAGAACCATGTTTTACTTCTTTTGCTTTTTGACCATAGTTAAAGTTAGTGTGATTAAGTATGTTGTATTCAAGTCAAAATACTACTTTGTTTAAATTTTGCTACTTTTATGACAAATTTGCTACTTAAATGACAAATAATTTCACATAAAACATTTTGTTTTCAACGTTATGAGCAGCTTTCATGGTCTGGATCGATAATTATCAAAATATCATTATAAACAAATTTGCCTTTTCTTGACAGGAAAATAGAGGCTTTATGCGCCTTTAAAAGACGAGATACAAATATGATTATAAAGCGCATTTCACGTGAAACTTACCAATAATTCGTCGTCTGAGGTAACAGACAATTATAATGCTCATTACCATTATCACAACAAACAGGAAACCGAGAATCCCTATTATCGTGTAGTCTGGAACAGCGAAATCTTCTGTCTCGGTATGCATGTGCGTAGTCGTTGCTATGGTAACAGGTTTTGTGAAGGAGCCATTCGTGCAATGTCCACAGTAGTTTCCGAAGCAATCACCACTGACTGTTTGATAGAAATTTATTTTGTTTTCATCCAGTGTCAGCAGGCCTTCATCGTAGGAACCAATCTAAAATATATTAATGTGTTTTATAGTTAAGTTTTTCTAGTGTACATTCATTAGTCATCATCAGATGCAGTGGCGTACCTACCGATACACCAATACGCACGGGCGTATAAAAATAAAAGAGTTTCGTAAAAAAATCATAAATAAAATCAATAATTTGGGCGTAAATCGATCAACATATTCGTAGCTGCTAATTGATTCCATAGGTATGCTTATGATGTTACCTAATTCGAATTTTCTTTACCTATTAACATGCATACATAGTCAAAAATTCAATAATGAGAAAAGGGAGTAAGCACATATGGGCAAATTGAAACAAAATACATTGCTTGTGTGTGTCAACGGGTAGCCATTTTAGAGAGAATTATTCTATCGTTGTGTCAGACTCGAATCCGAGAAATCAATGTTTAGAGGAGGTATGATTTAAATTATCTTTAACATTTCAGTTTATACCATCCTATGCGAAGGATGAGACTTTTAAACTCAGAAAACAAAATATTCGACCTTTCTACAGAAGCACGGAGTGACGTACACAATGTTTTTATGATATAAACAATTTCTTGGAATTTTCTCTTTATTTTCAACTTGAGTTAAGCTTTGAATTATCAATGTACATATGCTAATAAATCATAAACGTCGTTATATGATAAATTATAAATATGTTACAATCAATTTTTTTCAGAAAAATTAAAATCAATGAAAACTAAAAATTTATTTCATTTTTTACATCTAGATCTATATGAATATAGATCTTGTCTACAACTTGACGTTTAAGGGAGTTAGCTGTATGGAATGTCTTTTTGTATTTTCTGACCGAAGGTCAGTAAATACATAGCAGGCATTCAATCTCTGACACAGAATTTCCCGACAAACCTAACAACAAGTAGTTCCCAAAACAGCTTAAAACTAGCGATTTAAAAGAAAGAAATATTTTTTTTTTGTTACAAGTATCCAACAAATTACAACGCATTCAAAGTTTAAAAGTAGCGTTGTCTTATAGAATTGTCAATAAATGCACAATCACAAATTACGCGGATGAATTTGATTTTAATCAATGAAAATGCTATTTTTAGCGATGTCGATTACCGAATACTACACAAATAAATCTGACTGCCGAGTTGTGGAATATATAGATTCTACATGTCGGACTGTTTGGGCGAGAAGATTTTCGCTAAATTATTTACTTCAATTTTAAACAACAGGTTTATCCTGAACCAAATACCTCGAAATTAATAAGGATTACAAACCTGGAATGCAATGAAATTTCTAAATTTAGAATGACTAGATTTTATTCAGACGATGTTTATATAACTTCTCCGTGGTGCAGGGGTAACGCGCTCGTCTAGTGTGTTAGAGGTCTGGAGTTCAAATCCAAGTCGAGGCAACTTTTTTTTAATTCTTTTTTAAGTGTCTTGTAAAGGAAGCAGCCATGATATGCAATGATAAAGTGTGGCTGTCATAAAAATTGAACATAAATGATTTTTTGATCCAACTCTACTGTAGTTATGCAAAATTCCGTATGTATCAAACTCTGGTGCTTTGCAAGATGAATTATAGTACATAAAATAAACTTATACAGGAAAATACATACAGATATACAGTACGATTTAGATTGCAAAGATCAGAAAATACCACAGAGCTTGCAGCCCTTTGATTATATTAAATGAGCCGCGTCATGACAAAACCAACATAATGGGTTTGCGACCAGCATGGATCCAGACCAGCCTGCGCATCCGCGCAGTCTGATCAGGATTCATGCTGTTCGCTTACAAACCCTATAACAAGTAGAGAAACTGATAGCGAACAGCATGAATCCTGATCAGACTGCGCGGATGCGCAGGCTGGTCTGGATCCATGCAGGTCGCAAACCCATTATGTTGGTTTTGTCATGACGCGGCTCATTTTACCTTGTATAGCTATAAGTCAGTATATTATCTTTAAGTTAGTAACATTCATTAATTGTATATTCATTTCAAATTGTGTACAATAGTTTGGGTCCTACCAATCATTACAGCGAACCATTGACAACATCTATCGTCACAAACTAAACTCAAAGTTTGTTTATTTGACCGTAAAAAAAGAATACAAATATTTACAAAATATATTACTTCAGAAAGTTGTTTCTACTGTGTTATATTATTGAGTATAGACATTATACGTAGTCTCATCTATACATATTTAAAACATAGTCAAATATATAACGAGGACAATCTATAACAATATAAGACACGCCATGTCCAAATTCCTCTATTTTCGCCAATTTTAGATAACGAGTTGGCGAGTCTTTTTATACTTACATGCTTTTATGTGCGTGAGGCATTAACTACGTAATGAAATAACTTAAATATTTCGAATGGAAATTGAAAGAGCAGAGTTGAGGAGAAAAAAACTATTAAAGACAATATTTATTGTCTTCAACATTGACTTAATACGCATTTAAAATATTTTAACGAAGCTAAATGATCATGCGATACTACATTTTAGCTGTCAATACGATAATTTTTCGTTACAATTAACCATTTAAGCTCTTGTGTTTGTATTAAAGTCATACAGATCTTTTTAAAGCATATTTTCCTTGATAATATCACATGTTAAGTTATGGTGAAACGAAAGAAAAATAACAGGAAAAAACTAAACTTGTGAAACCCTTCTTTATCACAATAGAGACACATGGCTTTGTTTTGTTTTTCTAATACTAAATAACTTTTGAACCATTTAAAACAGTGTGCACGTTAGACTTCGTGCAATTTCTCTTACATTCAAAATATGTACTTGATGTTATTTTCATAACTACAGATAAAGACAATAATAGTACAATTAGCTTAGATATCCCTTAAAGCCCTAGTTATAGCACAGAGCTATATTAAATATATAAGTATATTGCGACAATTCGACCAAAGACCTGCACTCGGCGTACACTCAAAATAAGCCGAGGTACGCCCCTGAGACGATAGAATCCAAACGTCGTCATCTCTAATGATATGAAAAATTCAAATTCAAATTACAGCCTTATAAGAATATTTTGATACATAGCCAGACATATTTGATATAATTATTTTTATTTCGGATACCTTAATACACTTTAACATGTTTAGATATTTACTATGTCAACATACATTCACAATGATATAATACATTTAGACTACGTTAACATACACTTAATATGTTTATATTATTAATGCACGGCTTTTTAGGGCTTTGAATTCACGGAAACAAATAACTACTTTTAAACATTAATCAAGATTAGCTACTAGTAAAACTTAATTAGTTTTATTTTCATTGCATGTAAAAACAAGAACGTGTTTGTTAAACACAAATGCCCCCGGCTCAGATTCTTGTCAGTAACACTATTTAAAATAAAGGCTGTATGGGCAAAAGTGTAAAAAATCTATTTTAGCACTGGTGACCTTGACCCAAATGACCCCTAACTCCATCCAAAGGAAGAGTATCATGCAACTTATTTTCCTACCAAATATGAAATAAATCTGTCAATATATAAAGGCTGTATGGGCAAAAGTGTAAAAATCTATTTTTAGCACTGTTGACCTTGACCCAACTGACCCCTAACTCCATCCAAAGGAAGAATACCATTTAAGTTATCTTCCTACCAATTATAATACAAATTTGTCAATAAATAAAGGCTGTATGAGCAAAAGTGTAAAAATCTAATTTTAGCACTGGTGACCTTGACCCAACTGACCCCTACCTCCATCCAAATGAGAATACCTCAATTTTATGTTCCTACAAAATATACAAGACTTCGATAGAATAAGGTTAATACACCTGTAAAAGTGTAAAAAATCTATTTTTGACATTGGTGACCTTGGCCCAAATGACCCCTTACTAGGAAAAGGAAGAGGACCTCCCTTGGTATGACTATTATAAACATGAAAGACATTAACTTAAAAATAAAGGCTGTATGAGCAGAAATGTTTAGATTTATTTTTTTACACAAGTGACCTTGACCTTGACTTAGAGACGCCTAACGCCACAAAAAATTAGAGGAACGTTAAAGGTATCCACCTACCAAATATGAAAGATATCATTAAATAAATTAAGTAATTAGATGGATTTTTTTTTATATATCCAACTTGGCGAAATAGGTTAACCATACAAGGCCCTATTTTCAAAGTGATAAAAAGGGAAATTACTGGGAAAATGGATGGCACATTTATATAACTTGGCAATATCATGTACATTGTATTGATAAGTAAGTGTGAAAAATTTTAAGCCATTAGTTCAGATAGAACATAAGATATTTCCAACTTGCCGGTTTAGGTTAACCATTATTCATTTTTAAGTGCTGAAAAGGCCCATAACTTGGTGCAAATGAAAGCCATAGTTATGTAACTTGCCCAGATCATTATACTTTGTATGGATTAGTAAGTGTGTAAATTATGAAGCCATTGGTACAGATAGAACTTAAGAAAAAATCCAACTTGTCGTTCTAGGTTAACCTCGTACGGACAGACGGACAGACGGACGGACGGTTCGATTACTATATGCCCGGGGGCATAAAAAGTAAAAACAAATTGCGTCAAATAAAAAGGCAAAAAAAATAAATTTTGTTTTCATTTAATAACTATCATAGTTTTCTGATGTGAAATAATTTAAATGCCCAGAACATTAATTACAGATCATCAAATTAAAATATCCATGCATGTAATTTGCCTTCTCATTATTGTTTTACAATTTTCGCGATAAATAAGAAACGAATATTATTTGAGCCGCGTCACGACAAAACCAACATAATGGGTTTGTGACCAGCATGGATCCAGACCATGCGGATGCGCAGGCTGGTCTGGATCCATGCCGGTCGCAAACGCACTATGTTGGTTTTGTCGTGACGCAGCTCATTTCATAAAATGCGAACTCTGTGCCACATTAGGGTTCTTACCAGAAGTTACGTTTTTACGATTTCAATATATTTGACTAGATTTTAATTCTTATATTGCTACTGATTAATCTATCTGTGACCGGGTTTGTTTTGATGTATTTTAGTGTTGTGTTCTAATGCTGTTATAAGTATATGTACATGTACATACATGTACTAAAATCTTTGCAAACAAAAATATTTCAAATAAAATATTAAAGGACCCCTTACCGGTATATAGTCAAGGTCTCCATTTGCTGATTTCTGCACATTGTTCACTTTAAACCCTACGTTTCCATTTCCATCATCTTTAAATACCCTTGCGCCATTTTCGCCACGTGTTATCTCGACTTCCCGAATGTACTTTACAACATTTGTTATATACTGGAAATATTTTTGGCACGGAAATGTATTCCCCTGCGGCAAGTTTGGATTACAGAATTCCTCCTGTGACTGTTTAAGGCCACGAGCCAACGCCTGGACGGCAACCGCTGTATGAACAATTCTGTGGTCCTCTACAAAATGTGTGATGTTATCGTCAGAAAATTTCAAAGTTTCGTCGCAAACAATGTCAAATTTATGTCGAAAAGTTTGAGGAAGATCACACTGAAAAGTTTCTTCCCAATATTCAACAAACCATGGATTTCTAGAGTGCATCGCAGTCTTTGGATTAAGGCTCCTTAAATGATGTTCTAAGGGTTTTCCTGCTAAACTTTCCACTTCATTCTTTAATGTAATACTTCCTAGTGTCCGCTCCTTTCCTATGTCTAATATATACTGTCTATCTCCCCAATCCTCGCTTGCAAGAAAAATGAAGTCGTTTTGTTCCTTTCTATCATTTATAACTTTAAGAAATTGTTCAATTCTTGCTTCAGTTCCAAAGTAAACTACCACGTCAGCTCTTTGAACATTCAGTCTTGAAAACACACCAATCAGTTCACTGTCTGAGTTATCATCACTCACATCGCTTATCCCTTCTGGTGATGCAGCAATACATATACCACTTTGATTTGCAAGTCTAACAAAAGCTTCCATTCCTTTGCTACCGTAGTTATTCTCAACATACAACAAACTTACATAACTCCAGCCCATACGTTTAATAATGCTGATCATCGCCCGGGCTTGTTCGACATCACTTGGAACTGTCCGTAGAAAATACGGAAAATTAATTCGGTCGTCCAAATCGGGGGAAGACGCCGAAGCAGAAATGACTGGAATTTTCTTCTCGGTCATGAGAAATCCCACAGGTATAGTGACCGAGCTGCTGACTGTCATTACAACAGCAGCTATTCTCTCGACGTCAATTGACCCACCGGTATAAGGGTTTGTAAGGGAAACTTCCCCTGACAATATCTGACCAAGCACTAGCTCCGTCTGAGCAGAGCTGTAACAATCGTCAATAGCAATTGCACCAAACTGTATACCTGTTTCATTTCTCATTTGTTGTACGCTAAATAAAAACGCTTCAATTGTAATAATATCCATCTGAAAGGTGCGGAATTTGGAACATCTAAATGGGTCATTCGGATCTGTTTCATGAACAGCAAATACACCCAGTATAAATGTTTCACCATCAAGAAAGGCAAATGAGATATCTGGTATGTTTTCACATATCGCACATTCCTCGTTACATATTGACGATGCCATCATTTCCGTGCGAAACTCCGTAAAGTTGATAGAGCTGCCACGAAAGTCACCAATCTGTGAGGAATACAATAAACAAAAACTGGGGTTATTTACAATACATCTTACGTTTGAAATATATTTCGTCAATATAAGTCATTTCGCGTTCTTCTAAAAAAGATTTAAAATCATTTATGTAAATAAATGTAGTGTTTATCTTTTAGGTCTTGTAGATTTTGAAGACACACCAAAACTACTAAGGGTAATATGGCGACTTTTAAGAAGAGCAAGTGCCCCCATCGTGCAAGATGGTTTGAAAGCGAACCCAAATCACTCAGCAATGTAAGCTAAATTGACAATGTGTCTGTCCTCAAAACGTTAAACCAATTTCAACTATTTGAGCAAATTGTTACAGAACTGATTAATAGAATTCTATTTTGAGGTCTATTATGTCATATGTTATATCATTTCATTATTATTTAAAGTCATGGTAAGTAGAGTGGTTTACATGTAAACATCTACTTCATTTTATCAATGATTTGACGATTACTTGCAGATATGTTTTATAAAAACAAGAAACTAAGCAGTAAAGAAACTTGCCTTTGTGACATTATCTTGATCTACAACAAATATAGCATACAGGCTCATGTCAGCATTGGGTAAAAATTCACCATTGTCCTCAAAACTTGCTGTTCTTACGTCATCGGCGAACTCTTGTACTGTAATTATGTCAGCAATATCTGCATACTTCACTGGATGATTCTGAACATCAGACAACTTGAATTCAAAAGCAGTTCTTAGTTGGTCACACATATAACTAGAGCAGTATAATTTAGTTTGTCTCTGTAACGCGGACGCAAACACATACACGGCGTCAATTGTTGCTGCAATGTCTTTATGAGTGATATCTGAAACTTCCGTATCACCTAAACATCTTATCAAACGTTCAATATCGTCTGCAGGTGACTCTGATTCCGAAAACTTTCCCGCCAAAAATTCCTGTACGTCTTTCACGTGATTTACAGTAGGTGAAATGATATACATTCCTTTTTCAAGACCACTAGAGGAATCAAACGGCACTGAAGTATCTTCAGGGTTTTCTACGACTATCCAGCTGATGTTAAACATTACGTCTTTAGAGTAACTCAATTCCGTTTGCATACTACGGTATATATTACGTCTGCCAAAGTATACAACACGCAATGAATTGTGCTTTGTTTTCTTCCTCTGTTGTATTAGCAAATCCTTCTTTATGTCAGGTCCTGTCTGGAAATAAAGTTTTAAACAATATTACTCTGTGTCTGGCAATAAATCAAACATGATAATCAAGTGCTAAATCTTTTCCAAGCAATCCGAAAAGCAAGAACAAATTAAGGTAAAAAGAAATTAATCTTAATCAAAAGGTACATAGTTACGATGAAAATGTTTCAACAGTTGTCAGAATATCTGGGTATATTATATAATTATGATATAGCACATTTTGAATTAACCTGTTTCGTTAAAGCCGCAGCAAATCTTTTTCCGTTCGATGCAAAAGATTTTGATATTTTATAAAGTCATGGAAACTGAGTTTATAAAAGATCACTTACATAGTTAAAAAGAAATAATTAAAATAACATCCCCGTTATGTGAATATTCATTTTAATTGACATGCAGTATAAGAAAACTTTTGTAAAGCAGGACTTATTTTTGAGAAATCTGATAATGATTTGTTAAAAAAAAATATATACGAAATAATGACAAGATAATGATCAGCAAAATTCATAATTCATATTGCTTTTTTTAGGATGTACGCTGTTATTTATACGAATGGTCCAGTTTTCTAAAATTTACAAATCATTTATATTGGAGCCAATATCAAACCTTACCACGTTACATATCTTGAATTTACTTGTTCACCCAAACTATTCATCATCTTAGGAGAAGTTTACAAAATAAGAAATGATCTAATAGCAGACAGTACAGACCTTGACCGGACAGCAAAGATTTAGAGGCTGATCTTAGTCTACACTGGACGCATAGGTACTATTATTTGTCGCCACCGTCTATTCTATTATATTAAGAAAGTTCAGTAATTATACCTCTATACTTTGTATACTGTCTACACATATGCCATTGGCTTTGCTGATTTCTTTTAGTTTGTAAGCACCGTATCTACCAAAGTCGTCGTCTGTATGCACAACCGCTACATATGTTAATCTAAGTTGCCGGAGTAAGTCAGCGGTCGCCTGAAAAATATTAAACATACATTTGTATTATTAAAATAGATTTCTGTTCATTATGTCTGTGACAAAATGATGTACACCAGAAATTTTTAGATATCTGAATTTGTAATTCAAATCATATTAAGATTTGGTGCTTCCTTTTACACGTTTTCGGCCATACCTAGCTAAATGATATTTTTAGTGATATATTTAACTACTTTAAACGTATTAATTATTATTTCATAAATTAATGAATGTACACGACTACTTTCAAGGTATTAATCATTATTTTCATAAAGTAATTAATGTACAAAACTAAAGCTTCAAGAATCCGTGATTTTAATTTCTTCTTAGAGTCTATAACATTCTCGCTCTTTCATGGTAATAAGCAAATTTCAATTTTAAGATGTACTACGCTGAAATTTGAAAATAGATATTGATAATTGTTAAACAGTCTTTTTGTAAATATGAAGTAAAAAGTGTTTTGTCTTCACACAAAGTATATATAATATGAGTTATGCTTTAAATCCTAAAAACTTTTATAAGTTGGCACACTACAAACATACAGTGTCATTTAAAAATCTGGCTTTTTTTAAAGCAAGAATCAGCTTGACCCGTAATAAGGAACGGAGATTTCCATACATAGTTTGTACGTTCTTTTATTTGAATAAGACATATTCAGTAAAAAATTTATAGATTTCAAAACATTTCTGCAATAAAAATATTCTACTCAAAGATGAGCATAGTCTTTTAGCAAAGATAGATTATCTAAATCAGAGGCAGAAAGTGTATTTAGCTCACCTGGATTTGTTGAAGGTCGTTTGGCACGGTTCTGTAATAGTTGGAGTACCTGGTTAGGTTGTGATAGGTAGCATATGGTCCGATCACTGGTAGCTGGCTTCCTCGCAGAGCATATAACATGAACTCTGTTGTAGTGCTGTTTGATCCCCCAATTATCCCTGTAATGAAATAAATAAAGCTATTATATCTATTGTAAATCGATCCATTTTTTCGCGTTAAAAAAAGCTGATATTATAAATTTTGTCAACTTATCACTTTACAAATACAAATGTCTGGAAAAAAGTGATCCCCGGAAGCATTAAAAACAGCCAAATTACACGAAAATTGAAGACTCGGTTTGATTGCGTCATGAGGGATAATGAAAAAATGAAAAATGACACATCCCTCACGCCTCCTAGCACCGGCTTTAGCGGTACGAGCCGTACTCAATTCTCAACACTTAAAAGTGCTTCACTCAATGATCCCGAAGAACCAGAAAAGTGTAATTACATTGAAGTGAAGTACACGTATTGGGAAGTGACAATAAGTGACAGTAAATGAAGAAGTTGTCGGAATTATAGCAGCTAGCAGTAGAATAGCTCATTTAGCGATATTTATAGTGTCTTCAGTTTTCTCATTACGGTGAAGATTTTGATGAATATTGCACATGTACTTTGTTAGGAAGGTATCAGTCTTACCATGTGTCAATAGAAAGTACGGCATACATGTTTCTACTTCTTAATTCGTCAATTAATAATAAATTGGCATTACTAAAGTTTTGTCTCAACGTCATACCAGACAAGGTAACATAGCAGAATACAACAATAAAACACATTTCGTTAAAAATGCATTCTGTAAAAGTGCATGGTATATAACTATTACACTCATTTTACAGTTTAAAACACTGTAAAAACTTAATGTATTTGGCTATTTAACAAAATATTTTACAAGTTTACAAGTACAAAACACTAGTTTAAAATACATTTATCTGAACTGAATGTTATTTTGCAAAGATTTTATCATCACATTTATTTATGAAAGCAGTGGTTTTTGTGAAACTACATTGTCATGGTAATTGGTGCAATCTATGTAAACTTTTACTGGTAGAGGAAGTGTGACTATGTGTGCAGGAAGTGTGACTATGTGTACATGAAGTGTGACTATGTGTACATGAAGTGTGGCTATGTGTAGATGAAGTGCGACTATGTGTACAATGAAGTGTGACTTTGTGTACAGGAAGTGTGACTATGTGTGCAGGAAGTGTGACTATGTGTACAGGAAGTGTGACTATGTGTACAGGAAGTGTGGCTATATGTACAGGAAGTGTGGCTATGTGTACAGAAAGTGTGGCTATGTGTACAATGAAGTGTGACTATGTGTACAGGTTGTGTGGCTTTGTGTACAGAAAGTGTGGCTATGTGTACAGAAAGTTAGGCTTTGTGTACAGGGAGTGTGACTATATGTACAGGAAGTGTGGCTATATGTGTACAGACATTAGCAGCGCTACATCTGAAACAAAACTTTTCATTTTCTTTCACCCTACTGGCTATCTTCCTGACACGACTTTTCATTTTGTATTAAAGCGGTTTAAGTCACATAAACACGATTTATTTGACGGAAGTGGAGATTTTCTCTCAGAATCTGATTTCACTGCGTGATATGTTACTAGTCATCTTTAATTAAAATTAAATTGAGGAATGCATTTACCTATAAAATGCTGAATTCCTTAAATGGACTAGTCAAGCTTCCATTTTTTGGAACTGTCCATTATCAGATTGGGGATATAAATTTTAAGTTTGTCAGCCGACAATAACAAGTCTGGTCAGACTGTACTGCGAGCTGGCCTGTGTTTTTCATATACTAGTCGCAAAGGCTAATCAATTTGGTTCCAATCAGGTAGGTGCTAATTTGTGAACATATTACAATTTCTGTGACTATTTGGGACCGAGGTTAAACTTACCTATATTGCATGAATCTGGAGCTGCATCTAGGCATTGTTGTGTACCGAGGATAGGTCCATCTAAAATATCAAGGGCTCGTGCCATGGTGTTCCTTGGTATACCACAGTCATCGAAGACATCAAAACCTGTATGAATACAAGACATCAAAACGTGTATAACTTTAAGTCATCAAAACCTGTTTAAATATACGACATCAAAACCTCCATCAATATAAGACATCGAAACCTGTATAAATATAAGGCATAAAAATCTGCAAAATATAAGACATCAAAACTGTATAAATATAAGACATCAAAACTGTATAAATATAAGACATCAAAACTGTATAGATATAAGACATTAAAACCTGTATAACTTTAAGTCATCAAAACCTGTATAACAGTAAGACATCAAAATGTGTATACATATGCAAGACATCAAAACCTGTATAAATATGCGACATCAAAACCTGTGTCAATATAAGAGATCAACATCGGGCTCGACAATGTCATCAAAACTTGAATAAATATAAATCAAAACTGTATAAATGTACGAATTCTATAAATGTAAATGTGTTAGAATGTGAAGAACAGCTACCGAGTATAACGGGATTCAATCTTAAAAAATCGAACCCAGTAAATCAATATTAGATTTGTATAAGACACTGAATGTCGGATTTTTACGAGCTTGTGTGTGTTGTAATTGCATAATCATGTACTCTAACATAAAAAAGTGTGCAAACATGCCTTTAACTTATCATTCAACCTTTTTTGTACTTTCTTTAGACTTATATTTGTACACTTAAGGTGACAACGTTCTCAATATTTGTAATCATAAAAAATCTAATTACAACATAAACTGATATTCAATCACATGAACAACGATTCTTATTCATATAAGATGATAAATTAGACATCCTGGGCACGTTATAAGTAGCGAGATAACAAACGAGCAACCTGTATTAATGTGAACATTTACGAGCATTTGTGTACAAAACCAACACGAACAAACTCTCTTTATAAATTGTTACGGTAATATTCTGATGCACTGGTAGCTTTTTAAAGATGATTCAAGTTCAAAGAAACTTATAGGAAACGTTCGAACATTTGCGAACGTTAACTTATATGTATTTAGAACAATAGCATGCTAAAGTTCTACTTTATATTTGTATTATACATACCCTTATGTTTAAATAACTAATTTAACATGAAATGGTGGATAAATAAACATGTTTGATTAGCTATATAATAAATAGACTATGTCTGAACTTTTAAAATACATAAATGCTTATAAAGTAAACATTAGCACACGTTTAAAAAAACGGTATTTGCTTAACGCGCGGCAATAAAAAAAATCTCTTAAACTGTTTTGATTGAAATAGCAGCAAATCTGTACCATATATTTACAATCTTGTCCGCCACAGATACAACAACTATAGTATAAAACATTTCTCAATGAATGAAAGTGTAAAGACAGTTAAAATATGTTTTGAATACAAAAATGAGATGTTATTATAAGTGATGCGTGTCAGGAATGCGCGGTGAGGGGTTTATCCACGTAAAAATCTTTATAGTTCATATTTCACACACAAGCAGATGAAATTTTGTCATTATTTGATATATAATAACACTAGTTCGGTTACCTAACAAAGAAATGAGAAATTTAAAGCCACCTTTTGATGGAAAATGTTTGAGGATATAATTTGCAACATCCGGGGCTCGTAATAACAACTTTACTGTTCGTAAAATTTGAAAAGAATACGCTGTAATTTTAACAATCTCCTCAAACGCAATTTTAAAATAATTATTCTCAAGTATATTTGGGTACCTTTTGTATATGAATAGCGTTATTAGATGGACTTACAAATTGTCCTTTTATACAAGTTTTTCGTTCACATTTAAGGCAACACTCTTTTCAGTCCATTCAATTTAATGAAAATTGTCACAATAAACATAATTTGATAGATAAAAATATATACTAAAACAACAAAACCCTTTTATTCCAATGATATGATATGCATGTCAACAGACTGTTGACAAACAATTGCAAAAAAAAACAACAAAAAAACATGTAACAATTTTTACACAAGTCATATGGTTTTTCACCAAAAAGTCAAGAGCGTCTTTATGTTATAATGATTGATACATTGTATAAAGTATTTTAAGATATATCCAAATAAATAATCGAAAGACAAAATGACAAAATTTGTAAATCACAACTTCTTTGTTATTTGTATTAAATTCTGTCCATACACGTTACTTTTCCGTTTTCATGTATGAACAATCATATTAAAAAGACCATCTAACATAATCACACGTCTGACAATATACAAACCAGTTAATTCTATTCGAGGAGTGAATTTAAGACTGCATTTACTTAATAATAAACTGTCTGGTAATACAAAAAAATATTTGAAGATTTAATTATTTATTTTAAGTAACATATTTCATATCGATTTCATGTTGGGGGTAGCACCGAAATTTCGGATTATTTTGTGTATAGCCACAAATATGTAAAACTTTATGAACTAAAACCAATTGCGAAATGAACTATTTATGGTAAAATTTCAAAATAGACCTTTTGATAACATGATGTTTAAAACTGTTTTCTTTTAGCAGTTTAAGAACGATAAAACATTTTTTCAATAATTATGTCAATGAAAGTGAACAAATATAAAACAGAAACACACGAATCATTCACTTGTTCCACCTGCATTGCAAAAAGGTCTTTAGAATAGGTAGTGTTCATTCAACAATGATTCCATTAAGAACTCAGAATGGATCAGTTTCGCTGATTGGTATTTCGCTATAGCACTGCACATTATCAGTGGCAAAAAATGTTCAAGTCTTGGATGAGCAATGTTAATATTTGGAGCTGTTTTGGCTGATGAAAGTATTTTAATTTTCCTCTCGTCAGGCGACAAACTATCACACGTAAGCGTTTCATTCAACCATTGCTTGAATGCGGTTGCCCATGCAGGTGGCGGTGCCCCAGGTTTGCCTCCCTTGTGCGTAGCAAAACCACTACCAATAATCAACACGTTTTGTTCACACAGTTCTGATAGAGATTCTGCAATCTTTAGATGGTCACTAACTTCCATGTTCTTTAGTAGAGAGAGCTGACACACTGAAAAATAAACTCTAGATAATAAACTATGAAAAATGATTTTACATTATTATGTGTTATCAAAATTAATATGTTGTTTACACACCTCAAATGAAAAAGATTACATATGTACTTATATTTTATATCATGAGTATACTTTTATATCATGAGTATACAGCTTATATAGTATTGATACATTTTATACTTAGTTCTATTTTATATGACCAGTTTTGATCTGTTTATGTGTCCGCATCATGATCATAATGATAACTGTTATTCAGAGTTGGGCAAATGTAAAGCCACACGTAAAAAATAGACAAAAATAGGTGTTAATACTGACAGCTGGTAATTTCTAAGCTTTAAAGAAACGTATATACATGCACATTCACTGACCATAGCTCCTAAGATGAACCATTCTTTAACTGATATAATTCTATGTAATAAGCCTATGTCCAGTCTGTTATGTATTGCGTAAGGCTATATTATGTTTTATTATTTCTTAAATATTTTATTTTTTAGCCGACTTGAAGATGAAAATGACAATTTTCATAAAAACGGGGATACTGAAAAATTGACGATATTAGAGATCAGAAAGTTTGTAAAACTCGTAGCAATTTTCAATGTAGCCATATAAAATTGTTACTTTTATGTTTATTCTCAGAGGTGATACTGTACATGACATTGAGTATACAATATTGCAATGGATGCCTCGTGTGACGTAATGTTCTAAAAAAGTAAGCATTATATTCAAACTTATTTTTAGTTTAAGTAATTGTCAAAATTAATGGTTTTATTGATACTTTACTTTGAAACCTATAAGAGATAGAGATTATTTAACAGATAAAATAGAACACACCTGGGATATCTGCATCAGGATAAACAAGTTTTAGTGGAACAAATACTCCATGGTCCAACCCTCTATCACAATTCTCCTTACAAGTTATTCCACGCTCTTCAAGCAGACGTTTCACCTTTCTTGCAACTTCCGGTGCTCCTTTCACCGGCCATGACAGTTTGTACATTTCTGGCGGGAAATTGTAGTAGTCATAGTAGAGTGAATGCTTGGAATTGGTATTTACAGTACAGACAGATTCCTCCCAATGCGCGCTAATGACTAAGATCGCTTCCGGTTTCTTGAGTCCATGTGTTTTCACGAGAGTTCGAAGAAAGTCAGCTGCTTTTGAATCTTTGTCTAAACCATTGAACATCGGCATCGTTTTCACATCAAGATAATAAGAAGGTCCAGCTCCATGTGACAGAAACAGAACTGGTTGTAGTGTCTCCATTGTTTAATCCACACGACACACGCAATGAACACCAAACAAGTTTTGAAATAAAATGACTTTAAAGCTTACTTACATTATAGTTTTGCGGTATGTATTATTTTATCTGTGACAGACAACGTTTGTCCTCATTTATATACTAGAATATATCATTTGCTGTCCTGAATTATGACCTCTAAGGCAAATTGATTTATTGGCTTATAAAGACTAGCACTGACTCACTGGCATGGCTACCATAGCTAATGTGAGACGAGGATGCTATTTATTTATTTTTATTATGGGATGATGATTGTTTATATTCTGTCATACATCAATGTATATTCAATACATATTTTATATTGATTCTATGTTTAGATAAATATAGAATCAAGTGTGCATTTTAAATCAACATTACAGTAAAAACCCTCAATAATTAAAACCATTAATTATATTAAAATATGTCATATACTAGTACATGTTTATGATTTTCTTCCTTTGTAAGCTACACAAGAAATGTTTATGTAATAAAACATTAAAATGACCCCAAGCAGTCGTAGTTTTTTGTTTCTCTATATTTAGATATTTTGTTACACTTATACATTGTGTGTATTTTGAACATTAACAATTGTTATCATGCCAAAATTGGTATGTTTATTTATGCAAGATAAACTCCTGTATTGCTTTAAGATTCCAGTGCATTCTTCTTTATCTTATAAGTTGTTATTTTTCGTAGATTCATGTCCCATTAAATTATATAACTGAGCTTATATAAACGTATTAAATCAAAGGCGATGAATAAATAAATGTTCTTGATTTGTTTTGATATCATCGGCCATTAAAAGAATTATTTATATATGTAATGTTCCTGTGTTAGTAAGCAGATCTTGTATTGTTTGATAAAACCTGCTCGCAACCTTTGCGAAGCTCGGACTCATTATCCCTAGGTTGAGGAGACATGTTACCTCCCGAGCTTCTGTTTACTTTAACTTAATTAAATTATGCTAAAATAAGTGCCTATTCTGTTAAGATAAACACATGAAGTCGGATGTTACTCGCATTGTGCATATTGATATCTCTTTAAGATGTTAGCTCAAAGTTAAAGGCACGACCAGACAATTGCACGAGTTCAATGAGACATTAACCAATGTTTTATTCATAACCAAAGTAAAATATTAACATGTCCTTATACCGTGCAAATATTATCGATTTTCGGGAGATAAAAAGCGATCTGATTTGGATGCTTAAACTGTCATGTAAATATTTATCAGTCATTCATGCAAATCTTACAGTGAAAACTGTCAGATAAATCAATACTATTTTACGACATATAGAAAATACTTTATCGTAACTACTTTATTGTAATTACAAGCTATTATACAACTAAATACACGGAAAATACCACTACAGTTTTGTATTACAATTCTATGTCGCTAACAAATCAAATAAAGGCATTCCTTACAAAAATTGTTAATGTTTTTATGACAAACAAAATGTCAATCAACGTTTGTTATGTATCCATAAAGATAACGTGCATTTTGCTATTTAAAAAAAAACCCATAAAATGTAAAGAATGCACATATAGTTAATTATAAAAGCCAAGGTTTAGAGAAAAATATTTCCTGACGAATGTATATAACTAGTCAACTATGTCTGCAAAATCAGGTAATATGCAACTGAAATAGCGGTCGCTGTTGACAGATGGTCTGTCAAAGTTATAAAATTGCACTATTATTGATACATTTGGATAAAAGAAGTAATGATTGTATGTGGTCTTTCTTTCTCTGAAGGTTTTCCTTCTGCAGAGGTCTGAATGAAAATAACATCTTTAAGTAACAGACTTGCTCAAGAATGTAAAAAAGTCTTTATATACAGTCAAGGTCATATCAAATAATTTTAAAGTGGTCTTTTGTAATATGTTTAATTTTCTAAATTTGAAAATATTTGCCAACACTTTGGGAGTCTATGTCTGTTATAGTAGTGTGGGGGTAATGAGTTCTAGGTTTATCAAATTATTTTTAAAGAAATAAAAAAGTCTACCTATTTTAACTCCTTCTGTGAAGTTGTTCGCGTTCATTCTATCAACCACCCATTGCATAGTAGCAAGACGTTGAACTGCCGACGGCGAAATGGTACCGCTACATGTATCTCCGTCGGGAAGTCTTATTGTGCTTATTACAGAAAACTTCACGTCGGCATTTGGATTGATGGAGAATGATAATCCTGGACACTGACCACCCTGGCCGTCGACGAGATAACCATAACACAAAATACTGCATAAATAAATCCAAGCAATTCTCAACGACATTTTCTTTCAGGAATAGCAAAGGTGAAAATAAGTTGTCAGAAAGATAAAGAGAATACTTCTGATAAATTAGCAGATTCACATGTTTTATCCATCAGTACCCATCCTCTTTTAGCACGTTTCTCCCTCAAAACTTATTCCATCTTATTTATACGCAGATTCCAGTTTTACCTTTTTATTTACCTGCTACGAACTATACACATATCCATATTTAATATACACTCAAAAACGAAACTTTACTACAAATATCAAACATATTTTTTTTTCTTTTCATAAATTTGACATGCTTTTATGAGCACGTAAAACTTAAACTTAAAGCCCGAATGAAAACGTGTATGTACATCTCAATGAAAACGGATATTAAGTATGTTTATTTAATAAATCCCATTAACCAGTAATCCATGTCAAAAGTCGAAAAGTATATACTTCTATTTTATATATATGTATGTCAGCTTAATGACTTCTTTACGAAACAATCTGCACATCACATTGTTAAAACCTCCTAATGTACCTTTAATTCATGCAGAAATATTGTCCTATACTGTTTTCATACAACCATATACACAGGATAGGCTTCGTTTGGTCAAAATGTAAACACTCCGTAAAATTCCTTTTTACAGGTAAATAGAATACGGTAGAAGTAATTTAAGCCTATATTTCTACCTAGTTTATATATTCGTTTATCTAAACACGCCTGGGATTTTCACTCGTCACCTACTGATAATTTTATGATTTTATCTTATTTCGCGAGACCGTATTTTCAACATTTTTTTATTAAATGATAGTTTCCTTTAATGAATGCTACGACGCACACAGGTATGTGTGTGTACCTTTAAACTTCTCATTAAAGTTTTGGCCGACTTGTTTTCTATGTGTATACGTTTTTTATCTGTGTCACAAGACCGCGTAGTTCAGTGAATTAGGGACAAAATTAAAATTTGAAATAGTTTAAATGGAAATTCAATGAAATGATACCCGCGGCGAGGTTTACGGTTTCATTAAAACGGTCATGTTGAATGAAATAACTAGTCATTTTACTCTAGATTATCACTTTAAGGGGAATACTTAAGAGAAACTAATTGAAACCACGACAGTCGCTGTTTACTCGGTGATGATAAAACGTAACAGTGTATTTGAACAAGGGAGCAATTTGAGGTAAATCTCATCCTTGATCTAATAAAACGTGTCCTCCGACCAAATAAACAAGTTAAACTGATCACCTTTTGGAATCCTGTTATTTAATATATCTCATATTGTTTAGAAATTGATCAAGGTATCAAATATTAATAAGGAAATACTTTATATTCCTTAAATCCAAAAGCCACGTTAAGCATCTGGGACTTAACATCAATATTGTTTAGAAATTGGTCAAGGTATCAAATACATGTATTAATAAGGAAATACTTTATATTCCTTAAATCCCAAATCCACGTAATGCATATGGGACTTTACATCAATATTGTTTAATATATCTCATATTGTTTGGAAATTGGTCAAAGTATCAAATATTAATAAGGAAATACTTTATATTCCTTATATCCCAAAGCCACGTAAACCATCTGAGACTTAACATCAATATTGTTTAGAAATTGGTCAAGGTATCAAATACATGTATTAATAAGGAAATACTTTATATTCCTTAAATCCCAAAGCCACGTAATGCATCTGGGACTTAACATCAATATTGTTTAGAAATTGGTCAAGGTATCAAATACATGTGTTAATAAGGAAATACTTTATATTCCTTAAATCCCAAAGCCACGTAATGCATCTGGGACTTAACATCAATATTGTTTAGAAATTGGTCAAGGTATCAAATACATGTGTTAATAAGGAAATACTTTATATTCCTTAAATCCCAAAGCCACGTAAAGCATCTGGGACTTAACATCAACCTATTTAACATACAAGTATCTCAGATGAAGACGAATTGATCAAACTGTTATAATGAAACTTTTAATAAAATTTTACCAAATGTTATCAGTTACTAATACTTTGAAAAAAGAAGTATGTTTAACCTTTCGTCAATTTATAAATTGTCTATTAAGACTGACCTAGGGAAGCTGGAAAAAAATAGCCGTTGATGACACGCGGTCGTCAAAATATGTCCTATTATTGTTGCAATAAAGTCTTTAAGAGAATGCTTTCAAATTGGCATTTACTCGAAGCCCGTATGTGACGGAGTATATCGTATGTGTGTCGTTATTATATCATATGTTTATTTACATCCAATACATTTATTTCCTCTTTCATGTTGATAAATTGCAATTATACTAAAAAATATTATTGTTTTTTGCGCTTAATGTCTCAGAAACATTTTGTTCCTTCTTAAAAAGGGGCAAACAGGAGTTTTTAATGTTTAATTAATGTTTTTTTTGCATGTTAGAAGCTCCTTACTAAGAAAGTAGCTTTGAATGTGAAGTAATTTATCATAGAAGTAGTATACATGTACTTGTACTGTAAACAAATAAAGTATTTTGACTTCCATACAAAATACTAAATCATAATTACTGTTCTCATTTGCAAAAAAAAAACAAAAAAAAACAAAAGCAACAGATGGTTCAGGTAAAAAAATGGCTAATGAGTACTTTTTAGGAAACTATAACAGAACACAAAAAATAGTAAACTTTTGAGAAATAAAGGCATATGATTGTCCATGATTTTTAAGAGCCAAATAATTTTGTTGTTGTTGTTAATGATGATGTTATTGTTGTTTCAAAATTAGAAATATTTAAAACATTACTCAGTTCATAAAAGCCTTTTAAGATAATGTATGTGTTGTCTTTTTTAATTGATAAACGTTTACTTTTCAAATATTACCAGTATACTTTTTATTAGCTCGTCCTTAGTAACGCATTTAACAGGTCTTAATTTCAATTTTGGATTTAGTTGCAGTCTAGATTGGCAGCAAATTTGTTATGTCACTGAACTAAATGGTACTGAACTAATTGATGATAAAATATCTTAGTTATTTGTTACTGCATATGCTCCATATATCTTATTGGCCTGTAGTTTTAATGATGGAGAAATATCGGAGACGACCTTAGTGAAATTTCTCTTATATATCTCCTACTATTTTCTGCTATTGAGTATTCCCATGTAGATGTTCTTGTATTGAAGTCTAAGGGCAACATTTCATACAAAGATTTAATTTTAATAAACAAATCGATTTGATTTGTGTAATATATCTGTTGAGCTGAAGTTGGTAGCTTAGTATACAGCAAAGGTATCAATCTTTTAAAGTATTAGAAGGCGTTTGGTGTTTTTGGTTTATTTATATAACTGTTTATTTATATTACTATAGAACTATTCATATAAACCCTTTTCCGCACACCTTTAGAATTTGGAAATGTGATTCCTTTGTAAACACACGTCCGTACATAATCAGAAACATGTTAATATAGATTGAAAAATATTTCTACTTCTGTTTTAAATAACATAGCATATTTTTTAGTTCTACAGGTGAAAGAAGGCCTCTCTCCCACGAGAACGCCCATCTTAGTATCCCAGAAGAACGGCCACCTTAGTAGAAGCACCACCCTTCTGCGAATGGTCGCAATAACTTGCTTATTTCACTGGCTCCAACGTCTTTAATTCTAACAACACTGTCGACAGAACGTGAGTGAATGGACACAGTGACGAAAGAAGATGAACTCATATGTAGTTTTGATTCAATATTTTATTTATATTTATCTTGCGCCATGTGCATATTTCATTACAATGTCTTCTTTCTATAGGCAACAATTTTTGATGATATTATATGAGCATTCAAACAGATTAACATTTTCTCGCAACACATATATAATATATACTATAACATATAAAAAAACAACTGTCATCATACAAAAACATGACAAGAATGAGTCTATTTATTAATAATGTACATAGTTTCAATATGATTTCCCATGTACAAAAGAATGGATTCCTATTGAAGCTTACTGTTTAATTCTCATTTATTTCTTTATTATCATTTATAAATAGCAATATATAAGTATATAAAAGTCATTTGACTGGATTAAGACTTCAAAGGATTTTAGAAGTTTATGTAAACTCAAGATTTTGTTTGATATCCTTAAAAAGCCTTAACAATAATGTTTTCATTTCTTCAAATGTAATAAAGGTACTCCAATAACATTACTTTCCTGCAATTTAATCTTTTCATAGAAGTCAAATTTTTTTGTAATAGTTGGTATTTGAGCTTTTGTAATCTGTGCCTAAAAAAAATAAAAGCAATGTTCTGTTCTGTATGTTCTAATAAGGCTTTAAAAATGCTGTACAGATTAAGATTATATAAAATTAATAAATTCAAAAATATCTTCCTTTTAAATTAGCAGCCATGTAAACAGTTCTTGTATATACCAGATGTAATTCAAATACAGCAAAAAATGAAGAAAAACAAAAAATATCATTAATTTAAATTTAACATTCAGCATAATTGCTACTTATAAATGATTGTTCGGTCATTTCTATTTTCTCAAAACAAAGATTATGACACCAATAATTACTTTTAACTGGCCTAGTCGTGAATCCACATGGTAACCCTTAACCTGGCGAATTGTGTAAAAGATTTGATCTTCGAATTTGACACAGTCTATTCAAAGTGAATTTGACACAGTCTATTCAAAAAGAATTTGACATAGTTTATTCGAAGTGAATTTGACACAGTCTATCCAAAGTGGGATTTTTGGTATCGAAATACCAAAAAACTACCATCATTGCCGCGTCCAACAGCACAGAAATCAGGCTGGGCTGGCTCTATACTGTTGACAAAGGCTAGGTCCTGCAGGTTACAGGCTAAATTTATTTAAAATAATATTTTATAATCTCCCTATGCAGAATTAATCTCTTATGCATATTGCACATTTCTATTTTGTAATAAAAAAAACATTTACCCAGGTGAAAAAAATGTACATGTACATTATAATATAACAAATCAACAATATACTCTTAATTTCAGATTGCATATATATATATACACATATATTTACATATTTTAAACAATACACAGCATAGATTATTATATGTTAATTAACATAAAAATCTCATAAATATCCAATATTTAAGTAAAATGCGGCATAATTCTAAAATCAATGCTATATTAAGTACATTCTAATTCTGCATTTTACTACAGTTAATTTTTTTCAAAACTTGTGCTAACCAAAGTAATGTATTGGTTTCAAAGTTGTTGCTTTACCATATAATATTTACTTATAATACCATCATGACTGGTAACATTATTGGTACATTTGTTTAAATCCTGCACTTTACCATTATAGAACAATTGCTTCTTTTTTCTGTGTAACCTTTACCACCAAAAACTATCAAACTATGTACCATAACACTTCTCCCTTATATCAGTATGTAGAACATACATTTGCTGCAGTAAAATTTCCTGGTATTTGTTACTTATTATGAATAACTAAATTAGAATGACTATATGTATACTTCAGTCTTACTCATATAAACGTCTGTTAACTTTTCTTTCCATGTTATATAGGAGATGAAAATGTTTTATATACACTCTAATATTGCTACTATCTTGAAATTTAGTAGTGATTCTGTAATTTTCATATTTTAAATCAAATCCCATTGTGGGTGATAGAATGAAATGTGTTAGCCAAGGTTAACATTATCTTGTCAAGGGTGAATACAGTCGACTCTCGTTATCTCGAAGTCACCGGGACCGTCCAAAAATATCGAGATAACGAAATGTTGAGATAAACATATTAGGGTTTGAATTAGGCAGAAACTGATTTTTAGAAAAGACATATGCATACCTTATGTCAAATAAACCAGATATCCCCATGTCTTGTTTTCATAGGCCTAGTCAACATTTAACAAAGTAACATAAGCGGATGTTTACCAGCGGAATTCGGGTGTCTGTAAGGTTTACTCAGTAATACACCAATAAAGTGAAAACATTGTTTTCAGGGTGGTTGATCCGTACATCCTCCCGGGTTATTTATCGGGTCTTTCTCGAGATTATTCGACCGCTGATGGATTTGGTGGTGATGTTGTGAAACAAATTATATTGCAACGATAGCGTTTCTATACTTCATTCTATATACTATTTCATTTACATTTAAAGTCATAATGAATTGATACAGTGTTCGAATATTTATAAAGGACGTAAAATTCACTCATTTTAGACATATGTCAATCGTGCTAAATAGATTATTTTTTTATAAAAACAGCTTTACTTGTTACAAACATAATCATCATTAAAACACGGGCTTTTGAGCAATTGTTGTCTAGTTTGTGTTTTTCACATGTCTGAAGGAACAGACGAAAGAAAATTATTAGTCGAGATAGACAAAGGATAATAGTGTGAAAATAACTGTTGGGGCTGAAATTTTACATCGAGATACTGAAAATATCGAAATAAAAATATCGAGATAAACAAATATTTTCAATAAAGATAAAGAAGGAAGAAAATCGGGACTTTCAAAATTTCATCGAGATAACAAAATATCGAGAAAAGCGATGTCGAGATAACGATAGTTGACTGTATTTTGTTCTACCACCCACAGTGGGTCGTGCTGTTTATATTATTTTCCAAAGAAATTGATATTCAAGACAGACATCTTAAACTAAAACCTGGCCTGCAGTATGTGCATGATGGTTAAAGAAATGATGTTACCATGGTGACAATACAGATTGTTACCCTCTCATGTCACATAGTAAACATATCAGGCAATCTGTAACTATATACAATAATGAACGGGTGTGCCGGCTGACCTTGGTCTTCAATGGTCACATAAGTAGAATATATGGCCACTAGCAGGCTTACAGTTTAATTAAAATTTTTCAAAATACAGCAAGGACTTAAAACAGTCAACATATTTCAAGTCAATAAAACATAAAGTCAATAATAAATACAAAAAACTTTGGTTTCTTAAAAATGAACACATGTTTATATCAATACCTTAAAAAACAGACTAGCATCAAAAGTGCCACGTCTTTCTCTTTCTAACATAAATGCCTTTGAGGCAAACCCAACTAAGATAACTTAGAAATATTGTCATATCACAACATTTAAACATGTAGTTTATCCATTTAAAACATAATGACCTTGAATCTTACATACTTGCATTTCGCTTAATTTTTTATCTTTCAAATCTTCACAAGTTATGTTACATTTTGAAATTCTTCACAAGGACATCTTTAAATTCTTCACAAGTTATGTTACATTTTGTAATTCTTCACAAGGACATCTTTAAATTCTTCACAAGTAAGTTACATTACATTATGCAATTCTTATTCTTCACAAACATCTGTTATGGTTTCTCAGCATATCTTCACATACTACAGGCTGTTTTTATGAACAGTTAAATCCTTGGACTTATAGTTAAAACACTTTACCTGCACAATTGAAAATATAATAAAGATTTTTTTATTTTTTTTATAAAAATCAACATGAATGTTATGGCATGTTGCTTTAAAACTTTTCATTTTCGAAAAACTTTACTAAAACCTTTCATGCCATTTCTTATAATCTTAAAAATAAGTGTACACTAATGGCTAGTAATGCACAAGATAAAACTTAAAGGATTTTAGTCTGTGAAGTAATCTATAAATAATACTGATACATAATAAACTTACTTCAATAAAATAATATATAAAATCAAAGCAGCACTATTCAACATTACTATACTAACACAAAAACAAATATGCTAATAGTTTGTTGAATTTTTCCAGCACTATAATTATAATCAATGGGAGATAATAAAATATATTGTCAACCAGTGAAATATACTCTATATTTCACTGACAATTAAACAAAATAATGCAATGGAAAATACCGTCCTGTTGTAAACTGGTGTATTATCTAACTGTTTAGAGAAAGTTGAATCATTGTTGCATTATAATTGTTGTTTTTACTAAATTAAGAGAATAATAAAATAAAAATAAATCAATGGTTTACATAACACAGAAGTTAATTAGAAGAAAGTACTACATGGTGTTTTTTTTCATATCTTTTGATTTCAAATATGTCAGCACAATATACCAGTATGAAACTATCCCAAAATACTAAATATAAATTATCTTACCTTTGCATGCAAGAGAATATAAATTATGAGGTATGAAAAAAATCCTGATAGTACATGTATATTATATGTTCTAACCCTGCTGAATTCCTATTACAATAGACCGGACCAGACATGGAAATATATATAATGACATATGTGTACTTACATTGGGATTTTGTTTTAGAAATTATTCATTATAAAACAAATAGCATAGACTGGTTTCTGGGCAGAATAAACTTATTTCCTGGCAGAAAAAGTCATTTCCCAAAAAAGATTTCAGAAAGTTAAAAAAAAATGAAATATTTCAACAGTAAAACTATGACACACATTAACATTGGTTTTCAATGTGCACCCATCAATTAAAATTCTTTTTTCTCTATTTCTTGTAACATTTTTACCTTATTTCTGAACAACTTATAAAGGCAAAAATTCAGATTTGTTTAACCTTCCCACATTGTCATTTATTTTCATCATAGACCTTTTTTTTCAAAAGTTGAATAGATAATTCTCCAAAAGAAAACTAAAAAAAAAAAACTTTACTATAATACATACATAAACTAAAACTAATAAAAAAATAATTGCACTTTTCTCTACACATAGGGTAACAGGATCTTTATAAAAATAAAGACAAAAATTGTGCATTAATCTACTTTTTCTTCAAAGAGACATGTCCCTTACACAAATACTTGCCCAGAAGACTAACTCTCTCTAGTTACCAAACATTTTTTTCCATTCACTTTTTTTAAGTCTTGAAAACATAATTTTTTTTTTCTCTGAAAATATTTTTTCCACAGTTTTTTTTTCTTTGAAATCAGTTTTGACTGTTCAATACTACTAGTTGTTACAGCCATATTACATTTTACATGATGTCACCTTACTGCAGTTATGGGTTAAAACCTTCTACATTTAATAGGAGTTAACCAGCTATTGAACTACGGTGAAGATACATTGTTATTCTTACATGATAAATGATAATCATAAATGATAATCATAAATGATAATCATAAGTATATACTTTTAAAGAGCATCAGATGTATTCACAAACTAATGAATTTTCTGTTAGATGCTGCATTTGAAAAGTCATGTCTGCATCTATATTATAAAAAGCTTGTTTTTTTTCTGGGACTAAAATGATAATATAAAAAAATGTTCACATATACATGTACATTTTTATATAGTTTACTGAATATATGAATGTAGTTGAAGAAAAACATACACAATTCAAACCTCTAACACATAAATTTCTATATATAGATGTTATTATGCATGGTAATATGAGTCAGTATCACAAAGATGCTTGTTTTGCCAGAAATAAATGTACAATTTTTGATATATCACACTAATGAGAGCATCTGTTGAACCAGATCATGTACATTATATAAATGTCTGCCAAAAAAGACAGATTTCAACTGTAATGAAAACATTGTCATAGCTTTCTCCACGAAAGTCTTCCACATAATGGAAAAATAATCACACAAACAATTTTGCAGAAGCATTGTAATCTGTATCACACAAATGCTTTATTTTACAGGTGTCTGTATCAGCTGTATCACAAAAAAAGCTTAACTGTTCATAAATTTTGTGATCAGCTACAAACAAATGCTTGATTTTCAAAATTTTCAGTTTCTGACAAATTGTACACACATAAGTATGTCATTTTTTGTTGATTTCCATATAGGTTTTGTGTGAGCCATGTCAAACAAAAGCTTGTCTACCAGGTGAGGGACCTTCCATGGCTGTTATCACAGTTCCTAATTTGGCCGAGAGCTGCATGCGTACACTGACTGGGTCTTGCTCCAGTATCTCCATCAACTAGAAAAACAAAATACAGAAATACATTATTGAAATAAAATTAGACAGACTGTTTGAAGGTAATACTGATTATAAACCAAAGGGTTTCAAATACATTAGCCCTCGGAAACTTTTACTAAAATCATAAATATAATGGACGTGCTAATGAGACTTTCATTCAAGACATCTTGTAGGTGTTCGATGTTTATGATGTTAAAGAAATACCAGTAGTGAACCCTACTTGAATATTACCCTGCAGACTTGCAATGTATATGCATTTTGATAAAATAAATTAAATATGTAAATATTGACAACCATGAGAGTGTAAATAATATATATTATTATACCTTGTATAACATGTAAAATTGAATTTGAAGAAGGCTGCAAATAGTGATACATTAATATTATTAAATATCCTTACATTATTCATTTGGATATTTTATAATATTAATGTTTGTATATATTACACACAAACACTTGGGCTGTGTATAAAACATTTGGTGTATCAAACCTTAAAATGCCGAATTTGTGTAATAGATTTGCCCAGCTTTGAATTTGGAACAGTCCATTTGCAACTTATAGGATTTCAATATAAAAATACAAAAGTTTAGTTTCCAACAGTTTAAACTGTGGTCAGATTGCAATGATGCACTGGTGACAAATGCTTTTTACTTTCTGTCCCAGAAGGTAAGAATCCACAGTATGTACACAGCAGCCTTGTGTCTACCAAATCTGTACAGTTTAAGCTTAACTTTGTTTTTACAGGGCAAGTGCTTTTTAGGCCATAATTATGATATAACATAACAATAAAATTTCAAAGTACAATGTGCATATCTTACCTCTGTACTATATTTGTGTACATATGTATAGAGTTCTTTCAAAGCACTAGACTTGTATACCTTTCCAGGGTAAGCCTGTAAAAATAATGATCAAGTAAAATGTTAATTTTCATTCAGTTACAGTTACTCTTGAAAAATATAAATTTGTAGATAGACAGGAAGTGGGATTTTTGTCTAAATTTCTTTTATCGAGGTTTTTTATTTATACAATATTTCTATCAGTTTAATTAAAAGACATCAAATTAATTATGTCAAACTCACAAAAAACACAAAAAAAAATCAAGACCATTTATTTTTGTTGAAAAACGTAAGTGCAAAAATAAATTATCTGCAGCAGTTAGACGTCATTACAAAAATGATTTATAAAATTGTATTACAGGCTGTTTTTTGTTTTTTTCCCATTAAGGTGTATCTTTTTATTGGCTAGTTTTGTCATATTACGTATTATGTCAAAACACACAGAAAAACGTCCCAAACAAAACATAAAAAGTGTCGTTTCTATAAATAACTTATTCAATCTACCATATTACATTAAAACACAATGGAAGTCTAATTCTTTTTAACTGAAACTATAAATAAACATAAGCATGTACTCATATAGTTTTTTCATTGGTCATTGCTAAAACAGTAATTTACCACCATTTCCCGTTAATAATTAGTCTATATTCTTACATCAGCGTGCCTATATTTATCAGCTTCACAATTTTTTATCAGGTTTTATATTTAAAAATATTAACCATTTATGCCTGTATCTTGTTATAGTTTTACCCTGTCAGAAATATGTTGTGTTTAATTTTGTTGTTTATTTTTTAAATTCTAGAGTATAAAAATACAAACGAGATAATAATAGTCAAATCTAGATTTCAGATTGAAAAGAAATAAAACCTGCATTTCTTTCCATAAACATTCATGGAATTTTGACATTCTGTGGGTCATAAAAGAATTTACTGAAATTTAACACTTGTTTATGGTTTGTTTCACATAAAAACTGTATTAATAAGAATATTTGGGGATCATGTTGCATAATAATGTAGTCATCCATGCATTTCAACTATAGATACTATATGACAATCTGCTCATTTCACTGTTCTAAAAACAAGTGTCACTAGCTTAAATATATATATGATTTACATGCAGTCAAACTATGACAAATTTAGGCAAACAAGGAGAAAGTAACTCTTGTTAGTTTAACTATACCTAACTTGCAGCATACAGTGGTAATGTCCCCTTACACCTTTATAAGGGGAGACCACTGCAATAAAGATTTCTCCATAGCTAAAACAGAGTTATTTTTCTTTCTAAAACAGAATCAAAATGCACTAAATTCAATATATTTTACATTCGGTTACCATGAATATTTTAAAAATAATTTAATTGAAAATATGTTTGCAATATAATTCAATCTAAGGTGATGATTAAAATGAAGGAAACAGAATCATTCCTACAAGATGAGTTTGCACAAACCAATCAAATGCAGCCATAGCAAAATAAAAATTGAAGCAAGCATCGGTTTACCTTCCTATACATTGCTTTCTAGGAAATTAATTAAAATTCATAATGTAATCTGTCAAAATATATTAATTTATCTGTAAATAAATTCTCTTGGTTCTTCTCATAGAAATATTATGAAACTCATGAGCAGGTATAACAATACTTCACAAAATGAAGATGAAATAGTATACCCCTTTCACAATATATTAAATATATTACATGTAGCGTACTCTAAATAACTTCCGCGTTTGCGACAAAATATTGAGTATAAATGCAATACTTTGATCGCATTTATAAAACATCTTGTAAAACTAAGATACCGGTACTCATATTGTTCTCAACCATGACTGTTACATGTATATGAAGAGTACATATTTCAAAATTATATTGAACTCTTTTCTATCATTAACCTCAGTTTAACAGAAAACCTTCTTGTATGATTACCCTACAATTCAAATACAGGATGAACATCTAATTTAAATCTTTATATTTTGTATATTTATAAATCTCTTTATTGAGTAGATGTTCAATTTGATGCATAGGTCATTTTACTCCATGTGCACGATGATTTTGCTGATAACTGTAAAAGAGAAAGCTGCATGTGTTAAAATAAGAGAATGGAAAGTGTTAGTAAACAAGCTCATGCACTTACTATGAAATAATTATCATGGCATACCCTCGACACTGCGTTCAGATAACTGTTCATGTCCTGATCACTGATGGGCTTCATATCATGAATCTCACGGAAATATCTGTCCACCATCTTTCTATAATTTGGTATATCTTTGGCAAATAATAATTTGTTTGAAGGTGAGTCCTGTAAGAATATGAACGATAGGTCAGCAAGTGCTAAAAAAACAAGTGTGTAAGACATTTCTTTTACAATTTATCGCATAATTGAAGTTTAAGGAAACCATGTTGCTGGCTGTATTGTCTACAATAATACATTCAGTACATCAATGACATTAACAGCTATTTTCCCATTACTCTGGTATATAGTAGGTATATAGTAGGACCTAAAACAAACCAAAATCATACATTTTAGTTTGCCCATATACAATATCAATAAGTATCATAAAGTTTGCTGATAGTAAAAAAGTATTCCATCACAGTAGCATTCAAGGGAAGTAACCAGGTAGTCGAACAAAAAAGAGATTTCAGTTTTCCAACCTTTTCAATGATTAATTCTTTGCATGAAGCATTATTACACAGTTTCCACATGTATTATTTTATGTACTTTTTTTAGAAATTGCAGAAGATGATTTTAACAAAGCTAAAATTACATTTTTTGAATAATTTTATCAGTCCTTTTTCATTTTGCAATCATAACATTTCTATGCCGATATAACAATATAGAATATATAAGACAATAAAATACGCTGAAATTACGACATTCTCATAGACCCTATTCTCAGCCAACAGTCCACGTATACATGTATATCCAGCAAAAAATCAGAAGTTAGGAATCAATAAGTAAAATCTGCCATAAATGTCAGACACAGAAATCTTACATGTTTTTATTGCTAATATGTCTGCACTGGAAGACATGTTAAATGCACTACTACCATTTTAATTGCGCATAAAACGTTCAAGAACATCGACTGAGCAAACACGACCATAAAAGCCTTCCATAAATCACTCTTGTTTCTGCTGATAACTGAACTTGTTCTGTTTCTCGTTCATTCAAATTCGTTAACTTCACAAAATATGTAAGAAATGCAGTAAAAGCTTCAATACACCAAAGTTACCATAACATGCCATAAAATATAACTAGTCTCCTTATTTCAGAATTTATTTTGAACAGTCAATTTTTTAACAGGATAAATAACTCAAACCTGGAGACTGGTTATATGACCCACATAAATAATTCAGTTTCATTATCAGTATATAGCTTGTGTTCCAGACCAAATGGAGAAAAGGACATAAATTCATTGATTGCATTTACATGTATCTGTTCTAAACAAAAAGCAGATGGAACTAGGAAAAAACCAATTCAAGACTTCCCACTGCAACAATTTGACCGGTAAAATGTATTCAAAGATTTATTCATGGTGGCCTTGACCATGATTAATTGTTTACAAGTCACCAGCAATTGCCACCGAGCCATATAGGTCCACGAGGATTTAAAATAAACTACAATATAAGAAATATAAATACCTTGCCCAGCCTATGTTCTGATGTTGAACAACTATCCATGAAAGTCTGGGCAACAACAGATAAACATGAATCTACTATCAGAGGCTTGTGGATATCAAATACAAAGTCTGGATTCTTGATAATGTTCACCCAAAATCTCAATGGTAAACTAGAAAGAGAAACATTGCTATTGTCAATTTAAGATGATTCATAATGTCAATGTACATGTATTATCTACATATTATCTAAATATTGTCAGTGTATGATCTCTTTAAAAAGATTTATGATGTTAATTTATGAGCTATCAAAAGTATAAACTATATCTGTATATGATAAAGTTTTATTACAGTCAATCATATTTAATAATGTATTATCTTATTTAATTGTTTAAGTAGACTGACACCTTAATCAATATAGGCCATATCTTTTCTTATTATGTAATCATTGTACATATTTCTATCCTAAATTAAATTTAAGGTATATTAATTAATGTCCTGCCTACCTGTTACATTTCCATGTATGAAGGACATCTGGATCATGTATTCCATACTTGAATGCAGCTTCATCGAGGTAATCAAACAAGTATTTGATCACAGGGGGCATCATGGGATTGACAGACAAAATAGTGTGAAATAAATCATCTATGTACTTTTGAAGGGTACCCTGAAACATAAAAATATTCATAATATCCAGTGACAGTGTTTTTCTGTTTGTATAATGCATATTTACCACTAGCCAAGACACCAAGTTGATTTCAATTAAAATAATCAAGTGAAGTGATGATAAATTATGACAATATGCAAAATGAGCAGGCAGTTACAAGTCACAGTTATTGATGAACATTTCAACATTGCAAGGAGTATAACACTATATATAAATACCTTTGTTGCTAGCAATCTTGGTAGAAATACCTCAGGTACCATCTTAACTCCGCCCTCTTTTGTCTGAATATCATCATGTTTCACCTGAAATCACATCATGTTAAAACGTTTATTGGCATATTAATATTTATATTTACACAATGAAGTTTTCTAATAATCAACTTTTTGTTGTTGTTGTTGCCGTTTCTTTTTCCTGGAGATACAGATACAGCTACAGCAAAACTTTACTTACTGCTTTAATAAATCCTTGATAGCTTTTTTCGCATTAAGCCTCTGAAACAAATTAATTTTTCTTCCCATTAAAAGGGCAAACACTTTTCCATAGATGTTGCAATAATGCATCTAGAGCATGAAGAAAACAGTGCTAAATGTAATCTTTTTTTTATAAAGGAATCAAAATATAAACAAAGTGACTTCCATACAGCTCAGCCCAATGGCCAATGAGAATTTCTTTTGGGAAACTTTAACAAAGACGCCAAAATATAAAATTGTTTTTTTTTAACAAAAAGTAACAGCATTTTTTTGGCTTCAAAGGCCTTTAAGTATACATAGGAAGAATTACATTCAAAGCATAAAATTGTTAAATTTCTGAAACAAAACTAACCTCTATGCACTTTATCAGATCTTGTTTTTTGTTAAGATTACACAGCTGAGGTATTTTCTCTTGCCAATTTTAGCTCTAGAGATTTTAGGTACCAATTATAAACTTTCCATCTTGATAAGATTTTAAATATTCATGAAGAAGTCTGTTCAGTGAAAACAAAAAACTTGATATCCCAGCAGATTTTTTTTCCTCTCCCAATAAAAGACTTGTAAAGAAAAGAAACTATTCTTACCAGATGAAAAAACTTTGTCCCTGTGTCACTTTCTGACCTCAATATAGGCATGGAAGAATTAACAGACACTACAGAAGTGTCAAGTGACCCGTTGGGTGACTTTATAGTCTGATATCTACGAACAAGGGCACATTCTGACCCATCAAACACTCTGTAATGCTGAAGTGTGTTGATCTTTTTCCAGCCTTCCCACCTCTGTGTAGAAGTGTCATCGTCCTGTAGAGTGACCGGGATACTGCCCTTTTTCCATTCTGAAATATTTATATACACTCTATGATGCTTCATACCCAATCTTGTCTGGTGTATAAAATGTTTCCTTGAAAATGATAAGAGGTGTCAAAAAGTATCTATATGAAGAAACAGGCTATAAATTACATGATGTAATGTGTACTAATATATTAGAGAATGAGATCATCCTTTGCAAAATAAGTTTTTTAGTTCTTTTCTTTCTTATTCAGACAAGTAAGGATCTCAAAACAAATATTGTGATACAAGTAATATACTTATATGAGCCGCATCACGTTAAAACCAATATAATGGGTTTGGGACCAGCATGGATCCAGACAAGCCTGCGCATCCGCGCAGTCTGATCAGGATCCATGCTGTTCGCTATTAGTTTCTTTACTTGTAATAGAGTTGGTAAGCGAACAGCATGGATCCTGATCAGACTGCGCAGATGCGCAGGCTGGGCTGGATCCATGCTGGTCGCAAACCCATTATGTTGGTTTTGTCGTGATGCGGCTCATATATACAGTAAAAACTCAAGTCAACATCTTATATGAAATATCTTCAGTTTTTCTACTTTAAATTTCTTTATATATGTAGACGCATTACTACAAATTGTTATTACTTTAGAATGTTTTAAACAGACATAATAAGTCAGATACTAAAATGCTGACTTGTGCAAAGATGTTATAAAAGGCTTTCCTTTTCAGCATTGTTTAAAGAACTATGCAATATTTCAGTGAGAAATTTAACAGAAGCCTATAGTAACGTCTGCAGCAGTGTTTATGACTTAAGTCTAGTAAATTGACATTTACCATTTTGGTAAGTAACATATGCAATATTCATGAGGGCCTCATTGTCTAATATCTGTATAACCCTAGGAAACAGCTTGCTTATTTTAATATCTATTACTCGAATGTCTGTCACTTAAGAAAAAAGAAGTATTATATTTTACTAAAGGTCCTTTTTCCGAAGTGTTTTTTTCCGTAGGACAGTAAGCTTCGAAGCTTTTAGCATACACATTTTTTCCTTTGTTTGGCATCTTAGAAAAAGGCAGGCACTTAAGGCAGTATGGTATTGAAACAACTAAATCAGCCACTTCTTCATCAATTCTGATAATAATCCATCATTTTCACAAAATGCACTCTCAATAAAGAGTTCTCAAGAATGTTCTTTGACAGATATGTGCAACATACTTTTCTTGCAACAGAAGGTGAAGTTATTTAATCTACATACATCTTGCCAAAAGGTTTCCATACTTAGACCGACCTTTTTGTAAAAACTTTTATGAGTTTTCACCAATAATGAAAGCTTAAGGAATTATGCAGTATGGCAAATAATGGTTAGGGCATTCACTTGTGAAAAAAAATTTGTTACCACAGAAGTTGGAAGATTAGTTTGCATAAACATCTTGCTAAAATACTTTTTACATCAGTAGAATCAATGAACTTCTTGCATCAACTTTTATATTTTCTTGCTTAAAGAATCATGCATGGCAAAGAATGGCAAGTGAATATACTAGTGAACACTTGATGTACTGCATTAATTGAGTTTAAATATTATCTGATATAAAGAAGTAAATATGATTATGAGATATTTCAATCTATCAGCAACAATATATGAAAATGACAGTCAAACAGAGGGTGAGGTGGCCAATACGGTGGCATATCCTAGCTTATTTTCATGGTCTACACTGGTTGCATAAGAATTTGTTGCCACAAGCAGGCTTAAGATTAAACTAAGCTAAATACAAACAACATTTAACTAAATCAAGGACTGGTGAGATACCCAGGGTCTGTAAGTAATACATATAATACTTACCTGAATCAAGGTCACATGCCCAGGGTCTGTATGAAATACATACAACACTTACCTAAATCAAGGTCACATGCCCAGGGTCTGTAAGTAATACATGTAACACTTAACTAAATCAAGGTCTCATGCCCAGGGTCTGTAAGTAATACATGTAACACTTACCTAAGTCAAGGTCACATGCCCAGGGTCTGTATGAAATACATACAACACTTACCTAAATCAAGGTCACATGCCCAGGGTCTGTATGAAATACATACAACACTTACCTAAATCAAGGTCTCATGCCCAGGGTCTGTAAGTAATACATGTAACACTTACCTAAGTCAAGGTCACATGCCCAGGGTCTGTATTTTATATAATAACACTTACCTAAATCAAGGTCACATGCCTAGGGTCTGTATTTTATATATATATAACACTTACCTAAATCAAGGTCACATGCCTAGGGTCTGTAAGTAATACATATAACACTTACCTAAATCAAGGTCACATGCCCAGGGTCTATATTTTATATATATAACACTTACCTAAATCAAGGTCACATGCCCACGGTCTGTTAGAAAATGGAATGTTTTTATACAGCTGGTCTATAATTTTCTCCTTTGCTTGTGTAACAGTATCACAGTTCAACACTTTACATTGTGTCACCTCTCCTTCATAAAATACGTTCAATGTCTGTCAAATAAAAACATCAGGAAACAAAAATTATAACTCAATGCTGTTAATGAAAGAAGAAACCTGAAATTTGCATGGGAAACTGAAATAAAAAATCTCATGCTTCACATTAGATTACGAGATGAGAAATAATATTTTGTTCCAGAACATTTTACTATCTGCTATATATATATATGTTATATCAGATCATGTATCTCACACTTGCCAACAACTTCCATTTATAATTCTTTCCTAGTTTGATGTTATGTCTGATACTAAAAACTATCAACATAATTATTTATTGTTTTACATACCTTCAATTATAGAACAATTCACTTAAATAAGATTGTTTGATAATATTGTATATTTTCACAATGAAACAGATATTGTGAGAGCCGGAAATCATAAAGTTACTCCAGTTGATATCATTGGTTTATATAATAAATAATAACCAAAGTAATCTTTGTTAAAATTTCTTTACAACTGAATACAACTTGTCAGGGGCAAGTTGTGGTTACCTAAAATTTTACACTTATTGCTCAGTAATGGTTGGTTCTAGGAATAGATTTGAAAGCTTACAGCTTTCTACACTATCGGACTAAAATAAATTCTGTATAAACCAAATAAACCCCCTCCTCCTTTGCCAAAAATGTTGTTAGACACATACCAGCAGTCTTGCTTCGACCTTATCCCTCAACAATTTATCCTCGGATAATGTGTATCTAGCATCTCCCGTCATACAATCAACCGGTCCCTTTTCCACATGCAGCTTTAATGCTCTGTATAATACATAGAGACTGGAACCTGCCAGATCCTGTAATATATACAATATTCTTCAACATCAGCAAATATTTCAAAATTACTCAAAAAGAATAAAATTCTGCATACAGCTGTACAAGGTTATGTTATTGCGCCAAGCATGCCACAACTGTTTCAAAACCATTTTTCAAGCTGTATAATTATGTATGTTTTTATTCCTTTTTTATTAAGTTTTATAGCGTTACAACACAATATAGGTCAGATGGCAACTTTACTGCTTTACTCATGGAAAAAGACCTTGGATGCTTCTCTGCGCATTATTTCAGGAACAAAGGGGCACTTGAGTAGAACCACCAACATTCTGTAAGCTAGTTGGATAGCTTTCTCACATGAAAGAATTCAAAGTCCCTGTCAGGATTCGAACCCACCTTAACCACTTAGCCATGGATGCACCCACATCTAAGAAGTGAAAAAAAATTTCTTACCCTCAAATATTTGTACATGCATAATGACATCCAGTTAGTCAACATCTTTTCCACTACTGACTCAGTTCTGTAAAACAAAGGAAATAATTTTCTCATAAGACTTTTATCACTTATGATTCAAATAACAAAGTTTGTAAAATTAAAATAAGTAATATGCAGACCAACATACACATTCAAAATGTCAGTAGATTCATAATACAAATGAGCCGTGTCATGACAAAACCAACATAATCAGTAAGCGAACAGCATGGATCCTGATCAGACTGCACGGATGCGCATGCTGGTCTGGACCCATGCTGTTCGCTTTCTGACTCTATTACAAGTAGAGAAACTGATAGCGAACAGCATGGATCCTGATCAGACTGCGTGGATGTGCAGGCTGGTCTAGATCCATGCTGGTCGCAAACCCATTATGTTGGTTTTGTCGAGACGCGGCTCAAATAGATAACATTTTGGACATCATAACTTTAATGTCAGTTATTTGCTTGGAAATACTTCATTAAACAGCTTGAACTGAAAGTGACTTGACTTTGTCATCAGTACATTGAAGCCAGGCAAGACTGCACATCCAAGCAGTCTGACCAGGTTCTTTACTGTTGGTAGCTCAGTTTTTGTATTTTGACTGATTAATCCCTTAAACTTTGAATGGACTGTTCCAAACTCAAAGCTGGGCATATGATTTACACATATTCCACACTAGGCATATCTATTACACATATTCCAAACTAGGCATATCTATTACACATATTTCACACTATGCCGATTTATTACACAAATTCAGCAGGTACCAAAACCAAACATTACTAAAATGGCAGTGTAAATCAATATGTTGAATGTTGAATGGCTAAGATTATAATAGTAATAAAATGTTTTAATAAATGATAGTGTAAGTAAATTTAGCTACATGAAAATAAATCAATTAAAATAAGAAATACATATGCATTATACACATACCTTCTTAACATCAATTTGGGATGTTTCCCTAATACTGACTTTTCCACCAGCTCGTTTAATAAGGCCTTTAATATTCTGAAAATATCAACAACAATTTATAACTTAGTATCAAATGATAAGTTGATAAGTATAAAAAAAAATCATAGCGTGTTTTCTGGACCAGCAACCTAGGGATGCGTGGTTCCAGTCCCAGCTGCGGCGTGCTGATACTTCATGTGATTTTTCTGTATATTATCATTAAAAATAGTCATAAGCTACGGCATGCTGATATTTCATTCGATTTTCTGCATATTAACATGAAGAACTATTATACTTTTAATAAATTTCATTTTAAACTGGTGCCAGTAAAATAATTATGATGTGAGGTGAACATGGGCAGATTTCATGACAAGAAAGAAACTCTTGTGTCACTGTATGTATAAGTTGTCTTAAAGCAAATTCTCAAGTACTTTTCAGGCAGAAATTTTCTATAAGAAGTTAAATAATTTTCTCAAAAAATATCAAGAGTAAACTAGTAAATTATAGTCTAAAATGCTGAAAACTATATGAGCCGCGTCATGACAAAACCAACATAATGGGTTTGCGACCAGCATGGATCAAGCCCAGCCTGCACATCCGCGCAGTCTGATCAGGATCCATGCTGTTTGCTTACAAACCCTATTACAAGTAGAGAAACTGATAGCCAACAGCATGGATCCTGATCAGACTGCGCCGATGTGCAGGCTGGTCTGGATCCATGCTGGTCACAAACCTATTATGTTGGTTTTGTCATCACAGGCTCATTTATAAAACATCATAAAAATACTCACTCAGTTGCATATTCAAGATTATCTTGATATATCACCATTAGCAATGATGCGACATTTACCCTGTAAAAGAATATCATTTACAATTATCAGTGGATAGAAAAAGACTTTCAAGTACTGTTCACTCATGAATTGTTAATTCTCTATAATTCATTAACAACATTGCTTGCAAACATTTCCCAATTATTTAGCTTAAAATAGAGCTTAAATTGGAGGGTATGTGGAAAAAAAAAAACTATTAAATAACCTCCTCCTGAGAGATGGCCTTTTAAAGGCAATACTATAAAAGATACGCTGCAATTTCCACTAATTTTGTGCACGAGCAATTGACAAGCGTAAATGCCACCAATGTTCTAAATTTAAACTGGTTTACATTAGAAACAAGAATAGAATAAGGTCAAAGCCAATCCCAGCAAATCTGACATCTTCATTTAAAATGCTACCAATTGTTTTTCTTAATTTGACAATTTTTTATCATTTTAACGCTTAAATTTGTTACACAATTTCTTAGAATTTTTTAAGTCTCTAATCTGATAAGGAATACCTAATTTGGTCATTTAATTGCATTGAGAATTTTGTGTTGTTTTTTATCTAAAAAAGGTAAAAAATAACTGAATGATTTTGGTAGCTCCAATTCTTTCACTAAAGTAATTATCAATTAAAATAGAAGCAATTCCAAAATCATTTTTTATAAGTTTGAACCCAAATGGTTTAAAAAGATCAATTGCTGCTTTAAATTAAAACGTAACATTGATAACTTATAATATTTCATCTGCTTTCCAGAAATTGTAACCTTCACTTAGAAATAATACATTTCTAATGGTTAAGGGCAGTAACTCTTCCATTTTTTTCTATAAAGAGTAATTATATTACTTACTTGTCTCGGATACTGAACGTTTTCTGATGTTCCAGTGTTCTAATTAAAGTCAGTAAGAAGTATTTATGACTTAGAAGATGATAAAAATGTTGAAGTCCATGTTCAGTAAATCCAACACTGCTATGTTTTTGCTGCAAAGAGATAAAGAAAAGGGAGGTAATACCATAATTATTAAGACTAGAGCTTCACTATCAACACCATTTGCCAAGGGGGATAATTTTGTAACAAGAATAGCACGGCAACACACTCATTGCAATATTGCAAAAGTACTCATACATGACATAATCATCATGTTTTATATAGAATAATTATTACTTTAATGTTTGTGCATGTATCCAGTTGGTAATATATCGAGTAAATATGGTAGGTAATTAAGTAGAATGGACATATCCCATCCTGTGGTAAAACTGCTTGACTTCTACATTGAATAGTCAGTCCCCTTATTATTATGTGGTCTCAAATAAAAAAAATTAACAGGGTACTGATGTGTATTTCAGTTATACAAACATAAATGAGGAACAGTTAGGTTGGGTAATAAGTGACACACCAACACTGAACACTGTGCATGTTATATGGCCACTTCCCAGGTTAACTGGTGTCAGAAGACCTCTGGTGCCCCAATGCATTATTTCAGCCATGATTAGGTTCACAAGTAGAACCACCTGACTTTCATTGCCTATCTGGACAACTTTCTCAAGAGCATGAGTTCAATGTGCACTGCAGTACAGCTAATGTATGACTCAAATATGACATTATTTTATTTCGTAATATTTACAACTATCACAGAAATAGTTTGAGAGTGTAATAAGTAAAAATATCAAATGTGTCCACTTCATACACATGTATATTCAATAGATCTCAATATTCTGATGTATAGAAAAGAGATAAAAAGAAGAAAATTAATATTTGAGTTGTGTCACGACAAAACCAACATAGTGCATTTGCGACCAGCATGGATCCAGACCAGTCTGCGCATCCGCTCAGTCTGATCAGGATCCATGCTGTTTGATTACCAACTCTATAACAAGTAGAGAAACTGATAGCAAACAGCATGGATCCTGATCAGACTGCGCGGATGCGCAGACTGGTCTGGATTCATGCTGGTCGCAAACACACTATGCTGGTTTTGTCATGACACAGCTCATTTTATAATGACAAATTTTCTTTGAAGTCAGACAGAATTTAATAATTAGGAGGAAAATAAAACTCCCTTCAGAAAGTCGGAAACACCAAAATGATAATATTTCACAGAAAAAAATGTCAATCTTAAAAATTAATTACATCCTGTGAATATAAGCCTATAGCATTGTCTGATATTTGATTAGAAAATAATGTAATAAATTCAATAAAGGACAGTCAACTACTTTCTTCAGTCTGCAGCAGGATATCACCTATATATCTGCTCTTGAAATAATTCAATTTATACATATACCAATTTTGAATTGTGTAAAATCAGTTTGCCTATTGCCTAATATGCATAACTTTCCATTAAAATCGCTTATTGTCTGTTAGTGCAATTATCTTTATTATTTCATAATGCATATTCTGATCTATTGTGAGATTTATATTTCATTCTATCAGATCAATTTCTTTTTATTGCATTACATTTGTCATACAACTTGTATTCTATTGTTCTTTCTACTAACCTCTCCAAAGCAAATCCCTCCGGGGTAACAAAGATCTTGGTTGTTGCCAAGAGGTATTTCTCTCAAAGAGGTTACATTTAATTGAAGAAATTTAATATAGGTAGAACTTATATTGTTGTTGTAACGAGATTATTGGTCTACAGAGGGCTGCTGCAGAGATAATACAATATCTCTCGAGTTAATACAATATCATTTATATTGTATTATCTACATTACTGTAATACTTCTATAATTGCAATATGTCTATCACTGAAATAGCCGCTGTTAATGCACTAGACATGTTACCGTAATATATTTGTACTAAAACAATTTCTGTTAATGCAACATATCTCTTAATGCAATATTACAATTATTGCATATTTCAATTAATGCACAATGTCTCTGGCCCAATATAGTCTTGAAAAACCAATATCATTATCACCAATATTGCACCATAATCTCCATCATTTATGTAGAACAATGGCGAGATTATTAAAGAACAAGCTCTTAAAACAAACACTCTACAACAAAATCAATTTATAATAGCTACAGGATACTACTGTCAATTGAGACACAATTTCATTTTAGACAAGAGTGAAAACAAGAAATGTTGATGAAAACCTGTAGCCGACAGCAGTAATCAGGTGGCAGACAAAATGACAGGAAACAGATAAGCGGATATGACAGAATCTCCGATATTTTCTAACTATTTTTTTTGTACGGGCATCAAGTTTAACGATTTAAGCTTATACCGCTTTTTCATGAGGGTATCAATTTGTCACATGTCAACAACAAACTTTACATCTATACTTTAAGTCATGCCTATTTCCTTGAATTCTAACTTCCTTCCTTTTTACTATTTTGAAAACTTTCATAAAGAAAGCAAAAAAGAATATCTCACACCAATAGTAATGATGGCCGTATCAGATGATTTCATACCTAAGGCTTGGGCAAATTAATTCTAAGATTAAATCTTCCTTTTTGCTGCTGTCTGTAGGGTTAATAATCCAATTATTTCAAAGTGTCAATGCACTTTTGTGAAATGTTATTGTAATTGCTGTTTTCATCATTTACCTTGCCACACAAATATTGGCAAAGAGCTCAAAGGAAGTCGGAAAATACCTCAAAGGAAGCTGGGTAATTGTATCTAATGTGCAAAGACATAAATTATTACACGAGCTCTATTTCACCTTCAGGCGTGTCAAAAATTTTCTGCTTCCATAATGGAAAGTAATGTTTTGCTACTCTCAACGAAAGAAATTAATCAGAACTGTTTTTTGCTATATTCAGTTTGCATTATATGTTTTCACATTATAAACTGATATATATGTATATATAGAAACTATCTTTACCTCAATGACTGGTGGGTGGAGTATCACATGATCTGACAGACCGGGAAACAGTACTTTGAACGTGTATGTATGATAGTCCCAGAACGGTATACCTCCACCTTCCAGGTCTGTTGTTAGGTCAACTATGTCTGTTTGAAGCTCGGCAAATGCTGAAATAAAACGATAACATTATTTTTAATTCCATTTCTATAAAAAAAAAATGTTTAAAACTGTCTCTTATTATAAAAGTAATGTTGGAATTAAGACACAAATTTCAAAGTTTTCTACAGTCATCATCCATTTTAGACAATAATGAAAACCTACATGGAAGGTCTAATGTCCTACTTTAATGTTTTAGATGGTATATTGTTTAATTCATGGATTTCAACTGTTAAAACTGAATAAATATAGATCTGACTTCAAGGACTGTAAACATTTATGCTTCCGTCTTATGTCTGCCAAAATGACTAAGTAAAAGTTACCATGTGAATGGTTTCAAATAAATGCATATCGTATAAACATTATAACCATTGATGTAAAAACTGTTTTTCATTAACTACACATTTTGCGCATGACTTTGCCAAACTATCACTTTTAATTAAATGATTCTTCATCTGCTATCCATTTAATTAGAATTTAAAGTCAGGTTTAAAGTCTTGTTCACAATAATTAGATGATATCAAAATACCTGCTATACCTTATGTTTGTGATTTACTTTCACATTAATTTTGTTCTGCTATTATAAATATATTGGAAATAAAACATAGACAGTATTAATAATTCTAAAATCTATTAAGGTTCTCTAGTTTCCTGTCTCAGCAAAACAACAATTTCCTATTCAACAGAACAACTAAATGGCCAAAGGTAACTCTACAATCTCTCACCCACTATGTTATTGCTAGCCGTAAATTTTGAAAGGAAGTGAAAGATTTTTGCTCAACACCAAGGATTACCTGCTTAGCCAGGTATGCTTATCAGTTCTATACTAGTAATGTTCAATTTTAGTACTCTGGTGTTAATAAATTAATGATCCTAAAGAACCAAAAGAGAAATGACATAAGAAAGCATTTGAGCCACGTCTCGACAAAACCAACATAATGGGTTTGCGACCAGCATGGATCCAGATCAGCCTGCGCATCCGCGCAGTCTGATCAGGAACCATGCTGTTCGCTTTCAAACCCTATAGCATGTAGAGAAACTGATAGCGAACAGCATGGATTCTGATCAGACTGCGCCGAAGCGCATGCTGGTCTGGATCCATGCTGGTCGCAAAACCCATTATGTTGGTTTTGTCATGACGCGGCTCATTTGTTCTTCTATATCTAAGACATCACATCTGAACAATTAAATGAAACACATTGTACTTGGTAAGGTTCTCTCCACATTTAAATTTGACATTTGACATTCAGTTATAACAAGTTCTTGGTAAATTTATCCTGACATTTAAATATCACATTTGACATTTGAGCCGCGTCATGACAAAACCAACATAGTGCGTTAGTGACAAGTATGGATCCAAACCAGCCCGCGCATTAGCGCAGTCTGATCAGGATCCATGCTGTTCGCTATCAGTTTCCCTACTTGTAATAGGGTTGGTTAGCGAACAGCATGGATCCTGCTCAGACTGCGTTGATGCGTGGGCTGGTTTGGATCCATGCTGGCCGCAAACGCATTATGTTGGTTTTGACGTGACGCTGCTAAATTATATTTTACTTACCTTGTTTACATTCATTCCTGACATTACTTTCGAGGTTGTCCAATAGAAGTTGCATCTTACGGTAATTTCTCTCTGCCTTGTGACTTTGTCGTCTGCAGATTATGAGGATTAGGAGAATAATCAGTAACATGAACCCACCGCCGGCAGCAATACCCATGATGTACTCTGTCGGAAACTTCAACATGGCCACCCGTTCATACTCGAGCCGACCTACTTTGAACTCAAGGTTTCCAATCTTTACCTGTTGTGTTGATAAAGAAAACAAGATAATACCAACAGCTATTGCAACAGGATAATCTTATCACTTTTATTTAAAGTTTTAGCTTTGAAGACAATATGATATTAATGTATTGAGCATAAATAAATTGCGAAAGTTAAGTGAAACATAGGAAATATTTCAAACTTTTTTTGGTCTAAATTGTATTAACATGACAAGTGTCTGACTTTACTGGATGCAGAAAATCAATGATGCAACTCTGTACAACATTACAGTACTTTGTAATTTCACTGATAATTTCCATCATTAAGATGGATAGCTGAAAATCCTCCTATGAAACAATTATTAAATAGAATGTCCCTGAATGCACAGTAGATAGATTATCAGCAATGTCATTATAATCTGAACTTTATATGCTCATTCATGCAATAATTTAGGCACATCAAAACATCTGAACAGAAACTCTGTCCTTTGGTAAGCTAGCTGAACAATTACATTCAACAACAGGATATGAATCTTTGTTATCCAACATGATATATAAATTACTATGACAACAGGATAAATAAATTACCATGACAACAGGATATATATATTTTACCTTGACAACAGGATAAGAAGCATCCTCATTGCCATTTTCATCTCTACCATTTGGTTGGTTAGTGGGTGGGGTACAAAATATCTGTGTATCTGACAAGTTTGTCACATTACAAATCTTATCACCAATAAACACTTTGATGTCTTCTTTAGAAGCTGCCAAGGTAAGACCTCTTCCCTGGAAACATTATATACCAAGATATTAATAATTCAACAAGGAAACATAAAACAAACAAAAAACAGGATAAATTGACAGAAAACATCACCATTCTTCAATGTCACAAAAACATTAATATTAATAAGTTTCATTAATTCTCTTTGAGATATGAACGCTTTTAACCTTTAATACTGCACTCACAAGCCTACAAACACATTATGTGTAGATCAAAAGAAAATTATAATAGCAGATATATTAATGCGAGCATAATGTACATGTAATTTAAGAACCTAGCTTGCTTTCTCATTAAAACTCTAAAAACATAAACCTTTAAACATATATTTATATACATACCAGCTTTTAAGATTCATTATTATACATGTTATTTATATATCAATAAATTATGTACATGTATAAAAACAATAGGTAAATTTTCTTTCTTTGAGAAAATAAACATATTAAATATATATTCCACTGTCTTTATAATGACAAAGATATGACATGTATATATGAAATAAATAAGAAAATCTCCATCAATCTACCTTAATACCATAATGGGGAAGTTCAAAGGGTTGTCAGTTTTACTTAGCTTTGATGAGTATTTATCTAAGATTAAATTTCTAGAGAAAATCAGACCACATCATATTTGAAAATGTGTTTTTTCACTTTTCGTATGTCATTATAGGAAGATGTGTTTTTTTGCTTTAAGCCATACCTTTGCAATCTTGATTATACATTTAAAATCTAGGTTATTGCATTCACTAGAAATATAATGTTTTTTTCTTTTAGAATTCAACTGGAAAATATACATATGAAGGCACCAGTTATCTGCTTAGATCAAAGGCAACTCTTTTCTTAAAATCATTTATTTTTCACTTACATTTCTTAAGTAGGTTAATCATGTAGAATCAATGGATATTTATTTTAAATCATTGGTCAATCAGGTTATTCATATAAAATCATTGTTTATTGACTTTGAATCACTTTTCCCAGAATCTTTAGTTATTTACTCAAAATCTTTACTTATTCACTTAATAGAATCTTTAGTCAGTTATTCACTAAGAATCTAATGAATAAGTTATTCACTCAGAATCTTTAGTTATTCACCCAGAATTTATAGTTATTTACTTAGAATCAAAAGTCATACAATCCAATTGGAATAAATAGTTCTAAAATAAGATAGAAGTGTGCCATAATGCTCGAAACATGTTTGCCGATTAATTTTTTATGCAACTTACCTCAAAAATAAGAACTTCTCCCTTGAATTTCTTTATGGAACTAGGTTCTGAGAAATTATTTACAAGGGGATCTGGGTAGTACATCATTTTATTATTGATGGCATTGGAGAGATTTTTCACTGCTTCTACATTGTCCATGATAAATCCCAGCTCTGCTTCAAAATAAGAGCTTCTCTTAACACGATGAAATTTTCCTTGTACTGATTGCTTGGAAATTTGTGGACTAGGACATATCATCTCTGTCTGACTGAGTACTGTACAAACCTAAAAAACATTGTAGCATTGTAGTTTTAGAAAAAGTAGTCATGAAAATTATCAAAGTTACTGCAAAAGTAGTTTTGTAACAGACTAAGAACTTAACTATCTAAAATTGTCAAATATTCAATTTGTCTTTTTATAACAAAGTTGAATTCAATTCTTTTTTGAAATTGGTTTAAATCCTTATTTTGTACAGTGTTAATATTGGTATACTGATCATAACAATGAGATTGTCAAAGCAGGGAAGTTTCTAATCTCTAGCTTATGGGAAACATTTGTGGTTCTAGCTATAAATTCTAGTACTCTTAATTGAAACAATAAGGGGTCAATTTATCATCATTCTGTCTTCACCAGCAGTTGTAAAACTGGTGGACATGACATCAATAATCATAAACTTAGTATTTTTACTCAAATAAATAATAATAATTACAAAAATTAAAGAGAAGAAAGTATGTTGACCATCTCATAGAGATGCTGTATCAAAATTATAACTAAGGTCAAATTTGACGTCAGGATCATAATTATAGCCAACAAGTTCTTTCAGACACTGACAGTGAGCAGTTACAATGTCTAAACAGAACAACAAGTCTCTTACACAACATCAAATTTGAAAGTGGTAATATAATGTATAAATTGATCAACAGGATAAGATAAAGTGGCTGCATGGTTGAGTGGTTAACGTGTCGGACTAGTAATCTAATGATTGCTAGCCGCATGGTTTCAAACTCCGTCAGGGGCAAGTCGTTGTTTTCTTCAGCAAGATACTTTACACTTATTTCTCAGCACTGGTTGGTTCCAGGAACAAATTCGGAAGTGTGTCTATAAGCTTATAGCTTCCTACACAATCAAACTAAATTAAATTCTGTATAAACCGAATTGATCAAACAAACCTCTTTCTCTGTGAATCTCTCCTCATTGTTTGTGTCAGTATACACAGCATATAGCTGAGGTTGTTGTATGGTATGTAAGTTAGTTCCTGCAACAGTTATCCTCCGACCACCACTGTGTATGCAAATAAAAAATTGATGAAATTATTTAAATTACCTCAAAATAAGCATTCTCTAGATATGCATTATCAATGTATAGTACCAACCTTCTACAGTTATAGTATTAAAATATCTGTTTTTTTTTACTAAATTTCAGTGAGGAATCAATGTTTTAACAAAAGAATTGAAGTGACCGTAAGCAATTTTCCACTCAACATGTGGTTCTGTCTAGACAGTATATTAACAAAAGGGAAAATTACTCTTGTACAGCTTATATAACATATATATCTTGTGACTTATTGGATACATAATCTAATTTTAATCATATACCCTGCAGGTAGTTGCCAAGCAAATGTTCCTAGATAATATACTGTCCTTAAAACTTCTTTATACAAATACAATTATTAAGGATGGAGGACAAACTTAAACAAAGACAAGATATTATTGAAGTATATTATTAAATATGTAGAAGTCTTTCTTCAAGATATCATAGAGACTTGCTTTGTGACTTTAAATACCTCACCTTACTCCACTTTGCTCAGCTAACGGTATAGACTGACCCTGGTTAAAAACTTTTCTTGACTTAAGTCATACCTTGGGAAACTTTGTTTAGGACTAATACTGAACTAGCATATATCTAAGATGACCTTGTAGGGGCTTTGTAATGTGATAATGCATACCTTAGGTAACTATGTAGGGGCCTCATATTGAGAACTGTGGGATCTGGTAGAAACTGAAAGTTGACATTCATATTCTTCTCCTCATAGCCATCAAAGAACATACGGAAAGGTTGTGGTATCTTGTCCGAGGTGATGACTGCGTTTGTCTCACAGAAAGCTATATTGTTTGTCACCATGCTCCTGGAAGTAAAATAAAATGATTGACTCTTCAATTATCAATAATTATCAAACAGGAGATTTAATGTTAAATGACTCATAGAATATCAATATATTTCACTTCCTGTATTATGGCTTTGATGTAAGACACAAATATCAACCAAAGCCACTCCAATATACTGCTATTTTATGACAGTTAGTTTTTATGCTATCTGGTTTCTTTATTTGATTTTTCAGTCCCTATTTTTTTTTGTTTATTTATGTTTATCTGTAAAGTGTATAACTAAATAATGCAAACATTGTGCCCATTCATCACCTCAGATAATTTCAGAAATTCCCACTCGCCCACTAACATACAGAAGTGATCACTTAAACCCGTCTATAAAACATGTAAATGATTATATATGTGACGTGCAAATCGTTGAAAAGTGCAGTGAATTATTTCACAGTCTCTATTATCGCGAGGCTGCATTTGCACGTTGTAAAAAACACATTTCTTTTTAATTAAAAGCATGCATCTAGGTTTCAGGAAATTAAAATTGAACAAGTAAATGTGCCAGGAAATTACAAGCCATTTCTCAAATTGATTTTGAAGTCTTAGCTCACGTCTGTCCTATAAAACTTGATTCCTGACGTCAGCAATTTTGAATAAATGAAAAAAATCTGACTCAAGAAACAAGAGATTCCTATGTTATACTTAATGATTTTTCCAATTTTCTAACTTTTATATAGAAATTAAAAATATATATATAAATAGATAAAAATTATTTACATATAAATGTAAACTTTTATCTAAATTTCTTGCTATTCCAACAATAGAATCTTATTTATAAGTTTGGCATTCAAATATATTAACAATACATGGTTGTAAAACATGATTTAAGAACATAATTAATAACTATAATGCCTTAATGGACAGAGGATAGTCGACTACCAGTTGAACTCATATTTTGTTAAAACAATATTTGCTGAGTTTTGAAGGTTAGTTTATACAGCTTTTATTTAACTACCACTGTGTATAAAGCTAAAAGCTTAAAGACATATTCTCCATCCCTGGAACCAACCCAGTACTGTGCAATGATTGTAAATTTTCTTGCTCAAGGAAACAACTGCTTTCCACTGATGGGGTTCAAACCCAAGTGGCTAGCAATCCTTAGATTACAAGTCGGAGGCATTAACCACTCAGCTATGCTGCTGCACTAGAAGGTTTTCTCAACAGGTTAATGACAGATGTATTGTTTAAATGATTATTTCAAAAGTGAATCCTTGAACTAAATTGTTAAATCTGGATAAAAAATCAAGATAAATGTTCAGGAAAAGGGGGGATCTCTGGAGAATAAGGAAAGAGAAATAAATAAACTCTGATAGTGTCAATTTTAAGATTTCTAACAGAGCCATGCAAGCATGAAGCTTTACTTTACAATGATTCATTCACATTCATTATATTGTTATCTCTCTCTCAATTAATATTTGTGTAATGCAGTACTCAGTCTGTAATGCAAAGCAGCAGACTTCATGCATTGACACAACAAAATTTAGCAAAATGGAATGTAAAAAGTGACCGAAGTAGAATTAAATCCTCAACATTTTAAAATAATTGAATCAAAATAATCTATAATTATGCTATGATTTTGCAGTGTGGAAAATCAATAAAACAAATGATACTTTTGTTTTCTTGTCTTATATGTTTTATAACAAATTGCATAGATAATGATACTTAGATTTAAATAAAATTTAGCTAGATTACCATTACCTTAGAATAACACATTCCTGTTTGCCAATAGAAGCAGTGATTTCACGTCCTGTATCCAGATTTTCTCCATATATTGTAATCATTGAGCCACCAGACACTGGTCCTATACTAGGCTTAATGTTCATAATGTTAGGATCCTATAAACAAACATGTACACAGATATCAACATCATTCCTGTCCAGTTTAAGATTGCAACATTTTTCATTTCAATATATTTTGAAGTAAAATTGTACGTAATTAAACCAAAAATTAAACATTGTGTTTACATATCATTTTTGACCAAATGAATACAATGTTTCATTTTTGACGAAAAAGGCTTGTTAAAGTATGATCCCAGACCAGTGTCAAAACATGCAAGGTTTAAAATCTACAGACTTTATTCTAGCTATCTTAGGTTAGAACTCTTTGAAGTTAAAATATCATCAATGGGCCAGTCTGCTATGGCAACAGAAGTTACATTAAACCTTTTAAATCAAATTCTTGTGAAATTTATGTTATAAAATTATATTCTAATCATACTAAAACCCTTTCTAAACATGCAGTATATGTACGTTACCTTGTATATAAATTTCTGGTGAAAGTTCACAGCATCCCTGTTTGGTAGTGCCACAGTTACAACCCCTGGTTTTGGTGTGGGGATGGGTCCCAGCCTGCAAACAATCCACTGGGAGGGTTGGTACCTATCTCTCAAAGGTGCACACCGGATACCAGCTATACTAACAGCATTCTGGACCTCCTCAAACTTTGATCCAAGATCTTTACCAGATATGTTTACATATGTCCCTCCCCCAATGGGACCGGATAATGGATGCACCTGATAAATTAAAGATCACAATTTTAGAAACAGCGGACATCTTAAGACACAAGTATTTTATTTATTTCTGCCATTGCTGTTCTTTTTCAACTTGGCCCACACACTGCCACATTTCATATGTAATGAAACTAGAGACAAGTTAAATTCTATAAATTCCGGCAAATATTTTTTTGTGCTATGTGCTTGAAATTTAAAATAATTTACTGAATAACTTTCTGCATTGAAAATGAATTTATTTTACCAAAACATTTATCATTGCAATAATATAACTAAAATCTATTTAAATTTATATTTTAGTTTCATTCATTATTATTCAAATGTGGTTGTCTGAGCTGCAAATTTGTTTATGTGACCATGGCAGTGAAATGTTTAAAATTACAGACTTGTCTTTATAGATTTAAGGCATAAGTGAAACAAATCCCATCATGAATTGCACTTGTCAAAAATCTTCAGTCCGTTATTCTTATGATGTAACCCATGCCGACCAAGACCAGTTCACACACCATGCTTTCTGATCATGCTCTTCCCCTTGTTAGCTATTCAGTCAGTTAAATATTTTGAAAAAATTCCTTAAAGAAAATCAATGGTTTTGTCTAGATTGAAACCTGGACAAGTCTACATAACATACAGTCGACTCTCGTTATCTCGAAGTCATCAGGACCGTCCAAAAAATATCGAGATAACGAATTGTCGAGATAATCATATTAGGGTTTGAATTAGGCAGAAACTGATTTTTACAAAAGACATGTGCATACCTTATGTCAAATAAACTATGATATCCCATGTCTTGATTTCATAGGCCTAGTCAATATTTAACAAAGTAACATAATTGGATGTTTACCAGTGGAAATTCAGGTGTCTGTGATAATAACACATAGTGAGGTTTACTCAGTAATACACCAATATAGTGAAAACAATGGTTTTAGGTTGGTTGATCCGGATATCCTCCCGGGTTATTTATCTGGTCTTTCTCGAGATTGTTCGACCGCTGATTGATTTGGTGGTGATGTTGTGAAACAATATTGCAACAATAGCGTTTCTATACTTTCACTATTTCATTTACATTGAAAGTCATAATGAATTGCTACAGTATTCGAATATTTATAAAGAACGTAAAATTCACTCATTTTGGACATAAGTCAATCAACACACTAAATAGATTAACTTTTATGAAAAAAAACAGCTAAACTTGTTACAAACATAATCATCATTATGACACGCGCTTTTGAAAAGTTTGTGTTTTTCACACGTCTGAAGGGAACAGATGAAAGAAAACTATTAGTCGAGATAAACAAAGGATAAAAGTGTGAAAATAACTGTTGGGGCTTAAATTCTACATTGAGATACTGAAAATATCGAAATAAAAATATCAAGATAAACAAATATTTCCAATATAGATAAAGAAGGAAGAAAATCGGGACTTTCAAAATTTCATCGAGATAACGAAATATCGAGAAAAGCGATGTCGAGATAACGATAGTTGCCTGTATAAGGTATTTTGCATAGTTAGAGTTAAGCGATATTCAAATTGTGTTTCAAAATCAATGATGGTTGAGTGGAAGAGAAATATAATAACAGTAAGATGAGAGTATAAACCATTAATATAAAAGCACAGCTGTTACATAAACGATAAATCACAGGCAACATTAACTCATTTAGTTGTGAGGTGTAACTTTCATTGTCTATTTATAGCATCTTTCACATGACCGACTCCAAGTATTGAATTTATTAAATGACTGAAATGAAATGATAACTGAGAGATTCTATCAAGCATTTTCAAGCTGTTATTCTCTTTTTTACTTCGGGTGTGTGTGATTAATTAACCACAGAAAGGACGTAAATAATACATCTTTGTGATTCTATTTGTGAAATATCAAAACATAAAATGACATCACTATAATAACTGCAATATAATGGTATAAAAGAGACTTCTATTTCTTTGCTAAATTAATTAAAAGTGAACTTTATTGGTGATAAAATCTCAATCATTCATAAAAACAGCACTTTGTAAGAAAAATAAAGCATGTTTTTTTTATATTCAACAAAAATGGATGTGTTTGGCATATTTTAAATAAAGTTTGATAATAAAGGTACATTGTATTTGAGTACATCATCTTTCAATTAATTTTAAATAATATACTCCATATTGATATTTGTTATGTTTTAATGTCTCACAGACATTGTGTCATACAGTCACTATACAGGTAGGGTAAGACCTTTGATGAACCAGATATTCTTCTGTTTTCAGGTAAACTAGGATACCAGTGAGTGGAACTTATGACCTTTTGTTAGCTAGATGGATAGCTTCCTTACCGGATAGAATGCTACATGGCTAACTAATTCTAGAAAGCAGCAATTGGTTTAAAATAAGTCAGTTATCTTTATAACCCCTACCAAAAAAAGTATCAATGGACCTGTCCATCTTTCAATCTGGACAATACCATTCATCATTTAAGGAAAAATTTCAAAATATATATTAAATGAATAGCAAACAGTTACAGATGATAATCAGATGTTACAGATGTGCTGGGTGATATCTTGTTTTGTACCTGTCACATGGGTACGTACAATCAGTTTCAGCCAGCGCAGTCTTTTAAGGAATAATAAATAAGTAATGTAAATGTGCAAAGAGTAGAAAAAGTGATAGTAAGTTTATATATGATATCATATTTGATAAGTGTAACACTTACAATCTGTATCTGAGGTTTGGGGCAGGGTTCAGGTTGTTGACTGCGACAATAGGACTGGTACTTGCAGTTTTTATCACACCAGTTACACTGTAACTGAGGTAATGTATGATTAATGTTGTGACACAGTCCACACTCTCCCTTCGCCAATACCTCACACCTATATATCGTTACTGAAATATGAAATATAAGCATGTAATAAGAATGTAATAAAATTCATAATTCAATAGAATAAAAGTAAAGATTTGTTTAAATTTATCAGTATATTATCAAGTAACAGGTGTGATTGTAGGGATATGTCCTAACCTTTCATCAACCTAACTAAGTTGTAATGAATTCATCTTGATTTGAATTAATCAATATGAACTATTGATTTTAGGGGAATTTCCATATCAAATACTAACCCATACTGTTGTCAAAGGCATGTTTTCATTTTGATATGATAGACAGACGTCATAATCAATAGGCTTCATCATGTACAAATGTATTCTAAAAACATGACATATCTTTTATTATCCATGATAAATATTTTGGCTTATAGGTATGATACAAAAACTCTCAATATAGGGTTTTATCAACAAATATAACCTTAACACTGCAAAATTTAGGGCATTGATATTCTTACTTTGAACATTGGAAATATTTATTTTTAGATCAAGAGATTTTAAGGTAAAAACATGGACAAACTTTATTTTAGAGTGATTGTGCAAGCAGGAGGCTATAAGCTTACATACACAATCTTGAATCATTTCCTGGAACCACCCATTATTAAAAAATTAATGTTAAGTTTTTTGCTCGAAGTAACAATGTTATGACCCTGACATGGTTTGATTCCTCAAAGGCAGCAACCCTTAAAGTTCTAATCCTACCATTTTCAAATGCAATAAAGCCAGCTCTATAATTGGTGGACACATGCTTGTCTTGTTTACAGTAAATTCACATGAAAATTAAATCTAATAATAGTTTGAGTTTGATACATCACAAACACAAAGATTTTCTGAAGAGGTCTAAGACAACAGAATAAAGCATTTAACGGAACGTGAAGGATAACAATTACAGTAAATTTCAATGACTTCAACAATGCTGTGGGTTGGAAAATTTGGCTAATCTTGCAATTTGGAAGCTACAAGAATAGAACACAAAGCATTTAACAAATCACAGATGTCCGAAAAAAACTTTCCAGTCTGGCAATATTCATAAATTTCTTAAGCTGTGCACAAAATTCTGCACAATTTTAATTTGAAATATTCAAATACATAAGGTTCGGCAGAAAACTGTTGTAAATCAGAGATTATAAAGTGTATGATATCATAGTCTTGCACTGAACCTTGTCAATGCAGTAATTTATTAGATTAAGATTAGGCAGAGATCGAGGAAAATTGTTTGACAAAAAACACAAAATTGTTCATTTTTGAGCATACTGCAGTCTGTACAGGGGGATAGGGCCTTTAAATTCAATCTTAGGATAGCTAAACTTCTGTTTTATGATGAAATGTTTCTTTAGAATAAGGGAAGCATTTAAAATAACATCAATGCCATAATTATATGAAATTTTGGTCTTCTTTTTTTTATGAGAAAGGTTTTAATCATCAACCTGCAACATTTATAAAATGGGCAAGTCCTGATTTAAATTTGGAATGGTTCAATAGCATTTTAAAGGATTCCACATAGTTCAGCAACTGAAACCTAGTTTGTTTGATTGTTCTGGAACTGCAATCTGACATGACTATTTAATGTTAGTATAATTCTTTTGTCTATCAGACACTGACAGTATCATACCTAATGTCACCAGCTCTGCTTACAATATAAGAACCACTCTTAGGCCAGAAAGCAATTAGGAGACACACAAACCTTTCATCAGCTACAAAATTAGAGTTAAAAATAAAGGAATTTCATCTAACCATACAACATAATTTAATATCAAAGTAGTTAGGGGGGTGTACATGTAATTACAAATCAACCTAGTCAATAAGGCCATTAAAGCCAACACTATAGCAATTTAAAATAGAGTTTCAACTTTACCTTCGGAGTTTTTGACATCCTCAATTCTGTATGTTCCGCCCCAGTACACATGGATTGGTGCCATGAAAATACCACCAGTATATGAAGAGGGAACCATCTGAAAATAGTAAAAGAAAATATAATATTATGTTTTTTTAATCTATTTCATTTTTTTGCACTTGTGCAAGATCAACTTTCTTGTCCATGCAGTCTGACCTAACTTAGTTAGCAATGAAATAAAATAAAATCTTTCAATGGAAAGCAGGGCCAATTTAATTACTCATATTTAAATGGAAAAGATTACCTAAGAGCATGTTTCTCTGTGTTTATATTGACAGGATTTTCAGTCATCTTAGTAAAAAAAGAACTCTTCTATGGTCATTTGGCCAACATCCAGATTTTAATGGCGGACTTGAAACACAAAGGTCAGCTTAATGGATGTTAAAAATATCCTGACAGTTTTTTCTGATAAAAGTCCATTAACATGCATCAACTTATCTCCCATCAATACGATAGAATTACATAAAATGCTACCACTTGAATATCTTCAATAAAGATAACCCGCATAAAAGTTCCAGTCCATGTCTTAAAATATGATATTAAATATGCTTTCTGGCATGCAATATAAAAAAAACTTTATCATATCCCCTTTACGTTCCATTATCACTACTACAGATATTAGATTGCCTTGAAACTTAATAACAAAATTTATCATTCTACGTAATTTCATCTGCAACTTACTTCCTTCAATGTAATGGCTTTTAATGCAGCAAAGTAAATTTAATAGCTTATTTTATCAGTACGCTACTTAGATTTCAAATTTTTTTGCCAGTTTTTTTTCTTCAGCTATCAGGAACTATAATGATACTTCTTAACTCAGTTCACCCTTAATATCTTTAAATGGACTGCTCCATCTTTCAACCTGGACAAAACCATTCATCATTTTTAGGGTTTATTCTAAAATATGACTGAATATGAAACAGTGCAGACCATGATTAAAGACGGCAAGGATGAGCAAGGTGATCTTGGTTTGCACTGGTTGATGGGTAATTCAATCCCTGCCAGCAAGCTCGGATTAAATGCAATACAGACTTCTCAATTTATAATGTTTTCAATACAGGCAAGAGTTCAAAGCCACGGAGATTATAATTTATTTCAATGCCGTGATTTATGACGTGAGAAATGCCTATCAAATTATCCGGCAATTATATAAGATGCTAAAATAGGCTTAACTTGCACTCAAAACATAAAACCAAATCTTTTTTTAAATGATTTTCACAAAATCGTCTTAATGACTGTACATCTACTTGTATCAGCATTAAATGCATTTAAAAGAGGAAAAAAAGCCCTTGATATTCTAAAATTACGAAAACTTCAAAACTTCGCTGAGTAGGATTTTGTGTCATGTAAAACTGAAATCACATTTTGTATTTAACATATTATTTTCAACGTTTTATTAGAGCATTATGAATATAAAGGCATGAAAAACCATTGATTTCTAATTAGCAGATATTGCTGCAGGTGTCCTGTTAAAAAAACCCACTTGATATAAGGTACAGAATGATGCTCCATCCCATTACATTGCTTGAACTTTTCAAACTGATACAGTCATGTATGGATAGTCACCCACCACTAAATTGTAGCACACAAACAAATTGAGGTATATGTCATTAAGGTGGCTAAGGCCTTAAATAACTTTCAATTTATTACCAAAGGGTTCAAGGAAGCTGTTTAGATATGAGCCGCACCATGACAAAACCAACATAGTGCGTTTGCGACCAGCATGGATCCAGACCAGCCTGCGCTTCCGGGCAGTCTGATCAGGATCCATGCTGTTCGCTATCAGTTTCTCTACTTGTAATAGAGTTGGTAAGCTAACAGCATGGATCCTGATCAGACTGTGCGGATGCGCAGGCTGGTCTGGATCCATGCTGATCGCAAACTCACTATGTTGGTTTTGTCATGACGCGGCTCATATATATATTTCAGATAGTTTTCTAAAAATATCTCAGGTGCAACTTTATAATATAATTATGATTTCAGGTGCCTAATAATAGCAGTAACAACTGACTTTTTGTAAGCTAGTTAGACAGCTTTCTCATATAATAGAGTCTGACTGTACAAACAGATAGATGTTTAAATAATATAAATATAGTCACCATGTTTTTAAGTTCACAAACTAGACTGCCGTCATATCCCAGGCTTCCATTGCTCTTGTACTCAATTCCGCCCACACGCACATGACATGTGTACTTTAAATTGCTTGGCTGTTGATACAAAAATATCTTAATTAGTCTAAATTCTACTTCAGAAGTCATTACAGTGGAAGTTACTATGAAGAATTATTATTAATATTTTTTTTTAAGATTTTACATTGCACTTACACTTACATAGGTCATATGGCAACTTTCCAGCTTTACTTGTGGAGGAAGACGTAAGGTGCTCTTTCGTGCATTATTTCAGGCACGAACTGAGTAGCTACCTCACATGAAAGAATCCAAGTTCATGTCACAGAGGTGAGGGGCAAGTGGTTTGAAGTCAATGACCTAAACCACACGGCTATGTATGCCTCTAAAAGAATTGTTTTCTTCAATCACACAACTATATTTTTTAATTATACAATTGTACAATTGACAAGTTTCCTTTTGATACTTGTTTTCACATTTCAAAATTTATTTTAATTCATTGTAAAATTATAACAACATTAAATTATTTATATAATAATTCAATCACAGAAGTAAGTTTTTTAAAAATACACAATTGTATCATAGTTTGGAGTTAAATCATATACATATACATGCACAGTGCGTTAACTGGAGTTCAGGTATTTGTTACCCGCACTCCAGAGCATGCCCGTTGATTGGCTCATTTTTGCTGGGGTTTACTTATTGTGACGACAGAGAAAGGGAAAGCGACAGAAATATCATATTCAGATCCTTGTTCATTGGTTACTCTTTTCTGGGGTTTCATATTGTGACAACAAGGAACGTGTTTTTATGTTTGACTATGATACAAAAGAGAAAGAACATTAATACTCGGGGGTTACACCCCCTCGTACAAATCGGATAGCCTCGTGTTTCGATGCTCTTTCTATTACTTATACACCATCTGATTGTATTTATTTGGATTAAACTTAAGATAAATATAAGATTGCAGATATAACAGTATTACCTGGGGAAAGTTAATGCCACGTATAACAACATTTTTTTCTATTCCTTCAGGTACATAGATAGTACCTGTCCTCTCACTGTCAATACGGGGACAATGTAACGGCCCTTTCATTCCAGATCGTGATGAAATCCTCTGAAATACCAGATAAAACCCATATCAATACAGTTCTTGGATTGTATGTAAATAAATGTACTGTATGTCCAATCATTATTATGGCTACTGTATCATTGGCCTGAATGAGACCCACGATATCACTATAACAGATAATAATGTAAAGCAAAAGTCAAACCAAAAACGTTTGAAACGCCAAATAACAGCAATAAATAGTGAAAAAATGTATATGAAGCACAAGTGCTCTTATTTATGGTATTTTTGCATAATCTTAATAGTACATAGTGAAATAAGGTACTGTACTGATAAAATGATGGTAACCACAATTTTATATGAAGGGACAAAAATATACTTCCTGAGACACATTCGAAATAATGGGAAAAAATGGATTTCTTTCTAACTATTTAATGCTGACTGACACTTTCTTACTTATTTAAAATAAATCAGGTTAAAATGAAAATTTTAAATTACTCCCTTCAATATGTGAGTGAGTATCTTTTAAAATTGACTCTATTAATCTATAAATAAAAAAAAAACTCATAAAAAACATAACTTTTTGGAAAATATAAAAACAATGTTTGATTGAAAAACAAAATCATTTATATAAATTGGATAATGATGATTCCTAAAATGTGCATCAAAATAATTTTCTTGAAAATTGTGTTTTATGATTGGTAACAGAAGAAAATACAGAATAAATGTGAGCCATAAATCAAAATATAATTGAGCAATTTAACTAATTTGTAATTTACAAAGTGAGCAACTCAGGCTTGTTGAGAGAATATCATATGTATATATCAATTTCAGTTTATTATGTTTCTGGTATAAAAAGGGTAAAATAAGCAAGCCTTCCAGATGCCAGCATATAAACTCATCCTTCAAATTCAGCCATTTGAGGAAAATTCCCCCCAAAAAATAACGAAGCAAATCAAAAAAATCCCATTTCAGACCACATAAAATTTCACTCCAAAAAGCATGACAAAGTGAAATATCTAAAATTCTTATTAAATTTTGTAATGGTGAATGCCAATGGGATAATTCTCATAAATACTGGGGTTGATTATCATTCTGAGTATACAGTTATCAGTAACACTGTCCTTAAGTATTAAAATGTTATTTGATGATGATGCTGATGATGATGGTGATGATGATGGTGATGATATTAATTATAATAATGATGATGATGATGAAGTGATGATGATGATGATGATGATGACAAATTGACAATGATGATATATATGATGACTGTGATGACTAAGGTGCTGTAAATGTTAGTGATGATTCAACCATATAGTGGTGAAGTCAGTCAGCTGTGTACAGTCAGTGGTGTGCAAGAGGCCATCAGCTGTGTACAGTCAGTGGTGTGTAAGGGGCCGTCAGCTGTGTACAGTCAGTGGTGTGTAAGGGGCCATCAGCTGTGTACAGTCAGTGGTGTGTAAGAGGCTATCAGCTGTGTACAGTCAGTGGTGCGTAAGGGGCCGTCAGCTGTGTACAGTCAGTGGTGTGTAAGGGGCCATCAGCTGTGTACAGTCAGTGGTGTGTAAGAGGCTATCAGCTGTGTACAGTCAGTGGTGTGTAAGAGGCTATCAGCTGTGTACAGTCAGTGGTGTGCAAGAGGCCATCAGCTGTGTACAGTCAGTGGTGTGTAAGGGGCCGTCAGCTGTGTACAGTCAGTGGTGTGTAAGGGGCCATCAGCTGTGTACAGTCAGTGGTGTGTAAGAGGCCATCAGCTGTGTACAGTCAGTGGTGTGTAAGAGGCCATCAGCTGTGTACAGTCAGTGGTGTGTAAGAGGCTATCAGCTGTGTACAGTCAGTGGTGTGTAAGAGGCTATCAGCTGTGTACAGTCAGTGGTGTGTAAGAGGCTATCAGCTGTGTACAGTCAGTGGTGTGTAAGAGGCTATCAGCTCAAAGTGTACAATCAGTGTAATTAGCGCACTCAGGTTAAACAGAAACTTTCCTGTCTTATGTAATATGCCTGTTAAACTTTACATTTTTGCTGATAAATAAATTACTGCTGCCATTCAGTGAGATATATAAAATAATACTATTTGTCACAGATAAACCAAAGTCTCTTACATGAATTTGGACACATGAAGAAAAATATTTGTCACACTTAAACATAAAAATAAAATAAATGTTGAGAGATTATATATATCATATTTTTACTAGCCCTTCCCTTATGCAAACATTTTGTGTAATATTCATACATCTCAGTGAAATATAATTCATATCTCACTCTAAACAAAATATCATCCCTTCATCAGGAGATATTGAGACTTTAAGTTTAATTGTAAAGCAAATTTTCATTACTATCATTGGTCAATAAATAAATCTAATACATTATATACCGGTAAATGACCAATTTGGACAATTATGAAATGATGGTTTTCATGTTTTAGCATGCACATATTTTCTGAAAGTTTCTGCTTACCCAGAGCACAGTTTTCACAAATCCATAATACCATACAAAATGATGACTTTGACTTTTTTACAAACACAAATATAGTTACATTTACATAATAATAATATTACAGACTAACATGTATTACATTTACATATAAATTTACAATATTGAATTATATGTATTAATTTCATATTCTAATATATATTGTAATAGTACAACAATATAACAGTACAACAAAGTTTTTTTCATGAGTCACTGATTTACATGAATATTTTATACAAGCAAAATGTTTCTTGAATTCAGGTCATATTAGTATAACACAAGGCTTTTTGTTATGAAGTGCATATCCTGGATGATATCCATCTTATAATGATGCAAAAAAATAAGCTAGAAAAATAAAAACCTATATTCATTCCCGCAATAAAAAATTGGGTGCTAACTCTCCCAAAAATGAAAACATTAGAAATAAAATCTATCAATAACATCATGAAAATGTCTGGTTTTGGAAACACTTGTTAAAAAACGAGCTTTGGTTACCAAAAAAAAAATGATGTGAGGAAAAAGCTGAAATATGTCTTTTCAGTCCATTAGTGCTACAAGATGGCAGAAATCATATGAAAAGCAATAGATAACGTCATACATTACTGCTAAAACATTATATATGCTTTAAAGCATCAGAGTGTGAATCCTGTACTGAAACAATGTTTAAAAACTTTTCTTCTTGTCAAATATTACACAATTTATTACCCAACAAGATATTTTGTTAAAAGGCACTGTCATATTCTGTGAAATGGAGCACATTTGGGGGACTCGACGCAACACTGCTGTAAATCAATTGGCACTACAAGAACAGACTATGACAGTGTTTGAAATAAATCTTAAAGCATAGCAATAAGTTCACGTTAATAATCTTCCTACATGTGCTAAAGTGAACATCTTTCCTTTTACAAACTTCAGCAATTATTAAAATGGACAAAAAGATGTTGATCTTATAGAAATATATTGAATACATATACATATTACTCAGTACAGTTTTGTCTTTCATTCTAGATTATTTTCAGATATCTTCTGCCAAAACCTTTTTAATACCCAGTTTTCAAAACATGTAAGATCTTCATACTAATATCTTTATTCACAACCATTATTTTCTCATAATGAGTTTTTAACATTAAATACCCATAAGTCATGTCAGAAAAGGTAATATAACTGACTTTAAATCACTCACAAAATATAAAAACACAAATTCTTTATAATCTAAAATTCTTCAAGTATTTTCAAATTTCTTATAAATTACTTTGAAAAAAAACAACAAAAAAACAAAAAACACTCTTTTTCAAAGAATACAAAAAAAGAATCTATAACTATTGGGAGTATGCAAGCTTTTTATTTCAGTAAAAATAAATTATAGAAACTAATCTGCTAATGTTTGCCATGATAAAATCATTAACAAAAGTTCATTTTTGTAATATGTGAAACTTCTTTACTATTTCCTGTAAAATTTCAAATATCATTTCTGTGAAGATGTTACAAAACAGTATTACCTAGAAGTACAAGGTTGATCAATTTTGGCAATATAATTTTGTATTCAGGAAAATAAAAGCAGTAAAATCCCAACCCTTTGTAAAAAAAAAAAAAGATTTTTTTTATACAGGGATGGGATTTTTTTTTTTTTAATCGAACATTACTGCTATCATTGATAGGATTTTAAGTTCATTTGGTTGTTTTCGAAAATTAAGATTTAAGATTTCATTTATAATACTAAATATGTAGGACAAAGTAGAAATACTAATATCAATGCAATCATTGTTACTGTTTTGAATTTCAGATTTGAGTTACCCGCCATTTTCCCACTGCAATCCCTTTACATACAGTGTTTCAGTACTGGAAGTCTGGAAAGTTTGAGAGAGAGAGATATATATATATACAGATATATACAGCCATACCTACAACTTACTAACCTGAGAGCTACGAGGAATGCCTGAGTACTGCAAGGGAAATTCAAGGGTCAAAGTTCAAGGCTATATGTTCTACTGTAGCTAAATATATAGTAACATAGCTAAATATAGTTAAAAAATAAAACTTGCAATAAAACAATACCTGAGATGAAGGTTCAACCTATAGGATTTCAACATTTATAAAAAATTTGCATTCAGAACATTGTATAAAAACAAATGAGCCAAGCCATGGCAAAACCAACATAGTGCGTTTGCGACCAGCATGGATCCAGACCAGCCTGAGCATCCGCGCAGTCTGATCAGGATCCATACTGTTGGCTATCAGTTTCTCTACTTGTATTGGATTTGTAAGCGAACAGCATTGATCCTTATCAGACTGCGTGGATGCGCAGGCTGGTCTGGATTCATGCTGGTCGCAAACCCATTATGTTGGTTTTGTCATGACACGGCTCAAATCTATATTTGTTTCAATTAGCATGCCACTGACGTAAAAAAAGACTGCATATCATAGGAATTAAAACACTGAAAGATAAGAGAAATTTACATCAAATTCTGATCATTTTCATTGTAACTGACAAGCATGGAGAGTTTTTTCTTACGAGTACAGAAAATAACAAAGATATAAAAGACAAATATATAGGAATTTTATGCAGATACATAAAAATGCAATTCACATTCCGAAAGTTATATTCACTAATTGAATATATACGGCAAGCAATTCAATCATTCAGATAGAGAGAACAGAGAAAACTTTCACCATGGAATATAATCAACATTAATTTCTACAATCTATCCCAGCTACCGATATCTCAGACAATTTATTCGCAAGTAAGTAGTTCTGGACCAGTAATTCTTCCCTCCCATTACCCTCACCATATTTTGCTATTACCCCACCATATTGTCCCATGACCCCATCATAACGTCCCATTGCCCCATCATAATGTCCAATTGGCCCCCCAAAATGTCCCATTACCCCCACCATGACGTCCCATTGCCCCACCATAACTTCCCATTACCCCACTATATTATCCCATTACCCCCACCATATCGGGTTGAACTATTGAACAAAATACAAAAAATTATATAAAGTTTTTTCTTTCTACATTCATTAAGATTGACTGATTGACTTAGTACTACTTTAATGCAACATTTTGTCTTAAGTTAAATTTCGTAACTTTGACTTCATTTAGATATGAAACAGTTTCTATTTATCATAAGGAACCCACAAATCAAGAATAATTTTTTTTTGTTCCCCCTACTGGGATGGACAACTTCTCATTAAAAAATAAATTCTTCAAAACATTTCATAAATTGATACGGTAACTTTTATTTTGTTGAGCTTGTTACTAACAGCTTTCAGAAAGCATATCTTTTGAAAATGAGATCAATATTTCATGTTAACCTTATAACTACCGTAGCATCTAAATCATACTTTCATACATAGAGGAAATTTAAATAAACTGTTGAATAACATCAATTTCTTGAAATAATAGAATTTCCGTCAAATTTGACAGATTAAGATTTATGCGCTTATCCTTAAGTAATATCAAGCAATTTTTTCAGATGGATGCATTTAAACTCTTCCCAACTTCACGAAAATTGATCAAAATTATATAAAATATGAATATCCTTTGAAAATGTCACTGCAAGGAAGTTAATCAGTGTTTTTTTCTGCATCCGAGAAGCTTTTCTAATACAAGATATAAAACTGATGACGTAAATGCATAAAAAGAAATTGATTACGAAACAAGTAAAATATTTTATAAACAATGTGTTCAGGAAAAGCCGTATTTAGATTCTGCACAGTTGTCAAAACAAGTTTCTTTAAAGACATTAAGAAGTTGACGGTCTTCTGCAAAATATTTCTTCAACTGATTAAAAACAGAAATAGCTTATGGTAGTTTTAGAGCCTCATGAAATGTCTTGCACAATCATTATTAAACCGGGTTTTTTTTATCATTTAAAGAAGTTTGAAAACTTTAAAAGTGTTACTGACATTTTGAAAGTGTTGAGTACATAAGGAAGGGTGATGATTTCATTGATTAAAATAAAGTCATCATGGAAAACTCTCCTATAAGTGGTATCAAAAATAGAATCATCTCAATCCAGTAGAAGTAGAAAAACAACAAACTTGTGTTTATTAGGAATGGGGAATGGCCAATTTGTGTTAAAAGGTCTAATTAACCACTGTTTTTATCAAAATCTACGAGTATTATATTGTAAAGTACATTGTAACCCCTAAAAAATAGTCCAGAACTATCTTTGCAAGCTAAAAAGTTCATTCAACATGGAAACAGACTGTTATAAACAGGGCTGATCAGAAGAAATACATGTTTTGTTATTCGTTATAACATTACATACCGATTTACTAAGGACGACTCCAGGTTGACAAAAGTTGACCGAATCATGTACACATCTGTTATCATAGATACACCAGTCACATGACCAACTGTTGTTTGTACATTGACTACAACTAGAATATAAATCAAAATGTTTTTTTAAGGCATTTATTTTTATACCAAGACTGAATGAAACAGTGTAAAACCTGAGTAAATAAATTTAAAACTTTGTAACCATAAATCATACAGAATAATGATATACCTTATGACATAACACAATAGTAACTTATTCCTATTGTTGCTTTAATATAAATAACATCTAAAGAAACAATGAAACGTAACAGGATTTATAACAATTATCCATAAATTATATTACTTCAGCTACATCTTATAAACTAGCTAAGCTCATATTAAAATTAAGTGTAATATGAAGAAGGTACCTAGAAAAACTGCTACAGTTAAAGTAGGTGAAGTTTTGTGCCAGGAACAGTTTCCCTGTCTCGCTAGAGTTCAATGCGATGGTCATAGCCTGACTTCCTGTATAAACAATGGAAAAATGGTCAGTACTGTACAAATTCTACATATTAAGAGGTAAAGACGGTAGAAAGAGATCTCTTACTTACCATGATAAATATCTTTTATGGACTTCAAAAATTTTCTACAGTTTAAACCATTAATCTTTTTAAGGAAAATAAGTACCGACTGATTATCAAACAGTGCAGACCATGATCAGACAGCATGGATGTGCCGACTGATCTTGGTCTGCACTGGTTGCATAATTATGTAGATTCAGTTGCTGCCAGTAAGTTAAGGGTTCTCAATGTTAAGTGACATTATCTCATGTCCAGTATTTCAAATTTCAATATCTTAAAGGAATAAAATAAATGTTGAGGTCACCAAAATCAGCATAAATCCATGGCAACTGCATGTCTACTTCTAGATAAAGAACCATGAAAATGACATAGGCAGACAAATTTAAAAAGGTCTAACCGAACATAATAGTCTTTTTAAAACTAAAGGACAAGACAATTCTGACTTTTGACAACTTATCATACAAAATACATGGTATATTATAAGTATATGACAATATGTCAACTTTTTATTTGTCAGATTATATTCCTAAATATTTGATCTCAAACCAAGCATTATTCTTCAACAACAAGCTCAAAATTTATATCTATTTCTTAATATCATTGATGACAAAGTAAATCATACAAACAGCTGGACAGATGAATAAGAAAACCTTACCATCCACAATGATTCCTGAGCCAGTAATGTCAGGAGCTTCACAGTAGACACCATAAGACCAGACCTGCGCCGGCGACGTTTTGTTCAGCTCCGGAAACACACACGTATAGTTGCTGCCATCTGGTAGTTGATATATGGTCAGATATAACTGTAATTGACATATATATTTTATATTATACATGATATTTACAATCAATACTAATCAAGGTTTTAACGGAACAATTAAAATTAGAACAACTTTCTTTATCCTGGGTTTAGTCCATCATCGGTTACCCAAGGTATTTATTCCGTCTAGATACTTCGCCCATATGGTTTATTCCGGTGGCGAGGGTAAACAAACCAAGCACATACTATCTCGATATGTAAGGAATATATACCATACCGCAGGTAACCGATGATGGATTGAGATATAAGTATTCAAAAAGTACTTGTTTTGTTATCTTTGTGTGTCAAAGTCTCATCAAAAGTTGCTGTAAAAAAGTTTGCCTGATCCAATTATTCTAAGTACAGAATGGCTTTTACATAATACTATATTTATATCACCTGTAATCATTGCATGTCACTAGATACTTTGAGGTAATTTTATGGTGATTGTATTGTGGCTATAAACTTACCTTGAAGTATGGCTTACACTCTTTAACAAAGCTATTTTAAAAGCGTATTTCTCTTTCCAGATACTTTTAACATTAAGTATATCACATGCTTGTGTGATGTTGGCAGGCCTGTTATATTGTAACCCATTAGAATAGAGCCAGGCCAGCCTGTGTCAATGTTGATTGCTTTATTCCAGCATTGCGACAATGATTTCCCTTATAATAAAGATAGACTGTTCCAAATTCAGATAAGGACAAGTCAATTACAAAAAGGATAACAGTTTAATATGACGTGTGGTATGCAATACTTCATGAGATACTCATATTGAAGTATTAACAGTCAATCTGCTTGGGCCTTTGACACCAGTACAGTGCCAGAACCCGACGCTATGCTGTTGGCATCCCAATGCTTGCATTTTAATACTGAAATTGCGTAATATTTGAACGGACTGTTTGAAATTCAATGCTGGGCTAATCCATTATATATATTTAGTAGATTAAAGGGTTTAATATTAAATGAAATTATTGTTATAAAACCTACTATAGCACTGGCAGACACTGATACTGTCCTTGGTGAAACATCTGTTATAGCGACACAAGTCTGTCCTGGTGGGCCGTATAACCAACGATCACTTGATGATACCCTGCAATGCTGCTGTTGAGTGCACCTAGAAAATAGAAAATTAAAAATTATATTTTGTCAGAAATTTCTTTTATATAATTTATTTAGCCTTCTGAACTGAAAAGCATTTCTTAGGATTGTTTATTGAACAATTTAGTGATTACCAGTCAAGTTTAGGAACTTGAAACAGATGATTTTCAGCAATTTATATGTACATAGGGTCAAAAATGTACAATAAATTAAGCTTAAAATAATTGCCACTTTGTAAATCAAAGTTTCATTAGTTTACACAATAGCTTATTGTGTTCATATCAGGATTTCATTACATAATGCTGCGAACATGAAGGAATAAAATGAGCCTCGTCACAACAAAACCAACATAATGGATTTGCGACCAGCATGGATCCAGACTAGCCTGTGCATCCGCGCAGTCTGATCAGGATCCATGCTGTTCGCTATCAGTTTCTCTACTTGTAATAGGGTTTGTAAGTGAACAGCATGAATCCTGATCAGACTGCGCGGATTCTGGTCTGGATCCATGCTGGTCGCAAACCCATTATGTTGGTTTTGTTGTGACGCGGCTCAAATTAATTCAAATCAAACCAATTCTTTCATGAACCACAAGACACGTCAGAATTTTTTTTTACATGAAAATTAACTTATTAATAAGCAGTGTACACATGAAATTAATTCATTCTTTGATCTTTCGTGGACAAGACCGGTGCTCACAGTTAACGGGAATCAATAATCATCCATGAATAAAATTCCAATCGCTTTCCAATCTATCTTCCAGTATGAATACATCATCTTCCCATCCAATATGCATGCAAATAAAAGACTTAATGGATATCCAATGCGATTTCATTATTAATATTTCAAACAACCTCACACGCGCAGTTTTACACGGGCCGTTATAAAAAGAAATATCAGACGTCTTTGAATCCGTGTCACATTGGCTGCCAACATATTATCGCCTTGTAAACTTCACGATCTCGTAATTTTTTCATTTATACAATATAAAAGAAGTCTGGGAACACTTGACTGAACAATATGATCAATTTGCAGCATCATGGCTTCAACATTACAGCAATTTATTTTTAATTAAATTCTTTTTCCACTACGTAATTCGACACTCAGTCCTACAAAATTACAACACATTCTAATTAAAGTGTCATGAACTGCTTACATTTTTTGTATTAAAAATTGAAGCATAATTTCACACAACTTCTTTGATCTTATTAAATAATGATTAATCATAAAATCAGCACTATATATAATGGTGGATATAAAACTGTCAAAATATGATAGAATTACAAAGTTATGACAACTTTAAGATGACCCCCTATTATATATCTTATTAAAATACATTAGCATTCACTGTAAAAGAATAACCAAATAATTTGTAATATTTTTTATATATGTGTAATATACATTATGGTTATCCCTTATCACACTAAATATCTTCAATGGATACATCCTTCTTTCAATCTAGACAAAACCTGGTGAATTACCGTTTTTAGGCAAATTTTCAAAATATATACATGTATATTAAAAAAATATACATGTATGTAAAATTTCAAAATATATACATGTACTAACTGAATATCGAACAGTGCAGACCATGATCAAATCCCAGGATGTGCTTGGACTTGGTCTGAACTGGTTGATGATTATAATCACTTGCAGCCAGAAGGTAAATGGAATTGGAGATCAATGTTTAATTTGTATTTAGTGCTGATCCAACACAATACAATACATTTTAAAATTGACCTGAATTTTCCAGGAACAGCCTAAAATTCAAGGCAGGGCAAATCCAGTGGTCACATTTAACATATTAACCTATAGCATGCTGTCAGTCAATGGTTCTAACCATATGTCCAGTGCATCTCTGTTGTCTGAAAATGGTCTGCACCACAGTTCCCTACTCATTCCGTAAATACATTGAAGAACTTTTTCCATTACAATGATTAATGCGTTTTTCACATTGAAATTTGAGAAAGTGTAGTATGGGTTAGTAGTATTACTGACTAAAATACTCTTAAATATTGATCGATCCTGTCTTTAGTTTTTCGGTTTTCACTTAAGTCATGATCTTCAGCCTTTCTACTAGATTTTAAATACAGTCGGCATCGTACTTGCGTCCACCTTTATTAAGCGACTTTTTTATTAAGCGGCCGCATAAAATCCCTCCTGATGATTTTTACTATTTAATCTAATTCCATTAAACGACTATTTTATATCGCGGCCAGCGGCCACTGATTGTCAGCCCAAATGTATAAAATTAAGTGTTAAAGTATCTATTAAACGGCCGTGACAAACAATCGTCCCTGCGGGCATTCTCACCTGTGTAATTAGCGAGTAGGTTAGATGTGTACAAACAAACAAACAAATATTTTTTTATGGTCATTGGTCACAATTAATTGACGTTTAAAAACGAAATGAATAACAATTGCAATCGTTTCAAAATTTTCCGATCGTAATATTCATTGTGACATATTTTGTCAGAGCAATAACGTTTCACAACACCGCATTTGCATAGTTTTGTCATGTGCTCAGAGTGACCTCCCTTATCGAAATTGACGTCAGATCGAGCCAACTAATAAGACCGGATAAATTGTATGAGGAAATCGTGCATGGAATTGAGTCTGAGTAAATAGCAAATGTCATCGATTGTAGTCGAAATAAAATCGTGAAACGTAGTGGACTAAACATTACAGAACCGAGCCTTTCATTGCTGATGGATAGGTGCTCATCTGATGCTGTATAAAATACATGTAGTACCCCATTAAATATGACCCTCCGAAAAAAAAAACCCACAAAAATACTAGATCTCTAAAAACTTATTGAATTTGAAATCGGGGTAGTGTGAAAACTAATTGTTGAAAAAATCAAGAAGTTTAAAACGACAGTATTATGAGCGTAGATCACATTTGTACACAAATTTCTACTAAAAAACAAAAACAAACAATATTGATGACTTTTTTTTTTTAAAAAGGCATAAATGTAATTATAAAACTGTAATGCATACATAATATTGTATATAGTTTTTGTTTTTATAAAAAAAGATGTTATTATATCTATGACTTGTAATAAAAAGTCTCGAATTTTCCAGAATTCTATTGAGAGACCACTTTATTAAGAGACCACTTTTTGGCAGTCCCTTGAGTGGTCTCTTAATACAATGTTGACTGTACTTGTATCAAAAACTTCCTTCATCTCTCTGCATTTTATACTCTTTTATTCCACATTAATAAACCTTATGAGCTACAAAGGACTGAAGGATTAAATTTTCCTCAGTATAAAAATAGCAAGGAAGAATATATGATGTATAAAGCACTTTGAAGTTGGCATTAATGATGTTATTCCATGCAATAAGAAGTAATCTGTGCTAGGACATAGACCACTGAAACCACAGACTGTTTGTCAAGATTTATCATTTTTTTGTGGGAAAATTTGATTGACAAAAACTGAAATACAAAATTATGTCTTTAAGGATTAATGTCTTCAGAAGAATATGGAAGACACTTTTCTTTCTTATAAATAATTATGAGAAATTTAGAGAGACAAAATAATTCAAAGTGGGCAGCCATCTTTATTAAATCTACGATGTTTTATTAACTGTAAGATTAAATGCAGTAGAAATGTCTTACCAGGAAATCATTTTTATGGAACAATGTCTATACAATTATGTATGTCCATACTGATATTATTGTACATTGTTTTTGCTTTTAAAAATTACATTTATCATCAGTTATTCAAAATATTGTCCCATGAAGATCAAACAATTGCGCTATATATTTTCTTCAAGAGATCTACACTAAACAACTAAGCCAAGCCAGTTTACACATCATCACGGCAAGATCTGTTCCAATTAGTATCATGTTGTTGACTCCTAAATAAAAGATTTTTTTTAATGACAGTACCAATAGACTTTGCAGGTACAACACGCTAATGTGTCAAACAAGGACAACCTTTGGCTTCAGTCTATATCACGAGTCTAATTCCTGTCTGCATTACTGTGTAAATTATTTACATTTATAAATTTTGAATTGAATATGCTACTAAAGTAGCACAATTTTATAGACTAAGAGGAAAGCTTTCAGGGAAGGGTGATGAAGACTGGTGATGGTTCTTTTGAATGAGCGAGTTATATAACTGCACAAAATTAATCTTTTTACCATGGTCTTTAGTCAAAATATTGCATAAAGAGTTCACTCCCTTGCATTTTGATATTTGTCAATTTTGAATTGAAACCCTGTTAAACTCTTTTTCCATATTTAAACAATATTCATTTTACATTTCTGTTTTAAATATATAAGACATTAACAAAAAGGCTGCTCTATCAAAATGTTTCAAAATTTCACATACTGAGTATGTCAGGCATACAAGTTATGCAATATTTATATTTTCTTGAGACAAAAAATACTGTTTCCTTACAGATATTAGATATCACATAATTTCCCTACAATTCATCATAATTATTCTTCACAGGGGAACATGAAACCATCCCTGTCATATAAATTATATATTCTGATTTCAAAATGTAAGAAATAAATGGCATGTTTGCTTAACAGACGTTTTTGGTCTTTCCTGCAATTTGGCATAAACTGTCAGTTGTTTACAGGGAAGTGCAAATATTTCATGGAAATGTTGTAATTCTATTCACATCTGACTCTCTGGGTATGTTTTCATGTCAGGCCCAATGATAAAACACATAAATAACAATTACGTTTTTACATTATATAATCAGCCAGACACAAAAAACTATCAAATGTAATAAATTGATGCTTTCAAAAATGCTCGTGGCACGAATGCAGAAATTTTGAGTATCTTACAACAGGAATGAAAGACTGTACTGTTAACAATGTTTGACAATGGTAGATCTTAGACAAATAATAGTTTATTCTATTAATAATCAGTCACACAATTGTCTTGTATGGTTTGTTTCAGAAGTTTTGCATGAGTTTTAAAACTATTTAAGTCCTATATCTGCAGACAGTGACCCAATGACTGACATTCTGGACTCTCAAAATGATGTCTTCATGTTTTCTAGTCAGCCTCAAATTAAAATATTTCAAACAAATTTGGACAAAATGTACATGTTTGCCCTTCAGTAAATGTTTTAATTATGGTAGATGTAAACGTTTTTCATTTGATTTCCTACCTTTCTACTCTAAAGCCTGAGTTTGCAAATTTTAAAAGTCCACTGTACATAGTAATTTTTTATTTTACTATTCAGTTACTCATTGTTAAACATTATGAGCAATTATTTGTGGATAAATAACTTGAAACAGCTATGGAGGACCAATGACATTATTGGCATATTCAAAGCAAGAAACTTTACACTCATTGTTTAGTACTGGTTGGTTCCAAGAACAGATCCAAGAGTGTTTCAATAAGCTTATAACTTCCAACAAAAACCCAAAAATTTGTTTTGTTTTTAAACAAAACAAATTTAACTAGAGCTATAAACTGAAGGTGATTCATACCCCCACAAGCAACCATTACGTTTTTTGAAAATTAGTGGTGTGAACAAATAGTTTGAAGTTGAACCCTATAATTTTATGAAGATTAAAATGAGTACAAAGAATTGCAACATCAACCAGGTCTTCAAGAAAAGCTTGTTTTATCTCATTCCTAGCTCAATTTTCGTCCGGGAAAACCATTTTTCTATTTTTTAGTAACGGTGACCTAGTCTTTGACCCAAGGGGGTCCATATGCAATACCAACCCCAGGTATTACATACAAGCTTGCTGTACACCCCAAGTTTGATTGGGAATATCTTATTCCTAGCTCAAGTTATCGTCCGGACACCATTTTTCTATTTTTAGTAACGGTGACCTAGTCTTTGACCCCAGGGGGTCCATATGCAATACCAACCCAAGGTATTCATACAAGCTTGCTGTACACACAAGTTTGAATGGGAATATCTCATTCCTAGCTCAGTTATCGTCCGGAAACCATTTTTCTATTTTTAGTAACCGGTGACCTAGTCTTTGACCCCAGGGGGTCCATATGCAATACCAACCCAGGTATTCATACAAGCTTGCTGTACACCAAGTTTGATTGGAATATCTCATTCCCCTAGCTCAAGTTATCGTCCGGAAACCATTTTTCTATTTTTAGTAACGGTGAGCTAAGTCTTTGACCCCAGGGGGTCCATATGCAAATACCAACCCAGGTATTCATACAAGCTTGCTGTACACCAAGTTTGATTGGAATATCTCATTCCTAGCTCAAGTTATCGTCCGGGAAACCATTTTTCTATTTTTTAGTAACGGTGACCTAGTCTTTGACCCCAGGGGGTCCATATGCAATACCAACCCAGGTATTCATACAAAACTTGCTGTACACCAAGTTTGATTGGAATATCTCATTCCTAGCTCAAGTTATCGTCCGGACACTATTTTTCTATTTTTAGTAACGATGACCTAGTCTTTGACCCCAGGGGGTCCATATGCAATACCAACCCAGGTATTCATACAAGCTTGCTGTACACCAAGTTTGATTGGAATAACTCATTCTTAGCTCAAGTTATCGTCCGGAAACCATTTTTCTATTTTTAGTAACAGTGACCTAGTCTTTGACCCCAGGGGGTCCATATGCAATACCAACCCAGGTATTCATACAAAGCTTGCTGTACACCAAGTTTGATTGGAATATCTCATTCCTAGCTCAAGTTATCGTCCGGAAACCATTTTTCTATTTTTAGTAACGGTGACCTAGTCTTTGACCCCAGGGGGTCCATATGCAATACCAACCCAGGTATTCATACAAGCTTGCTGTACACCAAGTTTGATTGGAATATCTCATTCCTAGCTCAAGTTATCGTCCAGAAACCATTTTTCTATTTTTAGTAACGGTGACCTAGTCTTTGACCCCAGGGGGTCCATATGCAATACCAACCCAGGTATTCATACAAGCTTGCTGTACACCAAGTTTGATTGGAATATCTCATTCCTAGCTCAAGTTATCGTCCGGAAACCATTTTTCTATTTTTAGTAACGGTGACCTAGTCTTTGACCCCAGGGGGTCCATATGCAATACCAACCCAGGTATTCATACAAGCTTGCTGTACACCAAGTTTGATGGGAATATCTCATTCCTAGCTCAAGTTATCGTCCGGACACCATTTTTCTATTTTTAGTAACGATGACCTAGTCTTTGACCCCAGGGGGTCCATATGCAATACCAACCCAGGTATTCATACAAGCTTGCTGTACACCAAGTTTGATTGGAATATCTCATTCCTAGCTCAAGTTATCGTCCGGAAACCATTTTTCTATTTTTAGTAACGGTGACCTAGTCTTTGACCCCAGGGGGTCCATATGCAATACCAACCCAGGTATTCATACAAGCTTGCTGTACACCAAGTTTGATTGGAATATCTCATTCCTAGCTCAAGTTATCGTCCGGAAACCATGAAGGTGGACCGACCGACGGACCGACCGACCGACCGACAAGCTGACTCCTATATACCCCCCCTAAACTTCGTTTGTGGGGGTATAATAAAAATCCTATTTGAGCCACGTCATGACAAAACCAACATAATGGGTTTGCGACCAGCATGGATCCAGACCAGCCTGCACATCCGCGCAGTCTGATCAGGATCCATGCTGTTCGCTTACAAACTCTATAACAAGTAGAGAAACCGATAGCGAACAGCATGGATCCTGATCAGACTGCGCGGATGCGCAGGCTGGTCTGGATCCATGCTTGTCGCAAACTCATTATGTTGATTTTGTCATGACGCGGCTCACTAATAAGACTCACACTTTTAAGTGAGGACATGATTTGTAATTCTAATGAGCTGATTTCAGGGCCAGAGCATGACTATACAACTTCTACAATTTAAACATCATCCCAGCACTCAGTTAACCTAATAATTTCATATATTGTAGAAATTAATGTCATAACAAAAGCGAACATAAAAAAGATGATATCTTTAGCATTAAAGAGCTCCCTAGTGTACATTACCTAAATTAGATATAGTTACATGTTAACTCTTTATATATATATTTATCAAAAAGTAATATGTTGCCTAGGAAACAAGGCAATATTGGAGAAAAAAGTAACGGACCATTCTCTTAATAACTATAACAAAATAGACTAAGTTTAATATGGCTTTAAAAAACACGTATCCCATCAAAGCCTTTATAACTACATTTTTTTTTTTTTCTCTTTTTTTAAATGCAGTAAAATTCAAATTTTAAGGGCAGATGTGTTTTAAATGCTTTTAAAAATATGATTAATGTTTTTTTCCCATTTTTGATTTAAAATCCACTAATTTCTATTAATCCAACCCATAAGGAAATAATATTTAGATTATGAAAAAAGAATAACTTTAATTCGAGACAATACATTATGGTAAAATTATTGACCAAACAAAAGGGGAATAATTAATGACATGTCAGCCACATACATCATCCTAATGAATTCTAAAGAATTTATCAATTTACATAATTTCACACATTGCTTTCCAACTGATTTGAAAATTATTCACACTGTACCCTGATTTAAATACAACTTTTAAAACGTTAAATTATTCAGAATTCAAACGATTTCATCAACAGTATATGTACACACTTATTATTCTGTGGTCCAAATCTGTTTCAATTTCTTAAAAAAAAAATGTGAATTTTTCGAAAATTTATTACTTTTTTTTATACAACCAGCTCTTTGTTTATGTATTGATTTTTTTTTTAATTATCATTTTTCATACAATAAATAGATATGACATAGTTTGATTTTCTGCGGTTACCAACCTGTTATCTAGGACGCACCAGCCGCAGAAAGGATCGCCGTCTGCTAGACAGCTGCTACATGTACTGTGACTCTCGCAACTACTTAACATCAGCTTCGCAATCTGAAAACAGAACGAAAAAAAAAACGATCACAAAATGTATGACTTGATAACATTATAATTACCATATTGTTGTGGTGCTGTGAGCAAAACAGCCGAATCTTCTCTTATATTTCATTTTAAAATGAGTTATAGCTTTATTACATAAAATTGATGAAATATCTTCTCTGTGTCAGCAAAACAGAAGTGAAACATGCTAAAACAGCATTAATTGAGAGCGATCTGAAATAAGTCAAAACAAACAAAACTATACAAATTTTAACAACATTTATTTCCAAATTAACAAAAATCAAAACATACAAAGGGAATTACCCGGGGATCTTTCTACAATAAAAAAACCCTGGGCAGAAATATGTTTTTTATAAATACATTTCCCGGGAGTAAACCCAAAAAATTTTGCCGAAAAAAGTCACAAATTTCAGATGTCCCTCGAAAAAAAGGACGTCAGACATTTTAAAAGCAGACAGCAAAATTGGGGCTGTTGGGTATGAAAATGGCGTTTTTGCTGCCAAAATTTAAAAAAGACATTAAAAACCCGTCCAGGAAAAAAAAGCTGCCCCAGACTGTTTTTACCAGTTTGGGGTTTAAAGGACATTCAACCCAAAAAAGAAACACATCAAAAAGGTTTCAATGATGCAGAAAAAACGGTTATGTGTAAAATGGAATTGTACAGATTTTTGTCTATAATCAACCATAAAAAGAATGTTTATTGTTAAGACTTAAGATCATTAACTTCCTGTACTGTAGCCTTTTATTGTATCCATTCTACCAATCAGTGCTGCTTGTTGTTGCCAACAGAAATTCTTTTTCTGGATGTTGATAAAACATTTGAAAATATCTAAAAACTAATACAGTCAATTAAACAAAATAAAGCCCATTTAATCTGCTGAACAAACACATTAGTGATGCAATGTTAATAGTAAATCATTTAACAAAAATGTAAATCATCACATATTGAGAAGTAATGGCCACATAATTATGCAAAAGCATTTAATTGAAAAACAAACATTTCCCTCTTGGACAATTGCCATCGTGCCTCTTTTTATGTGAGGTGGTCATTTGCCACCTTGGCTGACATTTCCCACTTAAAAATTTTAAATGGCTGACATTTTCACCTGTGTGTTTAAATTTGGGAAAAATAAAGAAAATGTTATGATTTCCGAGTTTTTTTTTATTTATGGCAAGCTAGTATATAGACTAAGGCATACATAGCTCATTTATGACTTGAACTTATGGCCAGCAGTACAGGCCCATATGGCTAGCCACTTCTCATACAGCTAGCACTTTCTAGGATAATTATTAAATTATAACCAGCTGCCAGTTTAAACAAATGTTGGACATTTCACTCACAAGCCACAACTTTTTGCCAAACCAAAATTGTACATGTACAAACCAGCCATCATTAAATCTCATTCACAAGAATTGCAGCCAAATGTAATTGGTCACAAAAAGTTCATTTGTTGATCATGATAGAAAATGAAGCAAAAAACACCATTCAACAATGTGAAAATGAGGAGCATGAAATAAATATTACACTTGCATGCTATTCAAACATTACATGGCGACAATGAAAATGGATTGCAGGAAAATGGATTGCACAGCCTGCATGTAGGTCTCATTGATCGATGTACAAATTAATTCTAAAAACATGTGCTACCATCCCATCACAGCGTGTCCTTATTAATAATAGCAGAATATTAATTATTTTCAAGATTCAATATTAAGAATATATGAACAGATTGGCAGAAGTACGGAATTAATATATATGCAAATATGTTGCATAAATTCTAATAGTGGACTAATAGGTATACATGTTTTAAATACTGTTTTTTTTTTTTTTCATTTTTGGTGTGTCACAGACAATGAAGTAGTCCCGGCTTCTGTATAATGTTGTCTGATTCTCAACATCAACCCATATAAAATGTAGAAATTGACTTTTAAGAATTTGTCTCAGATTTTTTGTGGAATCATCCATGTTCAATTTTAATGAAACTGACATTATATTTACATAAAGGGAACAAAATTAATGTCAAGATTTTAAGTAATCATAGGATCTCAGTTATCTATCCAATTTCTTTGTTTTTCCCAAAACTATTATGAGGTATTATAATCCATAATTATGATCCTCTTTCCACATACCAAGTATCGTCAACGTAACTTTAGTAATTAACAAGAGTTATTACTGAATCACAGATGGATGTCAGAGACAGAACAGAAGGTAAACGTGTAGTCCCCTAACAGCAAAACAGGAAACTACTGTGCATTGATACCTTGGAAAAATTATACCAGGCTCTGAGGCTGTAAAGGGAGTAAAAGGAGAACAGTGACCCAGAAGTTAAGACATTTGGCTTCAGGGATTGAAAGTTTGAGCCTTACTGCAAACATGATAATTCTTACTATAATGATACCATCCCGGAGCCAGTCTGAGACTGAATACAATATTTATAATGTACATCAAACAATATACTTTTGTAAGTTTCTGCATACCTTTTAATAATTTACTCGTCTAACCGATTGTGAAATTTTGTTTAAGAAGATAACAAATTCTGTATCATGCAATGCATCACAAATAATTGCACTTTTAACTTTCCAACCTTTTACAAAATATGATACTTAAAGTAGTTATTTATGCAATAATCTTTTTTTTTAAGTTCATAAAACCACATTTTACTCATACTTTTCATACTGTCATCCTGCCATGAAACATTATCCGCTGAAACTATTTTTAAAGCGCAATGTGAAACCTACTCTTAATTCTCCGCTTTAAACCCTGTAGGTAGTTAAGTCATCAATGCAGGAATTTACGACCCTATAACTTTCAAAAAATAAAGAAAAAAACTTAATTCTCATTTCTGGCACTTATGTTTACAACATTTTTATTACTTTAGATTGTTGGCAACCCATGCTACTGAGTCATAATGAATTCTCTTTTACAGTAAAAAAAACCCTCCCTTCCTAGTTCTTATTACACAAAAATATAGTATACTGAAATGTGAAACTCTATAACAAACTTTTCTTATTAAGAGGAACTTTAAGTTAGGAAATTAAAACATTTCACATTAAACTGTTACTGTCATGATATGTATTGGTATTGAAATTTTATCAAAAGCTAAAAAAAAACAAAAAAACACGAAAATATCAACTAAATATTCACGTTAAAACATTATATTGAATTTTAAACGGGTGAAAATACATATGTACACATAATTATCATAACAAAAATAAAATAGTATATGTAAAATATAATTATGAGACTTATAAGCTTTGAAAATGTGTTCCATTTCTACATAATAATATTTATGCATATATGAAAATGAATTTTCTTTAAAAAAAAATTAATTGCATGATCTTATTTTTTTCCAATTGTCAGCTTTAATTTTAAGCAATTTTAGTTCAAACATATTTTATTCAATTTATTTTTTATGTAAAAAACATCCAAAAATTTTTATACAGGGAAAAGAAAATCAAAATTAAAGGCCCAAAGCGATAGCTCATTTGGGAGTGCTCTTTTAAAAAACCCCGAAAACCCCTTAAAAAAATTCCCCGTTTTTTGTTTACAACCAAAAAAAATGCTTGCCCTTCCATCGGGGGTGTAATAAAATGGTGTCTCCTGTTTTAAATTAAAAAATGGGCTTTACAAAAAAACCCCAAATTTGTTCCTATTTTACTATGATCATGAAAAAATATTTCTGTCTGCCCGTCAAGTAAGAAATTCCCCAAGAGATTCACGTCAGTGTTACACACAATATAGGGGAAAAAAGTTCATTTTCTTGTTGTCTTTTTATTCTTTCAATGAAACTATACATCCTGGAATATTACCATCACTAAACTTGCTCAATCTCCGTAGAGTATTTCTAGTGCATTGTTTCGGAAGAAATTGACGCCAAAAACTTGGTAAATATCTCATCTCGGGAGTGAACAAATGACAGATTTATTTCATACAAGGAAAGTTAAATACTTTGCATGTCAAGGCGATATAAAACTTCGGGAAAGCGTCAACTTGATCTTGGTGAAATCAGGCTTATATACTTGCGAGTTTTATGACTTTAACGTGTAAAGAAATAATTACAGAATACAATAAAACTAAGTTGATGAGTGATTTTCGTACATAAATCTTTACTTATTTACCGTAAGTTTGTTATAACGCTGATAACTGACGAAAGTGAGAAATGAGAACATAATATTTTAATGTTCACGTACTCCAGTTGTTATTAAAACCTCTCGTCTACACATTCGAGATGTTTTATCCATTAGCATTTAAGGTAGTCTTACTGTAATGCTTTCACGCCAAAACAATTCTAACATCGGCCAATATCGTAGCCAATATTTTTCCGAAACATTATTTTTATAAAATCTTGGGCATTAGCTTATTCACAATGACTCATCCTTTATCACTATACAGTACTAAATTCTGGTTATAAACAGTTAAAAACTATTAAATACCAAAGATTGTGAAAAAAATAACGTTCCGGAAATGAACAATTTATTACGATGTTGGCCGATGTTAGAAATTTTTTGGCGGGAAAGCATTGCAATATGACTACCTTAACCTGCTGTATTTATGAAATGGATTTGCCCTGCATTCAATTTGGAACAGTCCATTTAAAATTAAAAGATTTAAACATCAAAATACATAAATTGAGCTACAATGGGTAACAGTATAGAGCTTGGTCGCAGACTGCACGGCCAGGATCTAAGCTGGTGGCAAAGCCTAATCAGCAGGTTAAATGTTAAATACGTCCTCATTTAACTAAATGGAAGAATACAATGTTTAAATTTGTTTAAGGTCATAGTAGACATTTTATAAAAAAAACAAGAACGTGTTTGTTAAACACAAATGCCCCCGGCTCAGATTCTTGTCAGTAGCAATATTTCAAAAAATGTTTACCCATTCACTCAGTTATGGACAGAAAAATTGCCAAAAAATTGTAAACACAAGTTATATAGCTTAGCTTGACAAAGTCATGGGATTTTGTAATTGTGAAAAAATATAAGTTGCCAAGTCATTGCTCTGACTTGTGAAGTTGAAAAATATTTAACTTCATGCAAGTTATCTTCCTACCAAATATGAAATACATCTGTCATTAAATAAAGGCTGTATGGGCAAAAGTTTAAAATCGATTTTGAGCACTGGTGACCTTGACCAAACTGACCCCTATCTCTATCTAAAAGAAGAATACCATGTAAGTTATCTTCCTACCAAATATGAAATGCATCTGTCAATAAATAAAGGCTGTATGGGCAAAAGTGTAAAAATCTATTTTTAGCACTGGTGACCTTGACCCAACTGACCCCTTACTCCATCCAAAGGAAGAATACCATGCAAGTTATCTTCCTACCAAATATGAAATACATCTATCAATAAATAAAAGCTGTATGGGCAAAAGTGTAAAAATCTTTTTTTAGCACAAGTGACCTTGACCCACTGATTCCTACCCCAATCAAAAGGATGAATACCATGCAAGTTATCTTCCTACCAAATATAAAATATATCTGTCACTTAATAAAGGCTGTATGAGCAAATGTGTAAAAATCTATTTTTAGCACTGCTGACCTTGACCCAACTGACCACTAACTTCATCAAAGTTTATGTTTCTATCAATTATAAATAACATCTGTCTATAGAATAAGGTCAATACACCTGTAAAAATGTAAAAATCTATTTTTAACATTTGTGACCTTGACAGTGGTAACATTGACCTTGACCCAAATGACCCCTTACTACACCCAAAGAAGGAGGACCTCCCTTGGCATGTTTGTATTAAACTAAGACATCAACTAAAAAATAAAGGCTGTATGAGCAAAAATGTTTATATTTATTTTTTAAACCAGTGACCTTGACCTTGACCCTAGAGACCGCTTACTCCACAAAAAATTAGAGGACCATCAAAGGTATCCACCTACTAAATATGAAAGATATCATTAAAGAAATTAAGCAATTAGGAGAAACTTAAGATAAATCCAACTTGCCGAAAAAGGTTAACCAGACAAGGCCCTATTTTCAAAGTGAAAAAAAGTGAAATATCTGGGAAATATGGATGACACAGTTATATAACTTGGCAATATCATGTACTTTGTATTGATAAGTAAGTGTGGAAATTATAAAGCCATTAGTATAGATAGAACTTTAGATATTTCCAACTTGCCGTTTTAGGTTAACCATTATTCATTTTCTAAGTGCTGAAAAGGGCAATAACTTGGTAAATATGAAAGCCAGAGTTATGTAACTTGCCCAGATCATGTACTTTGTATTGATTAGTAAGTGTGTAAACTTAGAAGCCATTGGTACAGGTAGAACTTAAGAAAAATCCAACTTGCCGTTCTAGGTTAACCTCGTACGGACAGACGGACAGACGGATGGACGGTTCAATTACTATATGCCCGGGGGCATAAAAAAAACCTGTCACATGACAAGAGAATTTGATTTAACAACTCAAAAAGCTTTATTCATGTAATGAATTTTTTTATCAAGGAAGAAATTGAATTGTTATCATCATCAATTTAAATAAAATGCAAAAAACGATGTTTTAACTTCCTTCTTCCTTAAAGTTATAGCAGGTGTTTTTTAAAAAATGTTTATGAAGAAAATTTAAATTTATGGTATGTTTTTCTGTAAACCTTATTGAAATATTGTGTTGTCTTGGAGACAAATAGTTTGACAGAATTACATTGACCTTAACTCGTCACATAGACTAGTTCTTCACTTTATCTGAAAACATCCGATCTTTTAAAGCATTGACTATTCATCAGTATTATTAAACAAAATACTATAGCTGCCTGATCATTACAAGTAAAATATTTCCAGACAAATACTTCAAAATTGACTCAATTTACAGTTACATATCCATCGTAAGTCATTTGGGAAATTTCTCGTCAGTAAATACAGACAAAATCATTCTTTATTACAAACAAGCATGATGTTGATATATTGAAATGAGGGTGCACGCAACTTTAAAAACTATCCAGAGACAAAAGCTGGTACCTAAGTTCTATATTTAAAAGCAGACCGATAAAATATCAAGAAAGACACAAGCTGTTTTTTAACAGACTTCCACCGTAAAAGAACATTAATTTTTGTCCACTGAACTTTTGGTACTATTTCCTGCATATAGACAACTCGGGCTTTTGATACTATTATGAAGCTATTTTGAGTATTCTTTTAGCCAATTGTAAAGCAACTGTTTTGAAAGCATAATTATTACAGCTTTCTTCCTAAACAATCTTTTAGTTCAATACTTGACTTTTCACCAATTTTATGCCACATGTTTTTATGCTTATGTTTTTATATGCATCATACTGGTGTTGAATGTTTTACCTCATAAAAGACATTCTCGAGTTCCCTAACGTAAACAAACTTAATGAAGAGTAACATTGCATGATATGAGTCTTAAACCTGTGAATGCCTAGATCATAGCAGCCATTCTCATTTCCATGAGTTGACATCCAGTCCAGTTTCATCAAACTCCTAAAATTGTCAATTCCTTCATCTACAATGCTAAAATATCATAAATAGACTTGTCCTAAACAAACCATGGGATAAAATAATATGGACAGTTTCAAAATTTGAAATGGAACACGGTCACTACACAAATTTATAACAGTGTGGAGACTGAATTAAGAAGAAAAGAGTCAAGAAACCACAAGTTAAAGTATTGCATACAGCCAAGCCACTCAGCTGCCACTGCATCCTCTCTAAGTTTTTAGCTACACACTTTATAACAAAAAACTTATCTTGAAATCCCTGAAATTCTTAATGGCAAGATGCATACATAAAAAAGCAAGGAAAGTCCATTTTACCGAATTGGGAAGGTGAAACAAAATTAAGTGAAAAATGCGGAATGGGGAATAGTTACATAAAATGGTTTCATAATCGTACTGTAGCATATTTCTTGTATGAGAATATGTTATATCATTTATATTGCTGTAATACAATTATACTATATTGCAATCAGTTAGAACTAGAAGCCAATCTTTTGCATTCATCAATTACTTCTGTAATGAATTCCATTATTTTCCAATTAAATATTTCCCAATGCAGTACTTAATATGGTAACAATATTACATGAATATGACTAAAATAATTGGATATGAATTACAAGCCTTGTTATAACACCAGTATATATATGTGAAGGAATACTTTATGAGCATTTTCCCTATCAAAATTATATAAAATAGCTTTCTGTACGATGGTAAATGAAGTTCTGTAATGTTTATCGATGACAATACATGCGTTATCTCTTGGTTTAATGAATCCATTGGGACTGAAGAGCTTATTTCGTTGCTTTGCATTTTATGGAAGGGAATCATTGTGTTTTTTTTGCCTAGTTAGCAAATAGATATGATCTGTATTAGGATATAACAAGTATAAAGTTTTATAACTGAGAACCCTCCGTAACGCCGTAATTGGACCCTGTAATATTGTTTAATGCAATAAACTGCCTTTCACTACAAAAATCAATTCATGACTTGTGATGAAGCATGCATTGCACGAAATCTCCACATGCTAAACTTCTGTTAAAGCCACATAATAAAATTTCAGCAGGCAGGGAAATGTTTATTTCTTTGATTGTGTGGATTTTGATTGATCCAAGAGCTCTGCCTGCCACAGAGAAACAAACAAGATGCTGGGGGGGAGAAAATAACATTAAATGTATGATAACTGGGAAGCTAAACATTCAGTACATATCCTAAATGTTTACTTTATTCAGCATCAAATTGCTGAAGTATTTCTTTTCAACAGTTAATAAACATGATGAAAAAAAGTTCCATTTAAGATACATCCAGATGCCTCGTGTCCTTGAATCCCAGACATTTCCAAAACAAAGATTCTGAGACAAAGTTTTCATCACCGAAACCCCAGAATACAGCATCTGTCTATTTATTTATATGTTATTACAACAGTCTTGCTTTGAAGTAACAAACTTCATTTACAAGACTTTCAAGGTATTCATTCATGAAAGTGTCAGAATTATCAGCTAATGCAGTAATCTTAAAATAGGCCAAAACTAAAATTACTACATTTTTGTGTATTGTCATAGTATAAAAGGCCCAAACTAAAAATACCAAATTTTGTGTACTGAAGGTACTGATTGCCTCTAAAAATGATGATGATCAAAATGTTAATTTCTAAAATATCAGTTTAAAGAAACAAACCTTTTGTTTACTCATAGCAAAGATATGGTTGCCATAGATGACTATATCAGGGTTTATAGGGGAACCCAGATCCATGGCAACCTGGTCATATTCCCTAGCTCTCTCATGTGTCTCCAGCACAATCTGAAAATATACAATAAAAAAATAAATTAGTCTCAACATTCAACCATATACAATAACTAAATTACATGTCATAATTATGTCAGACCAACCATCAATCTACCCTTAACATGCTAAATATTTTAAATGACAATGTCCATCTATCAATTATGGACTAATTCTGGGCAATTTTTATAGTAGTAAAACAATGTTAACCATGATCAGATGTGCCGACTGGTTTTGGTCTGCACTCAGGACACTTCGATTACTAAGAATCGGTTGCAGACTAAGGGTAAAAATATATGTACCATCAATTCTAAATGCAAGTATATAATATTCTATGAAAAGAGAAAAAGTAATATAAATAGACATTCAGACTGTTCACAATACATTTTACATAACTTTCAATACTTCCTGTCTTAGCAATATAAAAGCAATTTTGTGGTATATTGCTCTTTCTTCAATTTTAATTTAGTTATGACAGAATTACAATTAAACCTTCATAACCCTCCAATGTGTGCATTCACTTATATTATATGAATTAACATACAAACAATATACACATGTGCACACTCAAAAGAAGACATCCTTTTATTAAAGGGTAACATATGTTCTCCAATCTTCACTGTGTATTTTTATGACTTTAATTTGTAATAAAGAAGTCATATACTTCATGAGAAAACACATAGAATAAACCATCATAACAGCTAATTATGATGAACTGTTGTTTCAATAAATAAACAAAATAGAGATATAATTACAATATTGTTTTAAGACATGGAAAGCAAACAGGCACACATTAATCAAAATCAGACAGACTTTTTTAAAGGCACATTAAGCCTCAGAAAGGAAAACTATTTTCCTTATTAAGAAATGGCAAACATAAGTTTTAAAATTATTAAACAATGGTTTTAGAGCATGTTTAAATAAGATGCTAAATATCACCTGAAGAAAGTAGCGTTGAATGTGAAATTATTTGTCATAAAAGTAGCAAAATATAAGCAAAGTAGTATTTTTACTTCCGTACAATATACTAAATCACTATAACTGAATTTACTTTTACTTAGACAGCAAGTCAGACCCAAAATATAATTAAGGTGATTTACCAATGAAACAAGACATCAAAAACAAAAAGCTTCCAAGAATTAAAATAAAAGCATTTCTGGGGCATAATTGACCTTTAATTTTCCTTTTTCAAATTTCAACTTATTGTTAGTTTTCTGAATAAGAAAATGTGTAAAATGCTGTAACACAGTTATAAAAGGTCTAGAAAAATAAATAAACTTATTGTCATGATTAATAAATCTTTTTCTTTTTTTTTTCAAATAAAAAGTAGCTTCAATTTTTTATAACATTTTAGTTCTTTGGTATCATTTCTCTTTTGGCATCTGAAATTTAAATCACACCTAACATTATAAAATCTTCAGGGTACAGTTTTATTGAATTTTATGTTGAAGAAAAAAATAAGATTTACTGTAAAATAGAGAGAAATTTGATAAATCATATTGTTCTCTATCTATATATCTATATGTAAAGCACTCAAAGGAAGCTATTCACATTTTTTTTCATAATTGAAAATTTCCAGACAGCCGTCTACAGCAAGATAAAACTTTGAAAATTACATTAAATTTCTATTGACTGATAATAGTGTATATGTAGAGTCTAGACATGAAATAATAGCCATGTCTAAAACAGTAAATGTTCCACATGAAGGTATATCTATCTACATCCAGATAATGTGATTTACAGTCTATTGTCTTCTTTAAATAGAATATTATAAAGGACACATTGCCAACATTTTGTGTGTTTATATATATATATATATAGCTATAACACAACTAAAATTTCAATCAAGTGCAGATCATGGAAAACAGAACTTAGAACTTTGTACACTAAGCCAACTTCCTTTTAATTAAAAGTAACTCGAGAACATGTATTATGAAGCAGTTGTAAAGGAACAAACCAGACATCTTAAAAAAAGAAAATTCGAAATATGATAAGGATTATAAATTTTCAACAGTTACTTTCCTTTTTTGCACTTCCAATTTTTAGTGAGACAGGATTTTTCATAGTTACTCCCCTTTATTGCACTTAAAATTTTTAATGAAAGACAGAATTTTCAATAGTAAACATAGTTACTTCACTTTTTCGCACATATTTTTTTTAATTGAAAGATTGAACTTCGCTCAACACATTGTAATTACAATCTTCAATTACAACCTTATTCAGAACCTAAATTATTTAAACATGTATTTTAAACATTTTTTTCCCCAGTTACCTCCCTTTTTGCCTATCACACCATTTGCAAGTCATTAAAATGTATTATATAATGAAACAAATAAGATCTTAACCATTATAGTTTTATGTTTCTACTTATGTTAAGTAAAAAAGATTTTAATTACAGTATTTTAAATCAAGTTTCTATTTCTATATTATCTTTCTTTGTCATGTAACACATCATTTGTACATCACCATAAAATGCATGATATGAACCAATATAGAACTTTACACTCTAATTTATGTTTCTATTTGTTCCAAAGCATAAAAACCGGAGCCTCAAAGTTATTAAAACACCAATTATCTAAAACCAAAACTAATATTTTGTTTCCACAACAGAGAAACATTTATCATTTAAAGTAAATGAGTGTATCACTTAAATCAGAAATTTTACATAAATTTATCTGTTTCATGTCCTTTAAGGCTTATACTTTATACAATGCTTTAGAAAGACTATTAAATATTGTTTTTTGCTGCAATGAATCTATATTTCTACATTAGAAATCCCTGAAGATGTCTAGATTCATCTTAAATCAACTGTAATGAACACTAAAGTATATAATTAAGAGAGGAAAGGTTTTAATCAAGGAGAATATTGGAACATGGTGAATTCCCCTAATGAATATTTATCTTGTAAATTTATTTCATATGACTATCAGATTTTACTTTTACAAATCATTATAATTTCAGATTTATTATCAACTGTTAATGATAAAGTTCAACAAAAAATATTATGTTACTACAAATTGTATAATAAATCTTTTTATTTAATGGTACCAAAAAGGGGGAATTGATTTTAATTTGCATTTCTTACCAATTCTGTAAAAGCATTGTAGAGTCTAAACTGCCTTTAGAATAATTGCGTATACTGTTTTAATAAGAAGCAAATTAATTTAATTTTACTTAAACTTTAATCACTTAATCCTTTCAATATGAAATTAAAGATTTTTTTCTTAAATATTGAAAGCCTGAGCTTCAATTGCATTAACACATTTTGGCAATACGGTAAGTTAAAAACCTTTAAAAACTATGTACATACTTAATTAAACACCATTGCTAAAGGTTTATGAACAAAAACATGTTATTATAAAAGTTATAAAAAATAGTTAAAAGATCATAAATGGTAAGATTTCCCATGAGAGTTACAGCAATATTTAGCTGATTCCAGTATAACCGCCTTAAACTTTTGTGTTCATATCAAAGTTCAGTTACTATAATCTTTAAAACATACTCTCACAAACAATCTGTCATGTGACCTCACAAGGTATTTTTGCTGGTATTATTCACTGTATGCTAAAATGCTTGTTATAATGGCTTGAGCGTTGTTGTTGTTGTTGTTGTTGTACAGAGAATCAAATATGTACTTCATGCAAACTGTCAGAGAGCTTGGTACAACACAGAATCATTTTCTTCTTTGAGCGTGATCCTAATTAAATATGGCAAGTGAAAATGTTTGGTTTCGTAATATCAAATTATGTGGTTCATGAAGTAAAAGCATTTAAACTGCGACTTGCTTCTTCCTTTTTTCTCTAATTTCCACTTGATCCCTCTTGAGTTTGTTGCCGTAAGAACATTTTCTTATTTGGCCAAAATACACACCATTACGGGAAACAATTTCGACATCACTGCTTTAAACATGAGGAAACTTATGCTCGTTCTTATAAATAATTAAGCAACTGCTTCTTTTGTTATTGAAAGAAGTAAAGATTTTTCTCCCTGTCTCTGAGCCTAATATCATTGAAGTTCTATAAGTAGTTAGACAAGACTTTCTTTTATTACCATACTTCAAGTGTGTACCAGCCAATATAAATTTTCAGTTGCCTCATATGATTTAAATCATTAGCTCCAGGGTAAGAAAAAAAGCCTTTATTATGTTTAATTAATCATCCATGTCCTTAGAAAAAGCAATTACTTCAATTACAGAAAAAACCTAGTGGGATGTTGCCACGGAAATAAAAAATCCAAGTGATTCCCATGCATGTATATAGTAAGAGAAGCATCATATCCTTAGGTTTCAGCGACTATACCCCCCTTTATGATGTAAAAAAAGGTTAATTAACTTACAGATGAATGATCACAAAAATAGATACACTGGGAATTAGGCACAGATGAATTAGTATTTGCATGAATTAGATTCAACTGGGCCTTTAGGCTAACTCTGTATCCTGGGAACTAACTTAATTTGTAAAAAAAATCCTATATCCGCCATAGCATTTACATTGTAACATAACACTGTCACAGACATTACCGGCCTTCTGGTAAATTACTGGTAATTCAGATCCTAAAAAAATACATTATAAGAGTATAATATTAAATGCAGTCCTTGTGAAAAAATAATTTTTACAAACATCTTTTAAATAATTATACGAAAGGAGTACATTTTCGCAATCCTTAAAAAAATGAGCAATACAGTTGCTAGAGTTACGAAAATAATCTTCTAGAAAATTATTTCTTTTTACACAAAAAAAGGCAATAATGAGTTAATCGCATAAGGCATTTTCATATTGTTCATATCTGTGAGGATAATTGTGATAGTATATAACCTGAAAATCACTGTAAATGTATATAAATGCAATCATAGGTCACAAATACATTTTTGGGGTCTGAGAAAGCCTTTTATGGGTTGGGTTTAAAAACAACACTGACACGGTGCAAACTGACAACTAATGACCATATCAACTGCTAAAGGAACACTCTGATGCTTCTGCAATATCTACCATCTATCTACAAACTAGATGTCTTACAAT